GTCTTGAAAGAAGGAGCGGGACGCACCCGAGTCAAGGGTGAAGGTGTGGAAGGCCTGAGCCGACGTAGTACCTGAGAGAGCAAACTCACCAGCACCTGGGGCGGTAGACGCACTGGTACCTGGGGCAGTAGACGCACTAGCACCTAGAGCAGTAGCCTCACCAGCACCTAGCGCAGCAGCCTCAATCCACGGGTCAGGCGGTACACACAGGTAACAGGCACCCTCAACACTATCAGCAACAGCATACATGGCAGCAAGAATAGCATCAAAGTCAAGATCAAAGATAGCAACCCCGGCCTTAGCCAGATCTCCCCAGCGAGGGATCTCGGACGCCTCAGGGAACTGGCGACGCCACGCGTCCGTCAGGCGACCAAAGCAGCGCTGGGTGGAGTGTGGACCTCCGCACTGCTCACCAGTGAGGTTGCCGGTACGGAGAATGTAAGAGCAGGGACCAAAACCCCCACCACGCTGGCGTGCAGTGTACCACTCACGAAGCTGCTGAGGGGACAGGGTCGCACCGCCACGCTGCTACTGCTGGCGCTGACCACCACCGGCGCCACTCCTCGGCGCAGAGTCGCGACTTGCTCCACCACCGCCGCCTCCGCCACCTCCATCGCCTCCTCCACCTCCGCCTCCTCCACCACCTCCGCCGCCTCCGCTCCCTCCGCCACCTCCACCGCCTCCTCCGCCGCCACTGCTGCTGCCGCCGCCGCCACCCCCGGCACCACTCCCACCACCACCCCCACTCCCTCCACCGCCTCCACCACCGCCTCCACCGCCCCCTCCACCCCCACCAGTACCCTTGCCCCCCTTGCCCTTGCCGGTGCGGCGTCTCCCGCTCGGGGCAGACGCAGCGCCGATTGACTCGAAACCAACGAGGTCGGCCGCAGCAGCAGAGGCAACAGAGGGCAAGAGGGGGGAGGGAGAACACCCCTCAAAGACTGGGGTGCGAGGGTCACCACGAGAGGCTCCTACAGCAACTATGCTCTTCTCTATCGCTAAGAGGGCCTTCTCGAGGAGGTCAACGGTGAGAGTGGTGGGGCAAACAAAGAGGAAGTGGTCCCTGACTACACGAAGAGAGTCAGGGAGTCGGGTGACTATGTAGTAGAGGGTGATGTACATGGGGGGGGGGTTCTTGGCGTAGATTTCAGCAGGAAGCACAGCGCAGTAGCGGGTGTCACTAGTGCGGAGGTGCGTAATGAGGTCAGCGACAGTGGGGAAGGCAGCAAGGTCAGGGAAGAGGTACGGTAGCATGAGGCGGCTCAGTGCAGCAGTGGCAGGGGAAGAGTAGCGTGCAACTACAGCGTCGTACAAGGTCTGAGCACTCTTGTACTAGCTAAAGTGTGCACGCTCAGTGGTCGGTAAGTGGCGGCGCACAGCAAGGCGAGCAGCAGCATCACGTGTGGCCCACTGTGAGCGAACAGTGGCGTCAGCATCCGCAGCAGGGGCAGGGGAGGCACCAGAAGTGAGGTCAAACAGGGAGAGGCCGTCTGCCCTATCGCACTGCAAGAAAAGCTGCAGATCATCTACCCAGACCTCAAAGTCCACTGCCCGACCCTCAGCGTCAAAGGTCAGAACGCTAGGGGAAGCCATAACAGTAGTAGGCAGGGCAGTGCAGTGGCAGAGACTGTGCTCTTACCAGGTAGGTGGAGCGATCGGGCTGCTCGGCGGCTCGGCTGTCGAGCGGCTCGGCTGCAGGGCGGCTCGGCTGCTGGGCGGCTCGGCTGCTGGGCGGCTCGGCTATCAGGCGGCTCGGTTGCTGGGCGGCTCGGCTGTCGGGCGGCTCGGCTGCCGGGCAGCTCGGTTGCTGGGCGGCTCGGGCGGTCGGGTGGTTCAGCTGGCCGGCGGTGCGGCTGCTCGGCGCTGCGTGCGCTGGGAGGCGGGGTCACAGGTGTGGCGAGGTCGCAGGTGGCGGCGGGCCGCAAGGGTGGGCGGGGCCGCGGTGGTGACGGGGCCGAAGTGGTCGACGGGGCCGACGGGGGGCCGTAGCGGGGCCGACGGGACCGAAGCGGGGCCTAAGAAGGGGCCGTAGCGGGGCCGACGGGGCCCTAGCGGGGCTTAAGTGGGGCCGTAGCGGGGCCGTAGCGGGGCCGTAGCGGGGCCGCAGCGGGGCCTAAGCGGGGCCGACGGGGGGCCTAAGCGGGGCTGCGACGGGGCCGACGGGGCCTAAGCGGGGCCGACGGGGCCGTAGCAGGGCTGTAGCGGGGCCGTAGCGGGGCCGACGGGGCCGTAGCGGGGCCGTAGCGGGGCCTGGGCGGGGCCTAAGCGGGGCCGACGGGGCCGTAGCGGGGCCGACGAGGCCTAAGCGGGGCCGACGGGGCCGTAGCGGGGCCGTAGCGGGGCCTAAGCGGGGCCGTAGCGGGGCCGACGGGGCCTAAGCGGGGCCGTAGCGGGTGGCTGGAGGGGCAGTAAGGGCGGCCAATAGGGGCCACTAAGGCGGCTCGAGGCGCTACTCGGGTTAGGAGCTAAGCGCGCTCCGGGCAGGGAAGGAAAAAAAAAGTTCGTGGTGGGCCCTAGGCAGTATTCCCACTCGGGAACCTGCTCGATACCATGACGAGAAGTGAGAATGGATGAATGAACTATGAAGCAGTTGGGTACAAGTACTAACCCTAATTGGGTTGTACCCCTTATGGGCTACCCCACTACAGCCTACACAAATGTATAAGCTATAATATTCTGACACCACCGCCGCCTGCACCCTGACCGCCCCTCCTGCCACCCCTACCTCGAGACCGCGACGAAGTCGTAACAGCAGCTGCGGTCACGTCAGTAGTGGTAGTGGCTAGTGAGGCAGTAAAAGAGGGCAGCTGGGGGATACTGCACCCGTGAAACAGTGGAGGGGGCACAGCACCAGAGGCGGAGGCTACGGAGCAGAGGTTGCTCTCGACGTCCTTGAGTGCAGACTCAAGGACCTTGATAGTGAGCTCACTAGGGTGCTTCAGAAGAAGCGTGTCACGAACCTAGGCAAGGCGGTTAGGGAGGCTAGTGGCAATGAAGTAAATAGTAATCGCCATGGGAGGGGGAAGCAGTGCAAGCTGTGCGTCAGTGCAAGCAGCGCGGTAGCTAGAATCGAGCGAGCGGAGGTGAGCAATCAAGTCAGCAGAGCGCTCAAACGAGCCGAGGTCAGGGAACAAGAACGGTAGGAAGAGGCGGCCAAGAGAGACAGTGGTGGGAGTAGCGTAGCGGGCCTTGATCGCAGTCACGAACTCACTAGCAGTGCGAACCTGAGTGAAGTGGGCCTCCTCAGACCCAGGGAGGAGGCTGCTAAGAGCGATGCAGGCAGCAGCGTCACGCGACTTCCACACCGTCAGGTCAGCACGCTGGCGGGTAAAGCGGTCTCTGGCGGCGTCGTCAGGGGCAGGGTCTAAAGGCGTAGGGTCGTCGGGCGCAGGAAGGTCACCAGTAGCGTGCGCCTAGAGGGACTCACCCGCCTGGACCTGACTCTCTAAAAGGCGACGCGCGCGTAGGAGCTAGACCGGAAACTCGAGCGGTCTACCGTCAGCGTCAAAACGAAGAACCCTAGGGGTCGCCATAGCGTAAGCGGAAACGACAAGTCCGGCTGCGAGCGGCACTGGTAGGGCGGCTAGGGCAAGTCCGTGGTAGGTGCAAAACGCAGGCGCGATAGGCGCAAGGGGTGTGGACTGAACGAGTAGGTGCAGTAGTGTGAAGGGAGGGCCGAACTAGCGGGCCCGTAGCGGTCCTAACAAAGAGGCGCGGCGGCTGAAAGGTAGGGCCCGTGGCGGCTAGAAGGGAGGGTTCGCGGCGGGCAGTACGGGCAGGCGCAGCGGCGGGACAAGCGAGCCCACGGTGGGCCTAACTAGGAGGCGCGACGGCGGGTAGGAGGGGTAGGCGCGGCGGTAGGACGAGCGGGCCCTCGGCGGGCCTACCTAGGAGGCGCGACGGCGGGCAGGAGGGGTAGGCGCGGCGGCGGGACTAGCAGGTCCGCGGCGGGCCGAACGGGCAGGCGCGGCGGCAGGCGGGGCGTGCGAACGGGCGTGTAGGGCAGCGGGGGGAGGGCGCGTCGCGACGAGCAGCAGGGGAGGGGACGACGGGACGGGAAGAGGGGGAGAGCGGGACGTGACGAGGGACAGGGGAAGGCGCGACGCGACAGGCAGCGGGGGGAAGGCGTGAAGTGATGGACAGCGGGTTAGTGGGTCGGCGGAACGGGCGGTAACGAACGAACAGGACTAGATCGCGCGGGCGGTAACGAACGAACAAGACTAGATCGGGCCGGCGGTAACGAACGAACGGGACTAGATCGGGCCGGCGCTAGGCTCGGGCAAGACGGGCGCAACTAGTACGACAGTGTGAGACAGGCTCGGGTGAGACGAACGAGGACGGGAGGAGCGGGATCCCACAGGATCCTAACCTAGGTGATACCATGTCAAGAATACGGTATAAGTGTTGGTTTCATTGATGTGAGTTGGGGTACATATAACAAACCCTAACATCTGTACCCCCTAAGACAAACCTCACTAGAGGCTACAACATTTGACAAAAATGTGAGCGAAGGCATGAGCGAACATTTATACGTGAAACATGCAAACGGTAACGCGGTGCATGCGAGCTAGCTAGTGCTATGCTGGAGCGAGGCTCGGGCTAGTTCCGAAGCGTAGGTCGACACGGCCAGGCCAGCAGTGCGAGGTTTGGTGAAACAGTGCGCGCGAAGTGGGCGAAGCCCCGTTAGCAGTAACGGGCGAACAACGGCTGCTGCTGTACACGATATTGCAGGGTGCTCTAAGGAATATCGAGAAAATTCCTTACATGAGTACACATCAGTGGAATACCCATATAAATATATCACTTCGATTTTCCAGAATTGGACAGCAGGAAACAACCTTGCATTTCTAAGCACATAGTAGCATTAAAACGCAAGGCTGTTCCCACCTGTCACCTACTGCACCCCAATCCACCCGATTCACACTCACAATCCCCACTCTCGACAAATAACCCTTCCCCTAATTCACCTCCCATTCCCAGCCTTCCCTCTGCATCCCTTTCTAGTATCGGCTCCAGTAAGACGTCGCAGCAGGCGGGTTCCGAGCCGCAAACGACCCAAGAGCCGCACCATTGGGATATGCATCAGTGGAAGCAACCGCATAGTAAGAAGCAGGATTCGCCAAGAGCAGATCCATCACATCCTTATAAGTCGGCCCGGCCGCCGTGGTAATAGTGCTTGCATTATACCACATCCCAGCAAACCCATAAACAAATCCCGAGGGAACGGGCGGGCGGAAGAAGCCGAAGAACTTGGGGAAGGGCGGCTGGCGGCGGGCGCCGCGCTTCAGAGCACCATTGGCGTTCAGTGCAGAGCAGTTTCCGGACCACGTGAGATTGGTCCACGTGGCACTGGCGCCAAAGTCCAGGACGACTGCTGACGTGGCGTTGTCGTTGATGGTAATGGACGTGGGCAAGCCCGCGTCGGTGAGCTTGAGGGCGGCACCGTAGCGGATGTTGTAGTCGCCGCTGTAGCTGCAGGTGGGAAGGCGAGTGATTGCGGCGAGGGAGAGCGAACAAGGTGTAAGACGTGCGCGGCATAAAAAATAGGTGCCAGGAAAAGGATGCACGGCAGAAGCATGGGGATATGTCGTAGGTAAACCCCAGAAACAGCAGTGAGACATGATCAGAGTGACATGGAAAAAAAATAAATAAAAAAAATCTCTTTTAAGGCTTGAGGTGGGCGTCTTACTTGTAGACGGCGAGCAGCACGACGCCCGTAGCGTTGACGTCGCCCGTGACTGTGCCTGATGCGTCAGCCACGTTGTTACCCAGCATGCGCGCCGCCAGTGCTCCTGAGCGGTAGCAAGGGAAGGAATTGAAGGTGTGTGGGTGACAGGTGAGTGAGGGAGGGGGGGAGGGAGAGAGGGAGAGAGGGAGAGAGGGAGAGAGAGAGAGAGAGAGAGAGAGAGAGAGAGAGAGAGAGAGAGAGAGAGAGAGAGAGAGAGAGAGAGAGAGAGAGAGAGAGAGAGAGAGAGAGAGAGAGAGAGAGAGAGAGAGAGAGAGAGAGAGAGAGAGAGAGAGAGAGAGAGAGAGAGAGAGAGAGAGAGAGAGAGAGAGAGAGAGAGAGAGAGAGAGAGAGAGAGAGAGAGAGAGAGAGAGAGAGAGAGAGAGAGAGAGAGAGAGAGAGAGAGAGAGAGAGAGGGGGGGGGGGGGGGGGAGAGAGGGAGATCGAGAGAGGGAGGGAGATGCTAAGAAAACTAACAACAACGGAGGAGAAACTCACCGATGCGTTGTCCTGGGTGGCCGCCGAACTGCCCCCATCCGCCCTGACCCCACCTGAAGCCCCCGCCGCCTCTGCCACCCTGGCCGTAGCCAGGCGCCATCCTGAAGGCCGCACCTGCAGTGAGCGAGAGAGAGGTAACAGAGCCAAGACAACCAGCAGCCGTTAGGGCGAGTGGAACTCCAATTCGCTTGCAGTAAGCGAAGCAACATGCGTGTGAGGAAAAACAAACTGCCGAGTTTCGCGGGATGATTCTTGTTAAGTTCAGGTTGCGAGTGCACTTACATGACAGAGCGAGTGAGAGGAGGAAGAGCGCGAAAAGAGTCGTCTTGACAGCCATGGTCGCTGGGATTCAGAGACTGACAACGACTGCTTATATATCTTGCGATGCTTCAGCGATTCAAGAATGGCTTGTTTCAAACACCGGGAAGAGATGGAATTCGAGAGGAGCGAACAAGCTGCGTTACTTTGTACTGGATGTTGATTAAGCGTCGAGCCATCTTATACCGTATCACGAAGGCCCACAGCACCGCGGGTTTGTGGCTAGAAGGGTGGTGGTGGATGCGCGGCGGGGAGGGAAGGAAGGGTGGAATGTTCAAAAGCCAGCTGGCGTATCAGGCGGGTTGGAGAGGAGAGAAGACCATTCAACCTAGTGATCTAGGAGGCAGATTTGTCGGCTGTTTCTGGAGGCTGCTCTTGTCCTTTTGCGAGGATGGTGGTGGTAACCCTCCACTCTCAACAACCTCCAACGAAGGGAATCTGGATTTCGCGACCTTTAGAGCGACAATGTATTCGAGTATCAGATATTCGCAACTCTCTCAAGCTTTTCGCGTACTTGAACGAAACAATTCGCCGTTCTGGTAAGGTAGGGGGTTCTTCGTCCTACGAGGTGTTTCTCGGTGAAGTTTTGAAGGATGTACGGCAGCTTCCACCACTTGTGATCTGCCTTTCCTCCACCATTCGATCCCTTCCCTTCACACTGCCGAAAATTCTTTCATTTTCAACGCCCAGGCGGGTTGGGCCCACAATTTATTGCCAAGTTCCGTTAGTGACTGGCACATATATCGTCGAAGTAATTTTTAGTTCTGAATTGAAGGAGCCCATTCCACGAGCGAATAATAAAATAGTGAATTTTTATATCACTGCAGATGTATTAATGTTTGGAAACCATCCAATCCAAATCAATCCAGCCATCCAAATAGTAAAATGTGAAGAAACGTCAGAGCCGATTCTCCTGTCAACAATTTCAGTTTCCAGCCCTGCCCTTACAAGCAATGGAGGACTCCAAGCAAAGAAACAACCCGCACTGGCGTTCACTAGTGCAACCGAAGCAGATGCTAAGCACAGATGACACAACAGGTTTGTATCAAAGAAGACACCTGGCAGCAGCAATGCTGACGTGACACTGCATTGAACCAGAGAAGCGAGGCAGACAGCGTGAGAAGACTCTCCACCTGCCAGGAAACAAAACAGCGTAGGAAGGAAACTTGCCACAGCCAGTTCTAATAAAAGCCAGGCGAAATGAAAGGCAAAGCGACTGCCATGACAACACTGGTGAAGGAGGCAAGTGCAGACTTGGTGTTGAAAACTCTCTCTACTCGCCACAACTGCTTTCAGACACAGCAACACCAACCAGTACCCCACTACCCACTGACCATGGCCAAAGTGGCTCTAATGCAAGCTGAACACACTCCCTCATTCATCCACTCACCCTGCTGCGGGCCGAACACACTCCCTCACTAACCCACTCACCTCACTGCGGGCCGAAGACGCGGATGCGCTGCGAGATGGGCGAGCGGCACGTGGGGCAGTCGGGCATGCGGCGGGCGAGGAGAGCGTCGTTGCAGGCGAGGCACACGATCTGATGCGCACACGGCAGGAACACCACCTGCACCTCCTCACTCATGCACATCACACACTCCCTCTCCCTCCTCACCCCCCCTCCTCCTCCCATGCCCATCCCGAACACTGGCCCCATCCCCAGCCCTGCCCCAAGGCTTGCTCCTGCTCCTGCTCCTCCCCCGCCTAGAACAATCCCGCCAAGGCCAATGTGGGGCAGCAGGGCGCCATGGCCTGCTGTGGTGCCTGCAGCAGCAGCAGACGCAGGGTTGCCGGTGAGACTGCCACTGAGAATGCCTCCCCCTCCCCCTCCTCCTGCTACTCCCCCTCCCCCTCCGCCTCCACCTCCCCCTCCCCCTCCCCCTGCCCCGCCCCCTCCCCCTCCCCTCGCCCCTCCAATGACCCCGTGGTTGCGTCCCCCTCCGTGCCCTGCTGCCGCTCCCTGCCTCCCCCCCTTGCCCGCAACCCCTGCCCCTCCTGCCCCTCCCAAGCCTACTCCCCCAAAGTGTATCCCATTCAGCGGCGCCACTCCTGCCACTCCTGCCGAGCCTGTGACTCCAGACATCCCACCCATCCCTGCAACAGTACCAAGCTGACCCATCACCCTCTGCCCACCACCCAACCCAACACCCCCACCAGCAACAGCGGCAGCGGCAGCAGCAGTGGCAGCAGCAGCAGCGGGGGAAGCGCCAGGAGGATGAGCAGCAGCAGCGACAGGAGTCCCCATGGGGAAATCAAAGAGGACTCCCCGTGCATTCGCCTCTCTCAAAGCCTGCGCACTCGCTGCCGCCACCACACTCGCCGCCACACTGCTACTACTACCACCACTACCCCCACCTCCACCCCCGCTCCCACTCCCACTCCCCCCACCACCACCAGCGCCAACCCCACTCCCCAACAACCCCACGCCGCCGCCCCTCAACCCACCGGCACCAGCACACCCCACTCCCACCCCTCCCGCACCCCCACCCCCGCTACCTCCCCCGCCGCTCCCACCCCACAGGCTCGCTCCGGCCATGATCCGCAGCTGCACCACCTCCCGCTCCAGTCTTGCCACCTCGCCACGGACCCTCTTCACGTCCGCCTCGCTCTTGGCTCTGAGCGTCTCCTCGCGCTGCTTCCACGCCGTCTCCGCCTGCTCGCGCGCGCGGCACTCTGCGTCGGCGCGCGCGGTTGCTTCCTCGCGCACCTTCTCCTCCTGCCGCCACCGCTGCTCCGCCTGCTGCTGCCGCCGCCGCGTCGCTTCCAGGTCGGACAGGGCCGTTGCCAGCTTGCGCCTCTCCTCCCCTAGCTCCTCCTGTGGGGGACAGCATTCACACGTGGGATTCGTGAGGGGTCACGATGCTTCCAGGTCGGACAGGGCCGTTGTCAGCTTGCGCATCTCCTCCCCTAGCTCCTCCTGTGGGGGCGAGGGGGGCATTTGGAATCATGTGGCAGGCAAGGTGGTTTCCGCATGGGGAGACGATTCATGAGGGGTCACAATGCTTCCAGGTCGGACAGGGCCGTTGTCAGCTTACGCCTCTCCTCCCCTAGCTCCTCCTGTGGGGGACAGCATTCACACACGTGGGATGCAGAGAATCTCACTAGCTATACACCAGCGAGGTGATTTGGAGGTTGCGAGCTTGGGTGGTGCAAGTTCGCACCTGTGAGAGAATTGAAAAAAACAACAGCAACATTTGGCCACAACACCCACTTGCAGCTTCACCATTACCAGCTCAATCGCTTCCACACTCTTGAGCGCATTGCATTCCTGCTTTCCCGGGAGATCACTGAATACACTAGCTGCTTCTACACGTCTCCCTTACACCCACCTGCAGCTTCGCCTTGACCCGCTCGATGGCCTGCACCCTCTTGAGCGCCTTGCCCTCCCGCTTGCCCGCCTCTGCCAGCTTGGCACTCGCCTCGCTCACCCTCAGCCCCGCCGCCTGCAGCTCCGCTCGCAGCTGAGAAGGACACAAGAGAGGGAATATGGGGGAGGCACGGGGGGGAGGACGAGGGGGGTTGGGCGAGAGGTGAGCACACAGCAGACCAGCTTATATGGCGACAGCTTGGCACTCGCCTCGCTCACCCTCAGCCCCGCCGCCTGCAGCTCCGCTCGCAGCTGAGAAGGAGCATAGGGAGTATGGGGAAAATGGGGAAAACGAGAGGTGAAGCCATGCTCAGCCAAATTCTATGCACATAAAGAATTCTGTTTTTTTTTTTTTTTTTTCAAAACATACGGCTGAACCATCACTCCTCCCCACCACCCCAAATCCCCAACACACCTCTGCATTCTCTGCCTCCAGGCGGCACACGGCCACGTTGGCACAGTCAACCTGCCCCGACGCCTTCCGGAGGGCTACCTCCATCTCGCCCAGCTGCCTTAACTCGCCTCACACTGAGAGACCCTAAACCCCAAATCCCAAACTCACCTCAGCGTTCTCTGCTTCCAGCCGACAAACAGCAGCGTTGGCACGGTCAACCTGCCCCGACGCCTTCCGGAGGGCCGCCTCCATCTCGCCCAGCTGGCGCGCGGCGCTCTCCTCCTTGCCGTCCTGCTCGCGCCGGCTGCGCACCCACTCCTCCCGCTCCGCCCTCAGCTGCCGCAACTCCTTGCTCTCCCTCACCAGCTTCTGCGCCACCTGCATCACCTGTAAAGGGAAGGAAAGGGGGGAGTGGAGGAAAAGCGAACCGGGGGGAAGAGTCGGGGGGAACAGAGGGCCAAAGGGGCGAATGGAGGGAGAAAGGGGGGGAACCGGTGTTGAGGAAGGAAGTCAGGGTGAGGGAAGGGGAGGAGAAAAGAGAGCTCTCGGCTCCTCCTTGCCGTCCTGCTCGCAGCGGCTGCGCACCCATTCCTCCCGCTCCGCCCTCAGCTGCCGCAGCTCCTTGCTCTCCCTCACCAGCTTCTGTGCTACTTGCATCACCTGCGGGGGGGGAGAGAAGTGGAGGAAGAGCGGGGGGGGGGGGGGGGAGGGGGTGTGGTGAGAAAGGACGGGGGAGAAAAGGAGAAAAGGGATAGATAGCAGCAAGGCCCTCCCCCCCACCTTTTTTCTTTCCCCCCCACTCACCCGTTGCTGCGCCCAGTGCTTGCTGTCGTCCACTGCTGCTTCCAGCTCCCTCACCCTCGCCTCCAGCCATGCCGTATGCTGCTCCTTCCGCTCGTCCACCTGGCAGGGGGAGGGGGTGCGGAAGGGAGGGGGGACGCCAGGTGTGCGGATCAGCTCAGAGCCTCCAGCTCCCTCACCCTCGCCTCCAGACATGCCATGTGCTTTTTTTGAGGCGCCTCAAAAATAAGATCAGAGCCTCCAGCTCTATCACCCTCGCCTCCAGCCATGCTGTGTGCTGCTCGCACCTCTCGTCCACCTGGCATGGAGGGAGGGGAGGAGAAGAGGGGAGAGGGAAGGGGGAAATATGAGAGTGCAGCAAGAGAGTCAACTCAAAACTTCGAGCCAAGACGTTTGCTGCTCGTGCATCTCTTCCCCACCTGCGCATACCGCTCTGCACCCACCTGTCCTTCGAGCTCCTCGACACGCCTCTCAAGATGCACGCACTGCTTCAGCACAGCGCCATGAGTGGCATGCATTCCTCAACACCCTGTCCCTCCATTCCTTCCTTCCCCATCTGCGCACACCACTCTGCACCCACCTGTCCTTCGAGCTCTTCAACGCGTCTCTCAAGGTGCACACACTGCTTCAGCACGGCGCCATGCGTGGCGTGCAGCTGCTCCAGCCGCTCCATCACCCCCTCCACACTCTCCGCTCCCTTCCCCACCGCTGCCGTCGCCGCTGCCACTGCCGCTGCTGCTGCTGCTGTTGTTGCTGCTGTCACTGCTGGTAACCCGGCCGTTATGCCACTGGCCGTACTGGTAGGTTTGCCGCTTGACGCGTTGCTTGTGACACCACCACTGCTGGTCACGCCGCCGCTGCTTGTTACACCAGTGCTTGGCACACCTGTGGTCACACCGGCTACACCCGGCACACCTGTGGTGACTCCAACAGACCCTGCCGCACCAGACACGCTCACTCTCTCTGTTGCCCTGCCTGCCTGTGCACCACCAAGCACACCACCTGACGCGCCCTGCTGCGACTGAAGAGGGTCAAAGGGCACCATCACGCCAGGAGAATTCAACAGAGTAGGTGGATTCAACAGAGTGCGCTGGTTCACAGCACTGACAGCCGCTCCTGAAACAGCAGCACCCCCTGTAGCAGAATCGGCTACTACAGTACCTACAGTACCTGCACCACACGCTACAGCAGTAACCGCACTACCTGTTACATCAGTAACTGCACTAACTGTTACAGCAGTAACCGCACTACCCGCTACAGCAGTAACCGCACTACCTGTTACAGCAGCAGCAGGCATGGTACAGTTAGGTGGAATACTGGCTGTCACAGCACGGTTGGGCATGGCAGCAGCAGAAGCAACAGCACCTGCGACACTGCCGCCTGCACTACCATGAGCATGATTCATGCCGCTATCCGTCCCTGTGTGAACTAGCCCATGCTTCTCCTCGCCCTCTCCCCCTCCTGCCACCCCTCCTGCCACCCCTCCTGCCACCCCTCCTGCCACCCCTCCTGCCGCCCCTCCTGCCACCCCTCCTGCCACCCCTCTTGCCACCCCTCCTGCCGCCCCTCCTGCCGCCCCTCCTGCCGCCCCTCCTGCCATCCCTGCCACCCCTGCTCTCGCAACTCCCACTGCCCCTCCTGCCCCCAGTCCGCCCCCTGTCCCCCCCATCTCTTCCCCATTACCAGCATCCCCACGCCTCCTCTGTGCCACCACCAACCGCCTCCTCCTCCCTCTCACCCCCCCCACCTCACTCCCCCCTACCCCAGCCACTCCACCTCCCGTTCCTACCCCCACACCTGCCGAACCTGGCTGCATGAGCAGGTCCGGGAACACGGTGTGTGGAGCTGAAGTCCCCGAACCTGGCCAGGTGGCTTGGGAGGTAACCGAGGTTTGGGCCAAGGCAGGAGGGGGAGGTTGCGGGTGGGTGTAAGGTGGGGGGTGGGCGTGGGGGTAAGCAGGGGAGGAGAAGGAGAAGGGTGCGGATGCTGACATGGGAGCTGTGGTAACGCTTGTCATGCTCCCTGCTGTTGCACCCCTTGCACCACTTGCACCATTCGCACCACTTGCACCATTCGCACCACTTGCACCAATCGCACCACTTGCACCATTCGCACCACTTGCACCATTTGCACCAATTGCACCACTCACACCATTTTCTGCCCCAGCACCATCTGCTAGAGCAGCCCCAGAAGCAGCGGCAGCAGAAGCAGAGGCAGTGGCGAGTCCAGCAGTTGCAGTTGCCACCGCTGCACCTGCTGCAACAGGCAGGGAGGGCAGACCACCAGCAGCAGCAGCAGCAGCTGTAGCAGAGGCAGGGGCGTTGCTGCAAGCAATGATGCTTCCCAGCACCTTCTGCTTTGACTTGCCGGAGGGATTGAGTGCGGGTGCAGAGGGGACGGGAGGGGAAGAGGAGGGAGACGCCAGAGGCACGGGAGCAGCAGGCGTGGTAGCAATGCTGCTGGTGGTGCTGCTGCTGCTGGTAGTGGTGGTGGTGTTGCTGGTGGCAGTGACGTTGGAGGCAGCAGCAGCAGCAGCAGTAGAATCAACGGAGGCAGTGGTGGCAGCAACAGCAGGGGTGAGGGCGGTGCTGGTGGGGGCGGTGCTGGTGGGGGCGGTGCTGGTGGGGGCGGTGCTGGTGGGGGCGGTGGGGGCGGTGGCGGTGGCGGTGGCGGTGGCGGGGGCGGTGCTGGTGGGAGGAATGTTTGTGGCGGCGGAGGTGGAGGAGGAGTAGAGGCGGGCAGCAGGGGAGGGCAGGAAGCCAGGAAGAGAGAGGGGGAACATGGAGGCCGGAGATGCTGAGGCGGGAGCAGCGGGAGCGGCGGAGGAAGAAGGAGAAGGTGCAGTGGTAGGAGGGTTGGACTGGACAGGTGTGATTGTTGTAGCAACCTGCCGCTGCTGCTGCTGCTGCTGCTGCTGCTTGTGTCCCTCGTATGAGTCACATCCAAACTCGTCCCTAAGCACATCCCTACTCGTGCTGATATTGCTGCTGTTGCTGCTGCTGCTGCTGCTGCTGCTGCTGCTGCTGCTGCTGCTGCTGCTGCTGCTGCTGCTGCTGCTTGCTGCTGCTGCTGCTGCTGTGCTGTGCTGCTGCTGCTGCTGCTGCTGCTGCTGCGCTGCTGCTGTGCTGCTGATGCTGCTGCTGCTGCTGCGCCCTGCTGCTGCTGCTGCTGCTGCTGCTGATGCTGCTGCTGCTGCTGCTGCTGCTGCTGCTGCTGCTGCTGCTGCTGCTGCTGCTTTGCTGCGCTGCTGCTGCTGCTGGCTGCTGCTGCTGCTGCTGCTGCTGCTGCTGCTGCTGCTTGCTGCTGCTGCTGCTGCTGCTGCTGCTGCTGTGCTGTTGCTGCTGCTGCTGCTGCTCGCCGTTGCTGCTGCTACTTGTGGTGTTGCTGTTGCTGTTGCTGTTGCTGATGTAGCTGCTACTCATGCTGCTGCCACCTTCCAGTGCTGCTATCCCCTCTGAGGCAAGACTGACCCTCATACCCTGCCTTCTCCTCTCTTACTTCTCCCGTCTTCCCTCCTGAAACTTCGCGCTCTCTCTCTCCCTCACCTTCCCTCCACCTGCGATCTCATCGTCCCCATGGGCCTCCCCATCTGCAGCACCAGCAGTCGCAGCAGCAGAACGATCAGTAGCACTGTCACGACCACCACCACCGTCACCAGCTCCAGCACCAGCACTAGCACCAGCACCAGCAGCAACACCGCCACTACCATCATCATCACCAGCATCAGCAATAGCGTCACCGTCACCATGGCCATCTAAGCCGGGCAGCAGCAGCGCAGCAGATTCATTGCCATTGCCACACCCACCCTTCACTCTCCCACTCTCCTTCTGAGGCGCCTCTAAACTAGATCCCTTGCCACACCCACCCTTTCTCCCACTCTCCCCTTCCCCTTCACTCCTCCGCCGCTCTTCCTCCAGCTGTGCCCTCAACGTATCCACCCAGGTCATCGGATTAACCTCACCGGGTTGACTGGGTTGACTGGGTTGACTGGGTTGACCGGGTTGACTGGGCTGACCGGGTTCACCGGGCCGGCAGTTGCTGTCACGAAGCACGAGGTGCGAGACGGAGGAGAGGGTGAGCGGGTTCATGCCTCCGAACAGACCTGGAGGGCGGCGGCGCATTTGGGGAGAGGACGGAAACGGGAAGGGACATGTGGGGAGGAGGGGAAGGTGCGAGACAGAGGAGAGGGTGAGCGAGTTGATGCCTCCGAACAGACCTGGAGGGCGGTCGCATTTGGGGGGGAGAACGACAATGTGGGAGACGGTGGGAGATGAGGGGGAAGGCACATATGGAAAGAGGAAGAGGGGTGAAGGCGGAGGTTGGGGGGGGGGAGGGGAGGGGGGGGGGCCTGAAAGAGAAGGGTGCGTTACCAGTGGTGGAGGCAATGGGTTTGAGCATGGCCCCGGCGAACACGTTCTCAAAAGAGAGGCGCGGGGGGTTGGGGAGTGGGTTGCCCTCCGATTGGAGGGAATGGGTGAGTGGTTACCAGTGGTGGAGGCAATGGATTTGAGCATGGCCCCGGCGAACACGTTCCCAAGGGAGAGGTGGGGAGGGGGGGGGTTAGGGGTTGGGGTGAGTTACCCTCTAATATAGGCGAGGGTGAGTTACCAGTGGTGGAGGCAATAGATTTGAGCATGGCTCCAGCAAACACGTTCTGCAGCGCCATCGAGAACGCAGTCGAGTTCTGCTCCGCCTGCGCTGACGTGGCACTCGGCGCCTCTGCTGACGTGGCACTTGGTGTCTCCGATGACGTGAGCGATGCCACTTCAGCACTCTCCGCGCGCACACGATCACAATCACCATCTCTGAAATCACACTTTAAGCCGGCAGCCGTGAAGGGCTCGTTCAAAGTCAGGGACTCCTCTGAACTCTCCTTCAAAGAAGAAATCTCCAAAAACTCCTTTACTGACTGCTCCGAATCCGTTTCTTGGCCTGGCAGTGGCTTCTCCTGAGCGCCCTCTGCTGTTGCCAACGAGCCTGCCGTGCCTGCCTCTGAAGCACACTCCTGTGATGCTGCTGAACCTTTTGAGTTGTTCGCCTCTGCAGCACACTCTTGAGGCGCCTCAGAAGTTAATCTGTTCGCCTCTACTGCAGCGCACTCTGCTGCTGGCGCTGAGGCGCCATCCTCCAGAGCGGCCTGTACAGGTGCTGAGGTGTTGGGATGGGTTTTCGATTCGGACTGGAGCGCGGCGGGTGTGTGCTGGTCTGTGAGTGGTGCTTGTGAGAGGTTATTGTCCGCAGGGGCGGAGGCGGAGGGATGCGAGGAGGAGGCATGTGTGGGAGGAGAGGTGGAGGAGGAGGAGGAGGAGGAGGAGGGTGATGCAGCACTCACAGTAGCAATGGCGGCAGTGGTGGTGACAGTAGCAGTAGTGGTAGTGGAGGTAGTGAGGGGAGAGGGAGAGGAGGAGGAGGAGGAGGAGGAGGAGGAGGAGGAGGAGGAGGAGGAGGAGGAGGAGGAGGAGGAGGAGGAGGAGGAGGAGGAGGAGGAGGAGGAGGAGGAGGAGGAGTAGGAGGAGGAGGAGGAGGAGGAGGAGGAGGAGGAGGAGGCTGCTGCTGCTGCTGCTGACGTACCTGCTGCTGTAGCCTCTCCTGCCCCTGCTGCTGCTGCTGCTGATGATTCTACTGCATGGCCTGAGGACCCCACTGCCTGAGTGCCCGGCTTCCCTTTTCCCCCACCTGTTGCTACAGCCGCCTCTGCACCACTGTTCCCTGCTGCACCGCCAGCAACAGCAGCAGAGCTTCCTGCTGCTCCGACAGTAGTAGTCGCAGTGTCATCCTTTCCTTGGGCACCATCAGCAGCGCCTTTCCCTGCATCCCCATCAGCCACGCTCTGAGCGCCATCAGCACCGCCCTTGCCCGCGGCAGCAGAATCAGCAGCAGCAGAATCAGCAGCGGCAGCGGCAGCCTCCTGGTGGCGAATGAGCATCTGCTGGAGCACAAAGTGCAGCTGCTCCTGCTGCTGCTGCAGCACCACCATCGCCCGGTCCAACTGACTCTTCACATGCTGCTGCGTCTCCCTCTCCGCCTGCTCCTTCCCCATCTGCTGCAACTGCTGCGCCTGCGCCTGCTGCACCTGCTGCCGGCGCCGGCGCCGCCGCGACGACGCGTGGGCGAGGCTCTGCTGCTGCTGGTGCTGCTGCTGCTGGAGAAGCAGCTGCTGCTGCAGCGACTGCTGCTGCTGCACGTGGTACTGTTCGATCCGCTGCTGCAGCTGCTGCGGCTGCTGCTCAGGAGTGGTGGAGGAGTGGAGGGAATTGAGCGACTCGAGGAGGTGCAACTGGTGCGGGTTCATGTGCTGCTCCATGGCCCGTTTCTGCTGCATGATTTCGGCTAAGTGCTTCTGAAGCTCCTCGTCTGAGATACGCTGGGGGTTCTGAGTGCTCGATTGCTGCTGTGACTGTGACTGTGACTGCGATTGCTGTGCCTGTGCCAGCGACTGGGACTGGGACTGTGACTGCTGCGACTGGGACTGCTGTGACAGCGACTGCTGGAGCAGTTGCTGCTGTAGCGGCAGCTGCAATGGCTGCTGCTGCCAAAACGGCTGCTGCTGCGGCTGCTGCTGCTGTGGCAGCGCCTGCAGCGGCTGCTGCTTCTGCCCACCGTCCCTCTGCCCCTGCCCCCCCTGCTGCGCCCCCTGCTGCCCCAGCACGTGCCTGGTTTGCCGCTGCAGCAGCTGCTGCGTGTCGTGCTGCGACTGCGCGAGCAGGGAGGGCAGCATCTTCATCTGCTGCAGCAGCTGCAGGTCCTCGGGGTTGCCCTGCACGTACTGCTGCATCTGCTCCAGCGTCGCCTGGTACTGCTGCTGCTGCTCGTGCAGCCGCCGGAACGCCTCTGACTGCCGCAGCACCCACCGCTCGTGCTCCTCGTCAAACGGCTTTGCAGCAGCAGCACTGCTAGCACTGCTGCTGCTTCCTGCATCCCCAACTGCTGCTCCTCCTCCTGTAACTGCCCCTCCTGCCCCCCCTGCTCCTGCTCCTCCTCCTCCTCCCCCTCCTGCTCCTGCCCCTCCGCCCTTTCCTCCTTTGCTCTTCTTGGCTCCTTTCCGCTTCCCTCCTCCTTTCCACGCCTCCTTGCCTGCATCTGCGCCTGCCACTGCTGCTCCTGCTCCAGGAGCACTTGTCGTAGATGTACCTGCACCAGATGTACCTGCACCAGATGTACCTGCACCAGATGTACCTGCACCAGATGCACCTGCACCAGATGCACCTGCACCAGATGCACCTGCACCAGATGCACCTGCACCAAATGCACTTGCACCAGATGCACCTGCACCAGATGCACCTGTCGTGGGTGCTCCAGCACCAGACCCACCTGTTGCAGGTGAGCTTGTACCAGATGCACCTGTCACTGGCACACCCGTCGCAGCAGAAGCATTGGTTGCAGCTGCAGCAGGTGCATTGGGTGGAGTGGCAGCAGCAGTGCATGCAGAGGCAGCGGTAGCAGCAGCGGTAGCAGCAGCGGTAACAGCAGCGAAAGAAGCAGCAGAAGCACTGGAAGCTGGAGAAGCAGTGCGCACAGGGGCAGCAGAGGAACAGAAAGCAGCAGAAGGAGGAGCAGCAGCAGGAACTACAGCTGCTGCTACTGCCCCGCCTGCAGCGTTGGAAGGCGGCGGTTGTGAGTGCAGGGAGGCACGCAGCAGCTGCTTGCCACGAGATGACGAAGCAGGCTTAGAGGGTGCGCCACTCAATGGTGCAAACGGCATGTGCGACGCTTCACCCGCCGATGCACCTGCTGCTGGCCCTGCTGCCGCTGCTGCTACTAGTCCTCCTCCTCCTGCTGCTGCTGGCACTGCTGCCACTGTTCCACCACCTCCCCCTGCTGCTGTTGTTGGTGCTGGTGCGGCTACAACACCACCAGCACTGCCAGCAGCACCACCGCCAGCACCACCACCAGCAATCCCTCCTTCTTTTGCTCCTCCCACCCCTTGTCCAACTGCCCCTGCGCCCCTTCCCCCGCCCGCACTGCCAGGCGCAGCCGCAGCAGCAGCAGAAAGAGCAGGAGCGGCAGCAGCCGGAGCAGCAGCAGCGGGAGCGGGAGCAGCATCGGAAGCAGCAGCAGACGGAGTGGAAGCCATGCGCGGGGAAGGCTGCAGATCCAACTCGCACGCCTTTCTAAGGTCTAAATCACTCATGAGAAGGCACCACATGGCATCCCCGCGGCTCATCTGCGGGCCCCACACAGCCTGCAGCGCGCACAGCATACGAGACACCCCATCCTGCTGCAGCTCCCTCCGAGTCGAAAACCCCAGGCTCGGGCTCCCCCCCGTGCCCTGCCCCGAGCCTGACCCCAAGGCATGGCGCGTTCCGAAGCTGCTGCCGGTGCCGAAGCTGGAGGTGTGGGTTCTGCTCCCCGAGCCTTTCCCGGACCTGCCTGCAGCCATGGCTGCGATTTCCGGGCCTCTGCCGAAGAGGAGAGCATTGGAGACGATGTTGGTCAGGGCGTCCTTTTCGCCAAAGCAGCTGCCGAACCTGTCGACGGCCTGCCGAGCCGCTTCTTCGGTGTAGCCGAAGCTAGCGACCTTGACCACCGCTTCGCTATGGAGCGAATCGAGCTTCTCTAATAGAAGCTCTTCTAAGCGGAATTCAGTTGCATCATCCCAAATGTAATTCTCAGGAGAGTCTGAACCGGCAGCTTGTGCAGTAGCAGCAGCATCCTGTCCAGCAGCAGACACAGCAGATGCGTTTTGCGGGTCATAATAGCTCTGCTGCTGCACACTTTGTTGCTGCTGCAGTTGTTGCTGCTGCTGCTGGTTCTGCTGCTGCTGATACTGCTGCTGGTACTGCTGCTGCTGGTGGTACTGCTGCTGCTGTTGCTGCTGCTGCTGCTGCTGATAATGCTGCTGCTGCTGATGCTCCCGTTGCTGCTGCACCTGCTGGGACTGGTGATGCTCATAACGGGGATCAACATGCGACAGATCGCTCTCCTCTGCCACGTCATCCGCGTCATCAAATTCGCTCTCCATGTCATCATCCGCGATATCCACGTCATCGTCCTCGTCATAATCCTCCTGCGCATCCACTGTGTCCACGTCATCACCGTCATCATAATCCCCGTCCTCGTCATAATACTCATCCTCCACGTGGATAATCCCACCCACGCACGACCCGTCACAAGCATCTTCAGTACAAGACACCAAACCCCCCTCGTCTTCAAATCCGCGCAGACCTTCCTCCCCCTGCGACCCCCAACGGCGGAGACCATCCCCCCGCAAGGTAACCCGGCTACCCGACGCTCCCCCTGCACCGTACGCCCCTGCTTCCGCGGACTCGCGGAAAGTCATCTGCATCTGCGCCATGCGCGCAGCAGCCGAGCCTTGCGCCTGTGACTGCTGCTGCGCCTTCTGCTGCGACTGCGACTGCGACTGCGACTGCGACTGCTGCTGCGTGCTCGCCGCAAGCCTTAGCTGCTGCTGCTGAAGCTTCCCCAAGTCACTCTCCCCCGTCCCTGCTAACCCCTGACCGCTTCGCGCTCTCACCTGCGATACCACCTGACATTTCACCTGCAATCCGAGCTGCGTTACATCCTGACGCGCATGACCGCCGTCCGTCTCCGCCACCGGCGGACACGCTAACGGCGCAGCGGCCGGCGGGCTTCCCTGCGCGGAAGGCGCGTCCAGGCGGAACTTGCGCTTGTTCCGGTGACTTGCTCTCTCCGCATCCTCCGCTCTAGCCCGTTCCGCATCTTCCACGGCCGCTGCTACTAACGAGGCTTCATGCGCAATTCCTGTAACGGAGACGCGATCCGCTACTGCTGGCGCTACAGCAGGCACGACGGGATTATTCTTAACGCCATGGTTCTTCGACGGACTGGAATAATTGCCTGCAGGGCCCGAAGGCCCTGATTGGTTACCTGATTGGCCTAATGAGGCTGACTGGCTTGAAAAGCCTGACTGAGCTGAAAGCCCGGATTGCGTTGAAATCCCTGACTGGTTTGAAAGCCCTGACTGGTTTGCAGGCCTTATCTGGCCTGGCAATGATCCGTGCGACGAGCAGTTGTCGCCGGATCTTACAGCCTCAACGGCCTTCTTACTTGAACCCTTCGCGAGAGATGGACCATGAGCATACAGCTGCGGCGTTTCTTGCACCTGGACCTCCCCCCCGGCCAAATTTTGCAGCTGAGGCGTTTCCACGGGTAACTGCGGGTCTGACGTGCTAGACCCGCTTTTTACTTGCTGCTTGCTGCTGTTGGAGTTGTTGCTGCTAGAGTTGCCGTGGTTGTTGCCGGCCTTGCCGGATCGTCCCTTCTTGCCTTTTCGCGGAGCCATGGAAATGCTACTGCCGAGACCAGGCAAGAGAAGAAGCTACCACGAACGCATTTCCGTCAAATCTGCTCGTGAGGGGTCCAGCGAAGGCAAATGCGGACTACGGTTCAAGTTTCGGCTAACTGTGATGGACGCAGGGTCAAACGCAGATTAGATCGACAAATTGAAAAATCGAGACAAGTTTAGAATGTTGGAACGAATGAACTGGCACGTGAACATATGGATGCCTGTTGGAATGAAAGAACCATGGCGGAAAGCACTTGCTCTAGGGGAAAAAGTAGGAGAGAGGGAGAAGGGAAGAGCTGAGCCAAGTCATGCCATGGCTGTCATGGGTGATCCAAGCAACGAAAAGGAAAAACCTCAGAAGCAGAATTAGGGTAACCCGAATTTCAATTTCTTCTATTGGTCGAGAGCCATACAAGAGCAGCATCGAGAAAACAAATCAGCAGGACTGAAGTTTCGGGCAACTGGTGAAAAGAAACGAGTCATGATGGTGGTGACTTTTCCGTTGCTGCCACATGATCCTGCTTCGGCCTGAAGGGACACGCAAGGTGCTTGGCCTGAAGGTTTCGGGGTTGGATTGGGTGGGGTCTGTCGGCCGCGCTGGCGAGCGGGTGCGATCATGTGAGGTGACCTGAAAAGGAGGAAATGGACGGATGGATGTTCCTCGGCGGGATGAGGCATGGGTTTGTAAAGTATGGACTGGTTGCCATGTGGCAGCAGACGAGAATTCACGATGACGATGTTGGCGTGGTATCCTCGCAACAGTACGAGAACCGTTTGTTGTGGTGCATCTGTAGAGTCTATTCGTTAGAAGTTTTGCTAGTTTCCAACTTCAGAACCAACAAAGTTGCAATGACCCACATCCTAATGGAAACTAAAACAAGACATAAAATGTATTTTACAAAGGGCCGCCCAGGGTCTACCTAGGGAGAGTTAAAGAGTTATGTATGTACAATGCATTCCAGAAACTAATAAGCTATTGGAAGAAGGTATCTAACCTGTGGCTATAGATAGGGGGAGAGATCATAATAGTAGTCAACCTGGGGCGACCAAGCAGAGTCCATGCAACCGACGATTTCCATCGAGCCCAATCACTGTCTCACCGTCAGTTCCCCTCTCTCGACAAAATGTGCCATACCGCTACTCTATAATACAAGAAATTCAGCATGCACAAAAACACGACACCCACTATGCCTCCATGATTCACGCTCTCTCTGCACAACTCGCGCATTCTCTTCATTCGCTTGAGGGCGGAACATTTGAAACATTGAAAGCCCGAGCCCCTGTAGATACAGCTTCTTTCAGCTGCGGCCAATCAGAGGCCAGAAAGCTAAGCAGGGATGATGAGCCTCCTGCTGCCATCAGCTCATTCAGCTGCTGCACTCCTCCCCCCCCTCCTCCTCCCCCACCAGAAACAGCAGTCTCCGGCTGCTCTTGCTCCTGCTGCAGCCGCTGAAACTGCAACTGCTGCTGCTGCTGCTGAAACAGCACCTCCTGTTGCTGCTGCTGAAACAGCACCTCCTGTTGCTGCTGCTGCTGAAACTGCTGTTCCTGCAGCTGCTGCAGAAACTGCTGCTGCTGCTGCTGCTGAAACGACTGCTGCCTCAGCTGCATCCCCTGCTGCTGCAGCAGCTGCTGCTGGAGCAGCTGCCGCAGAGCATGCAGCTGGCTCCCCCCTGCAGCGCTCTGCTGCGCCGCCAGCAGCGCCTGCAGCGCCTGCAGCCCTTCCTGCGACTCTCCCTGCTCGCCTTGCATCGCCTCTTGCCCTCCCAACACCTTCTCTTCCTCTCCCTCCTGTCGCTCCTGCCGCTCCTGCTGCTCCGCCTGTTCCTGCCGCTGCTGCTGCCACTGCTGCTGCTCCTGCCTCTGCTGTTGCTGCTGGTACTCCGCGCTGTCCTCTTCCATGCGAGATCCTGGCCTTTCCGCGAAACCGCCGCTGGACATAGACGCGCTCTCCGTGTCCCCCACCAAGCCCCGCGCTGCTCCTGCTGCTCCTGCTCCTGCTCCCGCTCCTGCTGCCATGGCGAATCTCGACCGCTTCTGAGTCGATTCCAGCCCAGCGAACTGCCCCTGCTGCTGCTGCTGTGACTGCTGCTGCTGCAGCTGAAGGGTAGCGGAATCAAAGAGCGACGCTTGGTGCTGACTCAAGGACAGATGTGCCGCCACGTCGTCCATTCCCATGGAACCAGCGAGCCCGCCACCCACAGCAACAGCGCCACCGCCGCCAGAGGAACCCGCGGAAACGTCACCAGCGGCAGCAGAACCGGGAGCCACAGCCCCAGCAGCCCCAGCGGCGCCAGCGGCGGCGCCAGCGCCAGTCAAGCCGCGCGAACCTTGAGGTGTGGCATTCGCTGACGACGGCTGCTGCTGCTCCAGCACCGACAAATCAATGGTCAGATTCCGCCGACCCAGAATCGACGGCCCTTTCGACCTGCTGCTGCCAACACCACCACCACCATCCATTCCTCCTCCTGTCCCACCCCCTCCCCCCAAGACCGATAATCCCAAGGTGGAGCCCCCTAGGCTCGGGGTTCCAAGGCCTGAGGGGAAGAGGCCGGTGAGGGGGGCGCGCTCTACGGGGGAGGACGAGGAGCGGAGGAGAGAGCGGTGGTGAAAGGCGGAAAACGGTGGCGTTTTCGCAGTTGCGCCGCTTCCCCCCAGCCCTCCCCCCATTCCTCCACCGAGACCTGCGCGGAACATGGTGTTTGGGGAGCCGAGGGGGGAAGACCCCACCCCCGCGCCCATTCCCCCAAACCCGCCCGCGCCTGCGCCGCCACCCATGCCAACCCCCCCAGCCGCTTCCCCTGCCGCTGCAAGCACCGCCAGAGCGTTATCTCCGCCGAAACCTGCGCCGCTCCCCCCTACGCCGGCAGCGCCGGCGGAGGAGAGGAAGCGCGGGAAGAGGGGGGAAACTATGGGCGGAGTGGGCGCGGAGGGCTCCCCCAGGCTCGCGCTTTTGGGGAACGCGAGAACCTCTTGCGGGGAGGGGAGTTCGGAGAACGGAATCCCGGAATACGCGGCGGCCAGGCGGAGGCGTTTGGCGGTCTGCTGGCGCAAGTCGAGCAGATCATCCCCTCCGCTTCCGCCGATCCCGGTCATGGCGGAACCGAAACCTCCGCCTGCGCCTGCCCCCGCACCAACGGAGAAGGGGAAGGGCTGCGCGGAACCGGGGGACGGCGCGCCGCTGCTGGAGGAGAGGCCGTGGGGGGAGAAGGGCTGCGAAAGCGGATGGGGGGAGGGCACGCCGGAGTGCATTCCGCTGGGGGAAGAGCAGGTGGACGCGGCGGCGGAGGTGGTGGCGAGGCGGCGGAGAACGTCGGTAAGCGCGCGGATCTGCGCAACGGGCGGAGCGGGGAAGCCAAGGCGGGAGGGGGGTGGAGGAGAGAAGGGGAGGGGAAGAGGGGGGATAAGAAAAGCAAGCCCAGCAGTGCAGGTTCGAAGGGGGAAACATCTTACGACCGGCTCTTGAAAGAAAAAAGGCCAAGCGAACAAGCAGCGCCAAAGCTTGCGACACTTGCGACGCTTGCGAATAGCTGCGATATGGACGTGCGCAATGCGGCGGGCTACTCACGTGTTCTACTCGGCTAGAGTCGTATCGTCCGCTCCCGGGTGTGCCGGCGCCGCTGCCGGGCGAGAACGTGGGGCTGTCGGGGAACGCGGAGCGGTACATGGCGGCGTACGCGGGGGACGCGGGACCCGCGCTGCTGTTTCCGCTGATACTGTCGCGCGGAGAGTCCAGCAGGCGGGAGGTCTGCGCGCGCGGAAGGGTGGGGAGGGGGAACGGGGAACGGGAAGAGGGAAAGGGGGGTTAACAGGTGGCAGGAAGAGGAAGACGGAGTGGGAGGGACGGAGAGCGCGTGGGAAGGAGAAGGGGGAGGAGGAGGCGGGCGAAGAGGATTGGAAAGGGGGAAGGGAGAATGGAGCAATACTTACGCGTCGGCTGATGATGTCGGCGAGAATGGCGGGGTACTTGCGCTTGAGCGTGGAGTTCCAGTGGTTCTGCCATTCACCGCGATGAGAACGCGGGAAGAAAAAACACGTCAGTTCTACCATACACGCAACAGACCGGCAAAAGAAAAGGGACGACTAAAAAAACAGAAAGAAAGAAAACAGTGTTTGCGTGGTATGTACGAGGCGACTAGCCGCTGTGGCGCGAGACAATAGCCGTACCTTGATAGCATTATCCGTGCGGCCGGGGAGGCTCTTAGCGATGATGGACCACTTGCTGCCATGCTCCGCGTGCCCCATCACGATGATGCGATCCTCCTCGTCCGTGAACGGATCCTTGTTCACCTGCCACGTGTCACGCATCCGACAGCCGGCACAAGAGCGACGAAGCGCGATGAGAAACGGAGGATCGACACCCACTCAGCTCTATCAATCGCTCGCGTTTATCTTGGACAATTCTCAACAGCCAGCTAGTCTCTTGCTTGCTACCACATCCACGACAGCGGTGGTGAACAGAAGAGCGCTGACGAATCTGAAGGGACGGCCCTATTGAACTATCACTAGAAACGAGAATGCAAACACAATGACGTGTAAATTTCCACAGCTCATCCGTCTCGGCCGTCCTTTTCGCGCCGACATAACGCCGCTCGGACGTCATTCTCGTCTACCCCCTTCATTCCTCGAACTTAATTCTCATACTCATTCGTAGTGCTGTATGCAAACGTTGTCTTGCCAAACGTAGGATCTAGCTGCAGGAATGGGGACGACTGGCGAGAACAGACGGCAACCCTAGAAGCACGCATGACCTCTGAGACCCTAAGGGTCTTCAAGACGTGTACTCGCTAAGGGTATCCGCGATTGACATTCGATGTGGGTACTTGGTGTTCAGACGGATTTCCGGCCGACACTACTTAGTGGGAATCTCATCGAACTTACTTCGGGATTCAGTTGGTTGCACCATCGCAAGCGACAGCTCTTGCCGGACCGCCCCTTGAGTCCTTGGGCTATCAGTGACCAGTTACGCGGTCCGTACTTGGAGATTAACTCTCTAAGCTTGTCATCTTCTTCTGGACTCCAGGGCCCTTTCACCACTTCCGGATCCATCTCCGCCATTGGCGGCTCGCTAAGTTCGCTAATGCACGGGTGGTGAGGTAATTGAATAGGAGGACAGATGTGCGCCCGGAAATCCAGGAAATGGCTTCTGGCAGGAACTAACAAACAAAGCGGAATGGCGTGCTAGTTACGCCTAGTTGACAACTAATGCTCGAGAAGATCCAGACCAAAGTCGGAAAGCCGAACCGTCATTTGTCCAAGAGAGGTCAATGCATTACAGAAAGCAGAGCACACCTAACGACACGATCACTTGTGAGCTTCAAGTAACACTGGAGACAGTGAAAACCGCCAGCTTTCAACAAACTCCCACCAGCTTTTTTACCTCCTTTTCCGCCACCAACCGACACAGCAGAGACCACAGAAGCACCAGAGCCAAAACCTGGGAAGAGAAGGAATCACGCGGTGATGCGGCGCTCGCCCCTCACCTTCCTGCGGCTGCACCACAACCACAGAAACGCGTGCCTGTGAGAAGAGGACCCAGCGGAAACGGGAACGGCGGAGATGCCACTGGGCGGATGGATTGGTGGGAAACACAACGCAAGAAATGGGCGGTGGTGGAATCGACGGTTGAGATGGAGCAGCTGGGCTGGTTGGGATTTATCGGACGGGCATGAGTGACGAGTTTTTCGACACAAACTGTACAAGACACGAGTCTTGCTCTGGCGTGGAACATCCACGCCCGCCACATGGTACGGCACGAGCTGTCGCTAGCGACGGATTCACTGTGCAGATGTGAGGATGCCCTTTCACGATGTTGCTTCGGACAGATATCTGATGATTCGCTCATATTAACAATCAGCTCTCGAAATCTCCGGTTCAACAGCATGTTCCCCAAGGATGAGGTCCGAGTCCCGACTCCACGTTTAGTGATGGAACAGAGCACAAACAAGAAAAACACCTGTTCACAAGCCTCGGCAATGTTGAGGGGATAAGCTAGCCCAGAACTTACAACCATAAAACTCACATGTAGAGTGGAAATATTGCTCAGCCAGAAAAATATACCACTTCATAAAATATGCCGCGTCACGCACTGTAGTTTAGCGTCACGTGAGCCTCGAGGGGGGGTGATGAGTAACAGTGCACTAGAGGCCACAATTGACATCATCAAGGATTCATCACGTGACAAATCTGACCACAGCTGAATTTGAAAACAGCCGAATCCATTCTGTCATGTCAAACCGAAGTAGAAAGTGTAACGGTCGTCTCGACCAAAAAAAATGCTTCCTTCCCAACGAATTGCAGTAACGTGTGATAACCGTCAGGTGAGCTGAACCAGTCAGCGGCTGCTTATGTCGGCATATTTTTCAGCAGGAAAAGCAATGGGCGACTACACCCTGTTTCGCGCTAGCAGAGCATCTGGTTGCAGAACATGCACTGGTTGTAGAACGTCACCACGTTTGAAATGGTCTTATCACCGACGGTACAAGCACATTCACAAGAAAGCGGTTAGCTAGGATGCTGCATGGTAAAGAACATTAACCAAGCGTTTCAAAGCGGTTGAAAAGGGTATACAGCGATAAAGAAAAATTTTGCCCCCAGTACCACTCCGTCAGCTGGTGCGGCTTTGCCCGCAGGTTTCAGCCATACGGTTTATGGCACCTGACCGCACTGTAGCAGCGAATCGCGCAAGGTGAGAGGGTCGAGAAACAGGGTGTATCCTTCGCTACTCATTCGTTCACGGGTCTGGTGCAAGTCGCTCGTTCGGCGTGCAAAAGGGAACAGCATGTTTTGATGACTTCACCCACAGCATCCAAACTGGGAAAGAAAACAATCTTGTCCAGCGCATAACAAATCCTTCTTTCCGATACTAGCCAACAGGGCACTGGTGCTTATATATTGAGGACACCCAAGATAATACAAGCAAAAAACAAGCATGATCCAGCGTTGCATATATCATACATCACATTGCATACGTACTAATTTCTTGCTGCCTCTTTTTTAGCACTACAAGGCATGCCCACATGAACAACCAAGGTCACAAGGCTGCTATCTTCAATGCACCCTCTGTCCCAATACCCCTCCGTAATGAACATTCAAATACTCCACCAATTCTTGCTCAAACCCGTTCAAGGATGTCAATAGGCCCGTTAGGCATGTCAATGGAAACAATCCTCATGGTCGCATTCACCAGCCGCCCCTTCACGCCAGTAACTGCATACTGCATGAGCGCCGTCAGCGCGTTGAACTCGCCAATCGTCGCCCGCACCTCTTGCATGAACCCACTGTAGTTCCACTCGTTTGTACCGTGCACCACGAACACAGACGGGCATGTGTAGTCACACGTACCGTTCCTGCTAATGAGCGATACATACGCCTCCGAAATGGTAACAGTCGGTTCATCGCAGCACCCGCCCCCCTTCTTCCCCTTCTTGCACTTTTCCTTGTCTGCCCCTGTCAACTTTCTCTTATCCTTGTTGCTCTCCTTCTCCTTATCCTTCTCCTTCTTGCACGTTACGCCAGGGTGCTCTGGGTCAGAGGAAGGCAGGGCCGGGACGATATCTTGCAAGTAGACCCGGAGGGCGGTGGTGAAGGGCTCATCGGTGGGCACCACCACGACGAAGACAACGTCCACTCGGAAGGACAGCCCATCGGCTCTGCCGCACAGAAACAGGGAAACAAGCAGGAGGGTTTGAAGCCAGGGAGACTCGGAGGGCGGTGGTGAAGGGTTCATCGGTGGGCACCACCACGACGAAGAAAACGTCCACTCGGAAGGACAGCCCATCGGCCCTGGCACATGGAAGCGAAACACGCATGAACAACAGAAGGCCGGGGAGAAGAAACAGGGATTCTAAGAACGTGCAAGTAGACTCAGAGGGCCGAGGTGAAGGGGTCGTTGGTGGGCACAACCACAACGGATACAACGTGCACTCGAAAGGACAAACCGTTAGTCCTGGCACATGGACAGAAAACATGCGCAGGCAACAACAGAAGGACATCAAGGCATATATGCATCCCGCTTCAGGGCAATGTGTTGCAACGGGAACGTATGCTCTTCAAACGTGGTCATGATGAGAGAGAAAAGGCGAGTCAGATGTTATGGAGACAGAAACTCACGACTGGGTGAAGGTGAGGTTGGCGCCGCCAGGCATGTAGGAGCGAAAGCGGACGACGTAGTTGGGGTTGGGAACAGTCGCCGGGACTGGCCCGACTTCCACTGCACGCAGGTGCATGCAGAGACAATGAAAGAGAGTGAAAGAGAGTGAAAGAGAGTAAGAAGTTTCGAATACTGTCATTGAGAGTGTTTCTTGAGAATTATAAAAAAAAACGTGTTACATGGTGTGCTCCCCCCCCCCACTACCACTAGTTTCACCCGAAACGTCCACCATCCCACACTCACGGAATTTCAGGTTGGCATCAACCCGGAACTGCCCCACTGCCGACCGCAACCCAGCCGCCTGCATGGTACTTGTCCCATACGCCATGACCACCCCGGGGAACACCAACGAGTTATCAATCATCTGTAGCAGAGCAGCGTAGCGCTCGGGATCGGTGGCAGCGGTGCTGGTGAATGTGCCGACAGCCTGCCACACGGACGGCACGGGCTGGACCCACGTGGGCGCGGCTGGGGGGAGGCTGCAGCTGGACGGGTCGCATCCGGGGACGGTTGTGTTTGCTAGGGTGATGTAGGCGGGCGGGCCGGTGGGGAGAGCAGCGAAGATCTTGTAGGTCGCTTGGACGGTGGCGGTGGCGGAATCGAAGCTGGGTGTGGGTGGGTGGGGAAGGAAGGGGTGGGGGATGGAAATTGGGGAAGATGGGGGGAGAGGGGGTTAAGAAGAGGGGGAATGGGGATAAAGGTAGGGGAGAGCTGCGAAGATCTTGTAGGTCGCTTGGATGGTGTTGGTGGTGGAATCGAAGCTGAATGTGGGTGGGGGTGGGGGTTGGGGGGGGGGAGAGGGTGGGAAGTGAGGGTGGGGGGGGGATGGACATGGGTGATGCGGGGAGAGAGGTTTAAGACGAGGGGGAATGGGGAAAAAGGAAGTGGTGGCAGAAAGAAATAGGTACAGTGGATAACGTTAGAAGGTCCTGAGCAATTTCGAGACGCAGGTGCTTACGAGAGGCGCAGGTAGATGACTGCGCGTGAGTCGCCATCCACCATCTCCGCGACAACATATGTGTCTGGTCGACGACGGGATGAGGAAGGGGAGGGGGAGGAGGGGGGAGAACGGGAGGAGGGGAAGAGAGAGTGACGAGGGAGACGAGGGGGATGAGGGGAAAAGCGGGGAGCGTGAGAGTGCGAATTCAAGAAAAGTGGGGGTGCAGACGATATTCGGGAGAGCGACGCGAGGGTGGGGGAAGCACGAGCGGCGCGAGGGTGGGGGGGGGGGGGGGGGGGGATCGCACCAGAAATGCCGCTCCCCGGTGAGCCGACGGGAGGAGGGGCGGCGGCAGAAGTCGAGCCCGCGAGACTGGAGGCAGTGAGCGCTGCGGGGAAAACGTGGGTGGAGGGGGTGGGGGGGGGGGGGGGGGGGGAATTGGCGGAAGAGGGGGAAGGGGGAGGGGGGGATGGGAAGGAAGAGGAGGAGCAAGTGGTCAGCGGTGATACTACCACGGCGGCTGGGAGAAAGCTACCGTGGATTTATAGCCTCACGCGGCACCGGAACCCTAAACTGGCAGTTGCGCATGCGGAAAGAATTGCCGACTCGGAGTTTCGAAAAGAGTCCCTTCACCGGTCGGCAATTCCAAGGCCGAAATCTTGACATGTTCAAAGGCATGTGAAACAAGTGCAAGATGGCGTCGACTTGACTCGGCTTCTCAAATCAGCCCCGCTTAAATCAGTGGAGCTCAGTGATCAGAACCCGGGAGAGCTCACCGATAACAAGAATGAGGGCGAGGGGGAAGGGATTCGCCGTCGCGAATGGCCGCGGCGAGCGCGTCCGATGCGACGGTCTCGACATGATCGCAGCTACAATGGCGGCGGACTAACGACGACGCGTACACTGAGCGTTAGAAGGAGCGATAATGGAGTGTGAATGCTATTACTCGGAAATGCTCGACCGATGAGCGCAGCGCTGCACTAAGTGAATCGATCGCTGCTTTGCGGCGGCTTGTTATCAGGGGTGGTGAAAGTAGACTGGCTTGACTAAATTTGTCCATTTGAACTGGAGAAGCTTCTCGCCCCACTGTACGCTCACACGATTTTCGGGACTGTTGGTGAGTCGGCAGGGCGCTGGCTACTAGGTGGCCGAGGACATAAATTTGGAGAATCAAGAAAGCAAGAAAACTGCTTGACTCTTGGACAGATGCAGAGGGAAGGTCCTAATCTGGTACTGTATTTCAAGTCCTCTGCTGCTGCAACAAGCGCCTGGCTCGTAAAAAACAAGCAGAACCCTCTGCTCTGGTGGCAGCGCCTGGGTGTTCGCCTGATGCTGGTGGTGTGGAGGATAGGACTTCGATTACAGCGGTGTGCGGTGCGGTTTGTTCAATTGAGTCAAGCGGTTCGGGATCCGAAAATGGATTTGGTAGAAATTGGGGGTGTGAAATATGAGTTCTTAAACCATATCCAAACATAGGAAAGTGCAAACGAGCCGTTCTTAAAGCCCGAGTACTGCATGGTTTTTTTCAAGCTCAAGATTTTTGAACTTGAACTCGCCAGAAACAGGGTTACCTTACTTTGTTTGAGAGAACTCTCGCGAGTCTGGGCCAACACCTTGCGACACTCCCTCCTGATAGGCTTTTGTGCTCAATCGCAGAACTGAACCCCTCACTCTGCTACGATGTTCTCCTCTCACATAGCTTGAACACCAAGTTGTACTCATAGTCTGCCTAGCTCATTGCCGTAAGTAGGAAGCGCAAGCCAGTGCGGCAAAAGCTAGAACCCATAACGGTTTTTTTTACGGCAACTCACGTCACCACATTGTCGCGCCAATAGCTAGGCAGCTCAATCCTAGTGTCACACATGATTTTACATATATATATATATATATATATATATATATATATATATATTGGCGTTGCACGTTACTCACACGGAACTTTCGTTCTACTACCGTACCAACACACAAACGAGTGCCCCACGTTTCCCGCGCTTCGTCAAAGGTGCTCCCCCTCGCCACTCGCGCCTGCTTTCGTCAATCGCGCCTGCCCGGGTTAGCGTGCTTCCCCTCGTCACCCGCTCTCTCCCCGGCATCTATCCTCTCGACCCCTCGTCGCGCGCGTTTCTTCTCGTCACGTGCATGGCCCCTCGTCGCGCGCTTTCCCTCTGTCACGCGCGTTTCCCCTCGTCACGCGCTCTCCTCCCCTCGTCCCGTGCTCAACCATTCACTCACGCTCCAGGGTAGATCACCCGTTGAAACAGACGTCACGCGCAGCAACTCGTTGCCCCAGTTGCTCCTCTAAGCCCTCGCCTCCCGTTGTCGCCTCCGCCACCCCAATCGGACAGCGTTTTGAACCCCTCTCTGCTCCCCACCATCCTCCCCCCAGCTCTTTCCATTCCCCCCATCCCCTTCCCTGCTTCCCCCCATCCCCTTCCCTGCTTCCACCCATCCCCTTCCCTGCTTCCCCCTATCCCCTTCCCTGCTTCCCCCCATCCCCTTCCCTGCTTCCACCCATCGCCTTCCCTGCTTCCCCCCATCCCCTTCCCTGCTTCTCCCCATCCCCTTCCCTGCTTCCCCCCATCCCCTTCCCTGCTTCCCCCCATCCCCTTCCCTGCTTCCACCCATCGCCTTCCCTGCTTCCCCCCATCCCCTTCCCTGCTTCCACCCATCCCCTTCCCTACTTCCCCCCATCCCCTTCCCTGCTTCCCCCCATCCCCTTCCCTGCTTCTCCACATCCCCTTCCCTGCTTCCCCCCATCGCCTTCCCTGCTTCCCCCCATCCCCTTCCCTGCATCCCCCCCATCCCCTTCCCTGCTACCCCACCCTCTGCCCTGTTCCCACCTGCCCTCCCCATCCATGCCTTTCCTGTATTGCCTTTCCCTTCCCCATCCCTTCTCAACCCTTCCCTTCTCAACCCTTCCCTTCCTTTTCATGCCCTCCCCTTCCCCCTCACTCCTCACTACACATGCTTTCATCATGTGCGCTTCCTTGTATCCCCTTGCCGTTGTTCCCTTGCACCTCACACCACCTAACCTAACCCATGTTCCTTCACACAATTCTTTCTGCCTGCTCGTTTCCTAATTTTCAGTGAAGCAGAGGAGCAAGCTGAGGCGCAGCTAGTCGATGCTTTACACCGAACCACCACCGGTTTTTTGCCTGTTGTATGCAAGAATGATACTGCAGATATTATTTTTGGAGATATGCATCTCAAAGGAACACTAGGCAATTTCGTTTCTGCAGTGCAAGATATTCTTCCAAGATGCACGATCTGAAGGGTACATAGAGGCATAGATGCACGATCAGAAGGGTACATAGAGGCATAGATGCACGATCAGAAGGGTACATAGAGGCATAGATGCACGATCAGAAGGGTACATAGAGGCATAGATGCGCGATCAGAAGGGTACATAGAGGCATAGATGCACGATCAGAAGGGTACATAGAGGCATAGATGCACGATCAGAAGGGTACATAGAGGCATAGATGCACGATCAGAAGGGTACATAGAGGCATAGATGCACAATCAGAAGGGTACATAGAGGCATAGATGCACGATCAGAAGGGTACATAGAGGCATAGATGCACGATCAGAAGGGTACATAGAGGCATAGATGCACGATCAGAAGGGTACATAGAGGCATAGATGCACGATCAGAAGGGTACATAGAGGCATAGATGCACGATCAGAAGGGTACATAGAGGCATAGATGCACGATCAGAAGGGTACATAGAGGCATGTTCCCAATACTTTCGATTGTACCTTTCTCAAGGCCTTGAAAGCAACATGAGGGGAACTGGTTTCTCTACGAGCATGGCATGGGATGATGGACTAATGAGTTGCAGTACCAGAAGAATCGTCAGTGTAGTCACTGCAATAGCCATGGAGAGGGAGGGAATACGAGATGGGGAGGGGGAACAAGAAAAAAGGCAAAACTGGGGAGATAGGGGAGATAGGGAAGAGGGGGTAGAGGGAAGCAGGGGTGAGATAAGAAAGAAGTACTGTAAGAAGAGGGAGGATAGGGAAGAGGGGAGATAGGAAGAGGGGGAGAGGGAAAGCTAGATATAGGAAGATAAACGAGGGGAAGAAGAGGGGGAAACGAGGGGAAACAGAGGGGGAAATCCTGGGAAGCAGAGGGGGATTCGAGGAGAAGCAGGGAGGAAAATTAGGGAAGGCAGGGGTGGATATGAGTGGAAGAAGGGGGGAAATGGGGGGAAGCAGTACGATCAGGGAAAGCAGGGAGAGAAATGAGGTGAAGCAGGGGAAATGGGTGGAAGCAAGGGGACAAATGAGGAGAAGCAGGTAGGGAAATGAGGGGCAGCAGCGGGGTAAATGAGGGGAAGAAGGGGGGGGGATGAGAGAAGCAGGAGGGGAAACGATGAGAGCAGATGGGGAAACGAAGCAGCGGGGAAAATGAGTGGAAGAAGGAAGCAAAGGGGGAAATGAGGAAATGAGGGAGAGAAATGAGGTGAAGCAGGGAGGGAAATGAGGGGAAGCAGGGATGAGGGGAAGCAAGGATGAGGGGAAGCAGGGATGAAATGAGGAGAAGCAGGGATGAGGGGAAGCAGGGATGAGGGGAAGCAGGGATGAGGGGAAGCAGGGATGAAATGAGGAGAAGCAGGGATGAGGGGAAGCAGGGATGAAGGGAAGCAGGGATGAAATGAGGAGAAGCAGGGATGAGGGGAAGCAAGGATGAAAATCAGGAGAAGCTGGGAGGGAAGTGAGGGGAATCAGCGGGGGAAATGAGGGGAAGCAGCGGGGGAAATGAGTTGAAGGAGGGGGGAGAATGAGGGGAAGCACGGGGGGAAACGATGAGAGCAGAGGGGGAAACGAGGGGAAGCAGCGGGGTAAATGAGGGGAAGGAGGGGAAGCAGGGTGTTAAAATTAGGGAAATCAGGGAGAGGTGAATGGAAGGGCAGGGAGGCGCGGGCAAGGGATGGGCAGGTGGGAGAAGGGCAGCGGGAGTGGAGGCGCGAGGAGGGGCAGCGCGACGAGGGTGCTGGCGCGCTGATGGCAGGGGAGGCGCCGCGGCGAGGTGAGCGGAGGCGCGGTGCAGCGAGCGGAGGCGCGGCGCGGCCTGCGGAGGCGCGGCGAGACGAGCAGAGGCGCGGCGAGGTGAGCGGAGGCGCGGCGCAACGAGCGGAGGCGCGGCGAGGCGAGCGGAGGCGCGGCGAGGCGAGCGGAGGCGCGACGTGGGGAGGCTCCCGGAAACGAGGGGAGGCGTGAGGATGGGACAGGAGGTGCGGCGAGGGGAGACACGACGACGGGAGACAAGGCACGAGAGGATGCGCGACGGAAGGATGGGTGGCGCGAAGGGGGGTGGCGCGATGGGCGGGGGAACGCGACAATGGGAAGCGCGATGAGGGGAGAAGCTCGATGAGGGAAGGGGATGCGCGACTTCTTGAGCCACTCAGGAAGGTGCGTGAACAGGCGTGGTGAGGTGGCTTCACTCACCCTCGTGAGCACAACGACTTTGTGTATGCGCTTGTATCGATCCTAAATTCTGCGTATTTTACGCTGCGCGGCGCTGTCTCAGTAGGTGGCGTTGTAAGTAGCAGATGCGTCGCTCTGTTTATCTATTTTCCAATAGCAGTGGTGAGGAGACTACTCATGTAGCCAGTCTTTCGATGCTCGTCGTAAGAGACGCCAAGTGTGCGAAACTTTCGGTTTGGCTAGAGTGTCTCTTCGTGCGACACATTTTTCGCTTTGATTTGGTGGGATTCGCATTTTTGGTGTCCGCGAGATGTTCACTTGTTCGCGGAGGAAAGTAGTTTTCGCCAAAGGCACATAACCAAAATAGGTTTCGCAGACCCTCATGTATAGCCTATTTCATATCCACATAACTTGAAAATTTACCATGCTGACCTCCGGCTTTAAACGCACACTGTTACGAGTGCAATTGAGTGAGCGAGCGAGAATTGCACTATCGAAGCAAGAGTACAAATGAGCGAAGGCATGAGCGAAGAATATATAGCGAAACTACAGTGGTAACGGTAATGGACTGTGGTTGTCGCGTGACGGGCCTGGGACTGAGGTTGGGAAAAGTGTCGAAGCGGAGGCCCGGAGCGCGGGTTACCCACCGAGCCGTGAGGTCGGGGTGCGACGTGCGAAGGCGGCGGGGGGATTGTCGATGCGAGAGTTGCGAGTGGTAACGGTGCTGACTGTGGTGCTACAGTGGTGTACGCGCTGAGCGGGGACGCGAAGTAAGGAAAAGGAATTTCCCTTGCACACACTAACTCCCTACAGCAACCCTGCATACAGCAACAGCTGTAGGATGCATAAACGTTTCCCGGAAGCATAATAAATGAAATTTCATCTCAACAAATAAAATACTAATGCTGCAGTCTAATCCAACCCCTTCCAGCAAGAACACAACCCAACACATCTACAACACAAGCAGAAGTAAACTACGATACAAAACAGAAGGCCGGGGCGAGATGACAGCCATTAGAAGCTATGTTAGCAGCAGCCAATTGTGGCAACCCAGCTCCAAAATGCCACGGCTGTTCGACACATCGCATATCAGCGCCCTAATATCGATGCAGCAAATCATTCGGCCCCTTGCCGCTGCCAGCTGCCTCCAGCTTCATGCTCGCATTCACCAGCCGCCCCTTCACCCCAGTGAGCGCATACTGCATCAGCGCATTCAGCGCAACATATGTGGGGTTCGCCTCACGAGCTTCCTGTGTGGGATAACCCCAGGCAGGTGAGAAGAACCACTGCTGGGCGCCAATGACGGCGTAGAAAATGGGGCAGTTGGTGCCGGGGGGGCAGGTGTTGGAGTAGCCGCTGAGAGGGAGGGAAACGGATGAGACGGTGGGAGCAGCGGGAGGAGGAGGGGATGGGGGTGGGGATGGGGGGGGGGACGGAGGAGGGGATGGTTGGGATGGGGGCGGGGAGGGTGGTGGGGAGGGTGGGGATGGGGGCGGGGATGGTGGAGGGGAAGGTGGTGGGGAAGGTGGCGAGGGTGGTGGTGGGGAAGGTGGGGAGGGTGATGGGGGGGAAGGTGAGGAGGGCGGAGACGATGGAGGCGTCTTCTTTTCCTTCTCCTTTTTCGCCGCCTCCCTAATTGCCATCGCCTCTTGCTTCTTGGCTATCGCCTGCTCTTTTGCCAGCTTGGCCGCCTCCTTGTTTGCAATAGCTTCCTCCTTTGCCTTCTTTGCCGCATCCCGTTTCGCAATTGCCTCCTCCTTGGCCTTCTTCGCTGCTTCCTTCTTTGCAACGGCCTCCTCCTTGGCTTTCCTCGCATCCTCCTTCGCCTTCTCCCTCTCCTGCTTCGCCTGCTCCCTTGCTGCAATCGCCGCCTTTCGCTCCGCAATCGCCTCCTTTCTCGCGGCGATCGCTGCCTCTCTCTCCTTCCTCGCATCCTCTTTCGACTTCTGGTCCGTGCTGCTGCTGCTGCTGCTCACTGCTTTCCCAGTGGGAGGCGGCTCAACACTAAGGAGCTGGCGGCGGCCGGAGGAAGCAGGAGTGGCAGGCGGAGAGGTTTCGTAGAAGATGATCAGACGGCTGGTGACGGGCTCCTCTGTTGGCGCCACCGCCATCCACGTGTAGTCGAGTCGGTAGGTGTATCCATCACTCCTGGTGAGAAGAAGGCGGTGAGAGAGGGAAGGGAGGGAGGGAGGAAATGCGTGTTGAGGAATGGAGTCAGCATGAGCGGCTGGGGATGAATTTCTCGCTTCTGGCTCCCTCTCTCTCCTGGTGAGAAAAATGCGGAGAGAGAGGGAGGGAGGGAGGGAGGGAGGGAGGGAGGGAGGGAGGGGGAGAGGAAGGGTAGGAGGGAGAGAGATGAGAAAGGGAGTGGAGATGTGAGGGGAATGCGTTTTCAGAGGCATTGAAGCAGGCTCCTCTGTCGGCGTCGCCACCACAAATCGAATTCATGCCAAACTGCGGAAGGAGAAGAGAGGAATCAATGTATTCATAATGGTTGAGAGCACGAGAGAAGTTTCATGGCAGAAGAAGATTATTACAGTCCGTGAAGCTGATTGTATTGACTGCATGGTTTCGGAAACTGGGCATTGAAGCAGGTCTCACTTGAGGGCGAGAGAGAGGTTGGCGCCCCCGGGCATGTAGGAGGAGAAGCGGACGTTGAAGTTGTAGGTGAGAGACGTCATTGGGATGCCGATGCCTGGCAGGTGCACACGAGGGGAAGGGCGGAGACATAAGCATGAGAACGGGGTGGGAAACCCATGGTGCAGTATTCAGCAAAGCGAATCTTAAAGCACGAGCAGACGAGTGCAGAGCCGTGCTGTCACTGGCATGCGTGACAGACGCGGCAACAGCATGAGCATGACGGCACGAGCAACGCGGCATGATGGGCAATGCAGGCTCAACGCGTGAGCAATGCAGGCTCAACGCGGCATGGGCAATGCAGGCTCAACGCGTGAGGAATGCAGGCTCAACGCGTGAGCAATGCAGGCTCAATGCGTGAGCAATGCAGGCTCAACGCGGCATGGGCAATGCAAGCTCAACGAGTGAGCAATGCAGGCTCAACGCGTGAGCAATGCAGGCTCAACGCGGCATGGGCAGTGCAGGCTCAACGCGGCGTGGGCAATGCAGGCTCAACGCGTGAGCAATGTAGGCTCACCATACTGCGAGAACGTAGTGGGCTTAAATGGCTCCGAAACCGCCGTACGCGCTGAACCCGTCTGAGGGTCACTGTACGTCATCACCAAGTTCGGGTAGCTGCCCGCGAGAATCTGGTGTACACGTTGTAACGCTCTGGGTCATTTCCGGGCGAAGTCTGAAATATCCCGTTGTAGCTATGGTAAACCGAGGGGACACCCGCCGTCCGCCAGGTGATGGCGCCCGGAGCGAGGCTCCACTTGGCCGGGTCGCACCCGGGGACGGTGGTATTTGTGAAGGAGAGGGAAGCGGGCGGGCCGGACGCGAGGGCGGTGAAGACCCTGTAGGCGACGATCATACCCGCCCCTGGACTGCCAGGCGGACTGAAAGGAGAAGGGGGAGAAGGAGTATGGGGAGGGGGAGAGGGAGATCGCAAGTGAGGGGGGCGGGAGGACCGGAAGAGAGAGACGTGAGGATCCAATGGTATGGGACCCAGGGAGCTAATGAGAGAATGAGGGAGAGAGAATGTGCGAGGGTGAGACGAAGTGGATGCATGCGCCGGTAAAGCATGAGTCGCAAGTGAAAAGGAAGATGGGTCCGTGCATGTGCGTGCCATGAAGTGCACGCGTCGTGGCATGCGTGCGTGTGCGTGCTATGCAGTGCGCGGCACGCGTCATGGCATGGCCGGCTGTGCGTGCACATGCGGCTTACGAGATGCTGAGGAAACTTTTGAGTCGACTCAAAAGTCAACGTGCGTGTGCATGCTATGCAGTGCGGCACGCGTCAGGGCATGGCCGGCCGTGCGTGCACATGCGGCTTACGAGATGCTGAGGAAGATGGCCGCTCACGACTCGCCGTCGATCAGGCGCGCGAGAAAGTAGGACTCTGCGAGTCAGAGGGCGGGAAGGGGGAGAGAGTGGGGAGAAGGGGAAACAAGAGTCGTGTTTTGAGTCGACTCAAATGTCGACCAGGCGCGCAGAGAAGTAAACTTTGCGAGCTAGAGGCCGGAAAGGGGAAGGGAGCGGGTGTGGAGGTGTGAATGGTGGAAAGGGGAGAGATGGGCGGGCGGAAAGAGGAACAGTATCGGAGCGGAACAAAAACAATGCGGAACGGTGCGAAGTACAGCGGAAATGGGCGCGGGAAAGACGACAAGAAGGGTAGATGAGCAGAGCGGAAACACGAGAAGTGGAGAGAAGGATGTAGCAGGAGGTATCAGGAGGAAGCAAGCAGGGGGAGGAACTCACGAGCGGAAACAGTGTGCGGCGCCGTGAAACCTGAGAGGCCCGACGGGCGAAGAGGACAGGGGGGAAGAAGAGAGGGAGTTACTCTTACTAAGAGCGCGGCGCGTGATTACAGACGCCCCGCGCGCCGCGCGGCGGGTAGAGATGCTGCTTTTGAAAAGGGGGCGATGTTGCATGATTGTATCGTGTCGCGGAATTGTGATTCAGGAGCAAACATCGCTCACCGAGCAGCCTCTGTAACGGATCTCACCGAGCAGTAGCAACAGCAGCGCGGGCAGCGCGCCGAGCAGCCGCCTTGAGGCGGCCCGCTGTGGCGCCGCTATCGACATCGTGGCGTCGGCAGATCGCGACAAGTTTCCCGGCGAATCAAACTGAAGAGCTTCAGAAGACGGGAGCTGAGAAGTTCTCGAAGAACCAAAACTAGCAGCGCCAGTCCAGTCATCCCTGGTAGGATATGTAAGTTGTGGTCGGGGCAGAACTGCGGATGTATTTGGAATGGATTTTGGAACGTGCAATGCAATCCGCGAGGCTTGTGCTACTAGTGCGTCGCGAACGCGCACGGACGCGCTGAGCTGGCAACATGGCGAATGGAAGACGGGCGGGCGGGCAACTGATGATCAGGGGGTAGTATCGGACTTGGGGTTGGGGGTGGGGTTCCTCCCGCTGCAGAAATGCCCTGCCTCCCCTCTCCGCCATCAAACGGGAAAGTCAGCCGGCATCAAACGGGACGTGGCGCACTTGTGTGGAGTGGAACTGTAAAGCAGCGGATGAGTTGGTCCTTATCGTACTGATCATCTATACTATGCTATCAGCAACTCCCACTATACATCATCGCCTGAGTGTTCACCTGGGCCAAGTCAAGCTTGCTTTTCTTGATGCACCGTGGTGATGTTGGTTTGAAATCTACCCTTCCATGGTGGAACTTGGCAAAAATTATGTTCAATGAAAGCGGTTGAGTACGTTTTTGTACAACCGAGAGCGGTCAGAAATCCCAACCGCTTTCAACCGCTTATGTACCGCCCTTAGAATTTTCTGCTGACGCTTCGTCTATACTAACGGGGATACAGAAATGATTGTGAACCTGACCGGGAGAATGGGCCCAGGTGTCGATTTTAGAATTTAGAGTTGTGCCGGAAAACTCCTCCAGTCCATCTTTCCCGCGACGCAGGTGCCGAAACGGAAATCCAAGGGGGATCTTGGCGAACAAATGACATTGGCGAACAAGTACACGTACACATTTTACATAGGATGAGACAAATGAATCAGGGCGTATCCAACTTCAGGTCATCAGCACTGTTCATTCAACTGTTCGGGGCATCCGCAAATCACGGATGCCCCGAACTCAACACCGGAACCGCGCACGGCTCGAACTTCGGGTCATCCTGTAACCTGCATGCGACCGTCACGCCCAATGTGTCCCCCACCAATCACACACAAGTGCGACCCCATGTTGGGTCCCCCTCTTTTGACGGACGTCCTTCATCATTCACGCCCGTCAATTTCACCGACACCATCACTGCGTATAGCACAATTCTGTAAAAGCCACTTGACCATGAACACAGATACAAGCCAAATGTGCAGAGCCAGTTGAAAATACGGCCCGACAGCCATATCTACAAGCACAAGCTTGACCATAGCTAGCCGCCTTGCAACCAGCGCGACTCCCAACGCGCCCTGCATTATGCACGGTCGTGAACCAGCTCCCGTTGATAGGATGAGCTACCACTTTACGCCTCCTGGGAGTCCTTCAACCATGCTCACAGGTCAGGTCCTCATACTTTGTGTGGCCTTGCTCCTGTGGCATGAGGTGCTTCTTAACACCTGGCAGCGTGTAGTCTCTCTTGCGGCTCTAGAGTGGATAACCACCATCCTACCCATGGCTGAGGCTGAAGATGCCGAACGCCTCCGCCGTGCAACCGAGCGCCGGGAGAAGCGTAGCCGGCGTCGCGAGGCTCGTGTGGCGGAATGGGTGGAGGAGATCCGCGCGATGTTCGACAAAGAGTTTGAAGATACCTTCCGTATTACCCGCGAAGTCCTTGACCTCATCGCCGAGCGAATGGCCTACCCCATGTCGCGTTTTGTGGAAGTGAATGAGGTTCCCTTGTCACTGTGTTGTCTTATCCCCATCAAGTATTTTGCCAGCGCCATGACGTTCCACGATTTGGGCCTCTTGTTTGGATTGCCGCCAGGACTCATCCACCGTATCGTCAATGCCTTCTTGGTATGGTTTCCCCGCAAGTTCAAGCGTGACTGGGTGCAGTTTCCTACGGAGGACGTGAGGGAGGAGATGGCGCTTGACTTCCGTGCTATCAAGGGAGTTCCCAACGTGATTGGGGCGATTGACGGGACCCACATCGAGCTACGTGGCATGGAGGCTCACCGTGGTGACTACTACAACCGGAAGCAGGTTTACAGTGTCCAACTTCAAATGACATGCGACTCAAAGGGAGTCATCTGGGATTACAACGTGGGCAATCCTGGTTCAATGCATGATCAAGGTGTTTTCTCAACATCTGATTTGCATGGCAGGCTAGAGAGTGGGGAAATCGCCCCCTATCAGCTTGTAGGAGATGCGGCATACCCGCTGAAGCCTTACATGCTAACCCCCCTTCACGCCCCACGCCGTCGCCTGATGAAGAAATGGGAGCGGACATACAACTACGTGCAGTCTGCTACCCGCATGGTCGTCGAGCGCACCATCGGCACGTTGAAGGGACGCTGGCGGCTCTTCGCGCGCAGGAACGAGAGCAAGCTCTGGCGTGTATGCGCTGGGACGGCGTGCATCATCATCCTGCACAACATGTTGCAGGTCGTTAGCACGCCGCGCATGAAAACGCACAATCCGCGCCGCTTTATCTGGGCCGGGCTCCCTAACGGCTGGTGGACAAGAAGCGGCATGGACAAGTATGAGTGGCAGAGCCTCGACAACCCTTCGCTGGCCGATCTGCGCGCGCGCAGGCATCACTTCGGCAAACACATCCATCGCGCTTACCTCAGGCGTCACCGTGTGCGGACGTTGGCGCGCTAAGGCTCCGCATGCTCCTCGACATCCTCGGACCCTCCCATTTTCTCGTCGCCCGCAACTTACGGATGGGCTGGAGTCGGGGTATTCGAAGGTGCCGCGATTGGCGCTGGCGGGCTGGCTATCTGCAGTCGAAAGCCAGCCTGGAGCGCCGCCATGTTCATGGCGGCGACAAGGAGCTGGGTGGAGTTTTGCAGCTCTCGCACCACCGTCGCATTGGTGGAGTTGATGGCCTCGCTCACAATCTTTGCGGCCGCCATGGTGGCAGTCTCCTCAATCCGCCGTCGTTTAGGGGGTGGAGTCCCCCCGGCATCTGTAGTGGAGGGTGTAGGGGGGTGGATGTCAATAAGGCGGAAACGGTTTTTGTTTCTTCGTTAACTTTATGGATATTTGATACATCTATCTCCAGGTCATGCTCACACGTCTAACGTTGAACCACAATCGCTGGAAGGGAGATATCAGCGGCAAACACAAAGCTGGACCTGAAGCAAAGCACTTCATGCTCACTCTTACGAGTGGGGAGTACACACCTGGTGTGGTCGCCTGACGGCGGTTAGAGCGCCCACTGCCCTCCGATAGAGGCGCGGAAGTTTCCCGGTCGGTGCAGCCGGGCACCGGGGCGTACGCTTGGACGTTGACGTTCGCCGCGCCTCCACCGTCGAGGGGGTGCGCCTTGGCCTTCGCCGAGTGCTTTTTAAGGTGATAGACGTATTCCCACCACGGTTTTTTCTTTATTGCTTTCCATCCGCTCTGTCCCTCCCCCCGCTTCGTTTTCAGGTACTTCTTCTCGAGGCGTTTCCAGGCATTGGACATCTGTCCCTCATCGCGGTCCCAATTTTTGTCCTTCTCAAGCATGTGGGCGCGGAGCTTCCTCCAGTACTGGCTCCCCTGCTTGCCCTGCATAGCCTTGAGGTCGTCTTTAGTGTTCCAACGAGCGGCCGCCAGGGACGTCAACTCGGCGTCCGACCACACGCGCTTGTTGCGGGACGAAGGAGCCCGATGCTCCTTCTTCGACGGTCGTGTGCTGCGCTCATCATCGCTTCCGTCGTCGCCTCCATCAGTATCTTCCTCGTCCTCTTCAGTGCCGCGTTTGTAATCGGCTGAGTCGGCATCACTATCCGACTCCGAGACGATCTCCTCGAGATCGTCATCAGAGACGTCAGTATCGGCGCCTGTGTCGGGATAGTCATGCCGAGAACTTCGGCTACTGCTGGCGCCCGCAGTTTCGCGTACGGCCTTAGCCATACGCTTGATAGATGGGGACGGCTTCCCCTGCTTTTGCTGCTCTTTCATCCATGCGACGTAGGGGGGGTCAGGTGTTTTCTCATCATCGCTAACCTTCTCCTTTCCCTTGCCGCGTGAGCTTCGTTGCGGAGGCATCCTGGTTCTATGGGGTGGCTCACACACGGAGATAACGGGGTGGTGTGCAGGCTATTCTCAAGTCGAGATCTAGATCCACTTCATCCTCAATTTCTGTTTCTGCCGTTTTGTGAAACCCTTGGGTGAGGCTGTGTGGTTGGGATGGGTTTCGGAGGCGCGCAGATCCAAATGTTCTTTTTACCGCCGGGAATTTAGACAGGTGGGGTGATGGGGTGTTTGTCGCGCAACCGGGTTAAAAAAATCGCATGGCTTGAAGGAGGGAGGGCCTATTGGTTGAAGCAACATTTGGCGATGCCTTTTTTGGCGGGACAACAAACACGCCTTTTTGAGGGTCGCACGATGTTAGATGACCCAAAGTGGTGTTTTGTGTAGTTCGGGGCATCCGCACATTGCGGATGCCCGGAACAGTGCTGATGACCCGAACCGGGATACGCCCTCAGCATGCCAAGTGGACATATTTGGATGCATCCATGCTCGTTAGTATAAGATATACAGCTACGTACCATGAGTTTTATGTTCTTCAAGCTTATTGTTGTTGTCGTTACTTCCAAGAGTCCATGGTATGCTGAGGGAAGAATGTAAATGCGCAACGTGCGGAAATCATACTGCGAGTGGCAATAGCATGGCCAAAATATGTGAACGGTAGAATAAGATGTATGGCTTGGGGAAGTGAAGCAGAGGGGCAGGTGACAAGCTATGCGGTAAGCCATGTGCGATGGCTGCAACAACACAATCGGTGGCGCAAATGGTAACCAGTAGAGTCGGTGAACAACTTGTGTGTGGTAACAATGATGCTGGAAGTTAGTGGGTAAACGTTTCCAAGGCAAAATAGTTACAATCAGTGGTTGTGAGTACAGCGCTATTGGAGACTGAAGGAAGCTTTTGTATGGGGGTGAATAAACCCACCAGTAATTGTGAAACATGCAAAACGCATTGAACTGGGCTCAAGCATAACGCGGTGTAGTGTATTTTACTATACACTTTAGCTCCTTTTCTCCAGGATTGCCAGCTACCTGTTGTTGCACCTGCATTGCATCGCAACGTGCAGTCATTAATTACCATGGCGGAACTTGAAGCAAAAGAATGCCAGTTTTTGAGTCGACTCAAAAACCGACTCAGCAACGTGCAGTCATTGATTACCATGGCGGAACCCGGATCAAAAGAATGCCAGAACGGCCAACAAGGAGGCAATAGTCAAAAGCAGGACCCACCGGCACAGAGCAGCACAGCACAGCACACACCCAGCCCGTTGTACAGAAAAGGTAGCGTGCAGGAGCAGCAGCACGTACCAATGCAACCCGAAGTGAGGGGCACTTGAACCCTGCAGTGAAGTTGGTCTCCCATGCATGGGTCTGCATGCAGAGTAGGCAGATCAGCAGCAGGAGCAATGTGCATATCATGCAGACATGCAACAGGGGAGATTCGCGACACAACGACACATAATGAGTGACCACACAGACATGTAACAGATAGAGTCGTGAAACACAGACATGTAACAGCTTTCTATGAGCATTGACTATGTCAGAAGACCGATTGGCTTCTATGAGAACCTGGCCGTGATCCTTACACACCTGGCCGTGATCCTTACACACCTGGCCGTGATCCTTACACACCTGGCCGTGATCCTTACACACCTGGCCGTGATCCTTACACACCTGGCCGTGATCCTTACACACCTGGCCGTGATCCTTACACACCTGGCCGTGATCCTTACACACCTGGCCGTGATCCTTACACACCTGGCCGTGATCCTTACACACCTGGCCGTACAAAATGATGACATCTGCATCCGATGCGGCGTAGGCGAGCTCAGGTGAAACAGCAGATAGGTCAAGCGCCTGGGTGGAAAGGTGAGAGGGGACGGAGGGACAGCACAGGGCCACAGGTGGTAACAAACCTGAAGGTCGGATCCGGAGTTGAGGACAAGGATGCGACCATTGCTGATGGGCATTGCAACGAGATGACTTTTGAGTCAAGTCAAAAGTCAAATAAAAAAACAGAGTCATCTAAAAAAACCGAGTCAAAAAGCGAACCTGAAGGTCGGATCCGGAGTTGAGGACAAGGATGCGACCATTGCTGATGGCCATGCTGATGTCATCCTCTGGTGCTGCTGCTTGCACCTGACATCCCATGCCATGCCATGGGAAGCACGAGAGGCATGAGAAGCATGAGAGGCATGAGAGGTATGAGAGGTATGAGAGGCAGAAATATGGGAAGCATGAGCAGCATGAGAGGCAGAAGCTTCTATTGATTAACTGCTGTAACACTGGCTCCATGAGGGGCGCGACAGGCCTGAGAGGCCTGAGAGGCCTGAGAGGCGTGAGAGGCATGAGAGGCATGAGATCATCACCTGCTTCAGGAGATTCATCAGGTCCTCGTGTGTGATGGCGGCACCTGAAGGCATGTCTGGCACCACCAGAAGCACCTGAGAGGGGAAGGAGAGGTGAGAGACGAGTATTGCAACAGAGCTGCAAGGGAAAGAACAGCTTCAAAGAACCAAGAAGAGAGGCCACAGCAGCATCATAGCATGGCAGCAGCAGCATGGCAGCATGGCAGAATGGCAGCATGGCAGCATGGCAGCATCGTAGCATGGCAGCATCGTAGCATGGCAGCATGGCAGCAGCAGCATGGCAGCAGCAGCATGGCAGCAGCAGCATGGCAGCATGGCAGCAGCAGCATGGCAGCATGGCAGCATGGCAGCAGCAGCAGCACCAGCAGCAGCAGCAGCAGCAGCAGCAGCAGCAGCAGCAGCAGCAGCAGCAGCAGCAGCAGCAGCAGCAGCAGCAGCAGCAGCAGCAGCAGCAGCAGCAGCAGCAGCAGCAGCAGCAGCAGCAGCAGCAGCAGCAGAAGCAACAACCATCATCCTGCACAGCAGCTGGCACTTGGCAGGCAGCACTGCTCTGAACCCCACTAGACCGACTTCCATGCACCTCACACTAACCCCCACCCACTCACACCCATCCCCACCCACCTTCACGCCTCGTCTAGTCAAGTCCCTCACTGCTGGCAGCAACCCCAGTACCGTCTCCCTGCCCGCCCCTGCACACAACACCACAGCCTGGAACGAGGAAGGAGAGAGGGTGAGGGATGGGGGAGGGTGAGGGATGGGGGAGGGTGAGGGATGGGGGAGGGTGAGCAGCAGATCACCACGAGCTGTAAAGCTACTGGAGAGTCACTTTTGGAGATTCTGAAAGTGTCAATTCTGAAAGTGTCAATTCTGATATTCTACATTCCACCACCCTGTCCCACGCTTCCCTATCCTACACTGGTGGGCCCTCATCCTCCCCCACTACCACCCCCCCCCTCCTCTCCCCTCCCTCTCCCAGCTAGATTCTGTGTTACCTTGCTCCACTTGCCCTCCCCTTGGTTGCTCCATGTCTGCACCGCCGCCCCCATGTCATCTGCCGCCCATGGTTTGGCCGGCAGACTGTCAGAAACAGACAAAAAGTCCGCTGTCCCAACTGAGGGGTCCGCGCCGTCCAGAGCGGCCAGATTGCCGGCCAGCATGCCCCGGATGAGGGCTTCGGAGCGGGTGACGTGATCGCTGATGTCATCCACCGCTGCAAGGACGGCTAGTAGCTGCTGTAGGGCCATGCTTGTTGACTCGCCCTGGTGTGTTATTAGTGGGGGGTGATATGATTTTTAGTATTCTCAAAAAACAGATAGGGCCATGCGCGTTGACTCGCCCTGGTGTGTTTTTTTATTGGGGGGGGGGGGGGTTTGAAGGGGAGAACGGGAGAAGCGGGAAAGTTGAGGAAGGTAGGGGAATAAGGGAATGGAAGAATGGAGAGTAACAAGGAAGGCGGGAATTAGAGGAGCAAGCATGGAGTGTTGTGCGTGTGTGTGGATGGTAGCTGCATCGTATGGCATGGCATGAAATTGCATAGACCCAATGCGTATAAATGCCAGCCTTGGCCTGTCCGCATCACTTTCCCCCGTCCCCATCACCTTGGCGTGTCTGTAAATGTCTTCAAAGCCTAGCTCCCGCAAACAGATGTCTCTCAGCCGGTACAGCAGCTGATGGGATGGACAGCGGTGGGGAGGAGCATAGGAAGGTGTGGTCAGATTAATATCAGCCGCTTCACATGGAGGAAGTAAGGAGGGACGGAGAATGCAGAGAAGACACACCCAACGCAACACCTGACAAAACTATCACTCGCCACCACCACAACCTGCCACACAGCACCACATACCACCACACACCACCACCGCATACCACCACACAGCACCGGATACCATGACATCTGGGGGCCCGCCATGGCTCTCGGGGTCGTTATCGAAATCGTCCAACATGGATGCCAGCCTGCCACACACAGCGGAATGGTGGCACGATGATGCGGGTCAGGTGGGGGGGCGGCAGAGGCATCAATATTCAGCATTTACGCCGGCCTGCAAAACACAGTGGCATGGTGACACAATGACGCGAGTGTGGTTCAGGGTGGGAAGGGAGGGGAGGGGCATCAGATGGGCCCTCCTTTCTACAAACGAAGGCACTCATATGCAGACATGGAGAGCAGACCCACTCCCATTGCCCCTCCAGGCACTCAGTTAAACCTTCTCCTTGATCGAACGTTGATCGATCCAAGACTTCTCCCCTGCGCTAGAGTCACCTGTCTTCGAATTTGGCGGCCCTCTCTGTTGCGTTGTCCACTGACGCGTCGCTCTCTGCCTGCTGCCTGCTCATCACATGGGACGGTGGGGTGAGGTGTGGCATGGTGGGGCATGGTGGAGTGTGGCATGGTGGGATGTGGCATAGTGGGGTGTGGCATAGTGGGGGGCGGTGCGGTGTGGCATGGCATGGCATGACATGGCATGGTGGGGTTAGGGTGCGGCATAAGATCTTACTGCATGGGATGGCATGCCATGGCATGGCATGGCAGGGCAGGGCATGGCATGGCATGGCATGGCATGGCATGGCGTGTAAGGACATGTGACGGAAAGGAGGGTGTATATTCTCGTTTCGCGTCCAAGCAGCGAAGAGCACAGAACAAGAAGGGGAAGAGAGGATCGAAGGATGGCATGACACTGGTACATGCCCCCCCATGTCACGCCATGTCATAACATGGCACGCCACGTCGTATAGTGGCGGCAATATCATCTCACAGTGAAATTCTATGGGTGGTTTTGAGATTTCTCAAAACATCACACATTAGAACGCCGACACTATCGCTCCAAGGACGCCACACCTCCCTCCACAGCGGAATTGTCTCGCGGAAAGAGCTGAACGCGCTCTCCTTCGCCGAGGTGACTTATGAGTCGACTCAAGAGTCACCTCGTTGAATGGCGGCACTATTACCTACGGACATCATTCCTACCTCCACAGCGGGATTCTCTCGCGGAAAGAGCTGATCAACGCACTCTCCTTCTCCGTCAGATGCGCTGGGTTGTCGGATTCGCATCTCAGCGCCAGGACGGCGGCGTACGCCTTGGGATTCGCGAGGAGAGGGAGCGGGACCGGCGGCGACGCCCACTCCATCGCGCGAAAGACGCTGCGCGGGCACCCGCGTCTGTCGCTACGGAAGGCGAGCTTCGATATTCCCAAGACAGGTTCCGAAAGAATGGGTCAATGAGGTTGGGGGTGGCCTGTTGCGGTTAGAATGGGAGACATGTAACAATGTTTGATCTGGCTTTGCTTTACGTGGAAGACATTAGAAATCGCCAGCCACGATGAACTCCGGTTGCGACCTCTCTAATGGTCATGAGCTGGAAGTGGTCAGATTCATAAGATGGAAAGCTAGGAGAACACAGGTTATGTGTTTTAAGAGGCATTTCAGTGCAAGTTCTGGACACTAGGGGTGAGCATCACCTGTCAGGCCCATGAAATTATCACGAAAGTTTTGTTCCTAATCGCGAACACCAATCACTCATGTAACCTTCTCTAACCTGCCATGCGAAGCCGGTTGCGAGATAAGCGAAACAGGACTGACTGGGCAGGCGATGTGTCGTACAAGCCTTGATACCTCGATATTGCTGTAGCACGAACATGAATTTGAATCAACACTCGTGAACTCTTCGATGTCAAATTGGAATGGGAAAATATCAACTAAGGGCCAAACATTGCTAGAGAGGGGTTCGAATTAGGGCTGATAAATCTCGACCGTAGGATTTCAGCCTAGAGCTGCTAAACTGACTTGGCGAACAAGCCGAACCGGAAGTAAACGATATTTGCTAAAAGAATCAAATTGTTTATTCATGTTGTTTATTGAGTGTTTTGACCTCCGTCTACTACAGCGCGCGCGTCGCCTTCTTCTGGAAGTAAAGTTCGGCGGATCAAATCGTGAGTACGTATAACATATTATATTCTGGGTGATAAATACCACCTACCCGATCGTAGACGCACTGGAAAAATGATATATTACCCATTCGGAAACAGATGCGACTCGGGAGGCATCAACCCTAAATACCAGGAAGTTATCCGTTTTCGGGTCGACCCATCCCGAAAATGCATCCAGATTCCCTAAGAGTTGTAGTTTTTTTTTCTGCCCTAAGAGTTCCAGTAGAGTCGGCTCGCTAAACGACACGCGAGCGAAAATGCGGCTGGTACATGCCACTAATAACATATTTACGTGCAATAAAGAAAAACCCTATGTCAATACCTCTATGCGCGGCGGTTTGGGAATTTCCGGGCCTCTTAGCCCCTGGTCGATCACCCCTCTGGCACTGTTCGGCCCCTCGTTGATCTTCTCCCAATCGGAATTGCAGAATTCGATCGCATGGACATTCTCGAAAACTCTTTCACCTCACCCACAATTGTACCACTTTTCGCCTTGATCTGGTTTCGATTCCTACTCCCGTCACAACTACATGCCTGTAGTACGGGCATTATTAATCAGGCAGGCTCTTTCTACCAAGCCTTTGTTAACCGCTGAGTAGGCTGTTCTGTTGCTGACTCATGGCGTCAACCGCAGATGACGCCGTGATTGACGTTGAGGAGGACGAGGAAGAGGAGGAATTACCGTTTCGTTGGGGCGATCCGGCTCCCGGCCCGAGTCGCGGCGGCAAGCGGTTTTACCTGTGGTTCGAGCAGGGAGGGGAGCGGTTCGACATTTACGACTGCGTGTACTGCCAGGTCCGATGAATGTTCGAACCTCATCTTTCTGGTTTCTTGACTGCTCGATAAGTAGCGTCGCTTACGCGCCTTTCATACAGGGGATACCTCGCTTACACGTCTAAATCTGTCAAACCCTTCTTTGATTAAACCTCGCATACATCCCCTGATAGCAATAGTAGACCTGAACATTAAATCTGAAACCTTTCCTGAATTCCCTGTACCGCGTCAGGCAGAAGAGGGGATGGACCCGTACGTGGGGAAGATCGTGCGCATGTACGAGCTCCCCCCCAGCCGCCGCGGAAAGCGCAACAGCATCGGCGGAAAGCCAGGCGAGCGCAAGGTGGACATCCGCTGGTTCTTCCGCGCGGCTGACGTGCAGGCGGAGGGCGGGGAGCTCCCAAGGGACGTGCGCCCCAACGAGGTGTTTCTGGCCGTTCCCGAGGGCACTCAAGGGGTGACTGACGCTAATAAAGTGGTGAGTAATCGTTAAGAATCTCAGATGGGTGATTGGGTGAGTGAGTGAGAGGGCAGGAAGGGCGGGGAGCTCCCAAGGGACGTGCGTCCCAACGAGGTGTTTCTGGCCGTTCCCGAGGGCACTCAGGGCGTCACTGACGCGAATAAAGTGGTGAGCTGGAAAGCAGAATGAACAGGAGTGGGCAGGGAAGTGTGGGCAGCTCCCAAGGGACGTGCGTCCCACAAAGGTGTTTCTGGCCGTTCCCGAGGGCACCCAGGGGGTCACTGACACCAACAAAGTGGTGAGCCGAACGGTTATTGAAGCGTCGGAGCAAAGTACCGATTTCTCTCCTTCTTTGCCTCACTCCCAATACTCTCTCTTCACCCCGCCCCTCCCCTCTCTCCCCCTCAGCGCCCTTCTCTGTTTCAGCACAAAAACTGGACGACTTTTTAGACGTGTCAAAAGTCTGTTTCAGCACAGAAACGGATAGTGGTGGACTCCTGTGCTCGCTTACTCTAGTTTTGAGGCGCCTCAAAACTAGATCCCTCAGCGCCCTTCGCTGTTTCAACCCAGAAACTGGTTGCCAAACGGATAGTGGTGGACTCCTGTGCTTGCATAGTCTGCCTGTCTGCCGGCCATCCCTTGCCTCCCCTCGGCCATTTTCTCCACGCCTTCCCCCTTCTTGCCCCCCCTTTTCCGGTCCCCTTTTGGTCGGCCTGCCTTCTCTGGTCTAGCACAGATAGTGGTGGGACTCCCGGGCGCGCATACTGTGTCTCTCTGCCGACCCCCTCTCGTTCCCCCCCTTGCTCTCCCGCTTCCCACGCATCTCCCCCTCACCTTCCCTCGTCTGTGTGGAGAGCACAGATAGTGGTGGACTCACGGGCGCGCATACTGTGCGTGTCTGCCAATCTTCTCGTGCCTCCCCTCACCCACGCCCTCCCCGCTTCCCACGCAACCCTTTACCTATCCACCACGCCCTTTTGCGAGCACAGATAGTGGTGGACTCCCGGGCGCGCATACTGTGCGTGTCAAAGGACCCGCGCAATCCACAGCCGAGCGCAGCGCAGGTGGAGGCAGCAGAGCTGGTGTTCTGCCGTGCGTGGGACATGCAGCAGAAGCAGGTGCTGGAGGACCTTCAGGTGGCTATTGACGACTTGGGCTCAGGTGAGTCTTCAGGTGGGAGTTCAGGTGGGATCAACGAGGCTTCAGGGTGGAACCAGGTGAGACTTCAGGTGGAACCAGAAGAGGGAGTAGATGAGTGAGGTCAGGTTGGGCAGCACGTGGTTGTTCGTGGATAGCTGCTCTTTGCTTCATTCAATACACCAGAACCTAATTTTTATCGAATCAAACGAAACTGGCACATGCATGGCATGGCACATGATGCATGGCACATGATGCATGGGACATGATGCATGACACATGATGCATGACACATGATGCATGGCACATGATGCATGACACGTGATGCATGGCACATGATGCATGGCACATGATGCATGGCACATGATGCATGGCACATGATGCATGGCACATGATGCATGGCACATGATGCATGGCACATGATGCATGGCACATGATGCATGGCACATGATGCATGGCACATGATGCATGACACATGATGCATGTCATATGATGCATGGCACATGATGCATGTCATATGATGCATGTCATATGATGCATGGCACATGATGCATGTCATATGATGCATGTCATATGATGCATGTCATATGATGCATGGAACAGAGGAGGCGGTATTTAACAAGCCGGCATGGGTGCAGCAGCAGCCGACCAGTGGGGCGACAGCAGGAGAGGACAGAGCAGCAGGCGAGGAAGCAGGAGAGGACAGAGCAGCAGGCGAGGAAGCAGGAGAGGACAGAGCAGCAGGCGAGGAAGCAGGAGAGGACAGAGCAGCAGGCGAGGAAGCAGGAGAGGACAGAGCAGCAGGCGAGGAAGCAGGAGAGGACAGAGCAGCAGGCGAGGAAGCAGGAGAGGACAGAGCAGCAGGCGAGGAAGCAGGAGAGGACAGAGCAGCAGGCGAGGAAGCAGGAGAGGACAGAGCAGCAGGCGAGGAAGCAGGAGAGGACAGAGCAGCAGGCGAGGAAGCAGGAGAGGACAGAGCAGCAGGCGAGGAAGCAGGAGAGGACAGAGCAGCAGGCGAGGAAGCAGGAGAGGACAGAGCAGCAGGCGAGGAAGCAGGAGAGGACAGAGCAGCAGGCGAGGAAGCAGGAGAGGACAGAGCAGCAGGCGAGGAAGCAGGAGAGGACAGAGCAGCAGGCGAGGAAGCAGGAGGCGCGGTTACAGGAAATGCTGTTGCAGTCGGAGAGGAGAAGGATGGTGCTCTGAGAAACGATGTGAAAGGGGAAGAAACGGGGACGGGGGAGGAGCAAAGGGTTGGGGAAAGCGGAGGAGGGGAACAGAAACGGCTAAGCAAGAGGATGAAGGTAGAAGGGCAGGTGGGGGAAAAGGGCGGGAATCAGAGCAAGGAGAAGAAGGCGGGGGACCCGTGGGATCTGGAGGAGGAGGAGGAGGAGGAGGAGGAAGTGGAGGAAGGGCAAGAGGATGGGCAAGTGGACGAGGAGGAGGAGGGTGTAGAAGAGGAAGAGGAGGAGGGCGACGGGGAAGAGGAGGAAGAGAGGGGGGGATTGAGAAAAGAAGGTTCAAAGGAAGGCTTAAAGGAAGCGCCCGCAAAGTCAAGTGCACTGAAACTGTTGACTGAGAAATCGGCCCTGGCAGGGCAGGCAGGCACGGGCGGGCTCAGGCAGGGATTGCCTCAAGGGCTGCAGCCTGCAGCAGCCCCTGATGGGCCCGGGTCTCGAGCGAAATTGCCTGTCCGCCCCTCCCAGAAGAAGCTCCCCCGGATAACATCTCCCCCTGGGGCTGTGACTGCTGGGCTGAGAGGAGGAGGGGTAGGTGGAGAGAGAGGAGGAGGTGGGGGAAAAGGGGGAGGGGGAGGGGGAAAGAAGAAGGTTGCTGGTGTGTTGTCATTGGCCAATGTTCCGGCCAATAGGAGGAGTTTGTTTGAGAAGCTGCAAGGGAAGAAGAAGGGGCAGGGAGCAGGGAGGGTGGGTAAGGGAGAAGGGATGATGAGGGGAAGGGAGAGGAGTGCTGAGAGAGAAGGGAAGCTGCCAGAGGGACAAGAGGTGGTGCCGCTGGGGAGGAGGATAGAGGAGGAGAGAAGGAAAGAGGCGAGGATGAAATTGGAGGAGAGGAGGAAAGAGGAGGGAGGGAAGCCTGTCAGTGATGCAGGTGCTGCTACGGCTGTTGCTGGTGCTGCTGATTCTGCTGCTGCTGCTTCTGCTGCTGCTGTTTCTGCTAACGACTTGGATGCGTCTGAAGAAGATTCTGTAGCAGAAGCAGCTGTAGCAGAAGCAGCTGAAGCAGGGGCAGCTGCAGCGGAAGCTATTATAGCAGAAGCAGCTAAAGCAGAGGCAGCTGTAGCAGAAGCAGTTATAGCAGAGGCAGCTGTAGCAGAAGCAGAAAAGAAGAGCACAGCTTTGGAAATTCTTACAGAAGCAGAAGCAGAGGAGCCTTCAGCAGCAGCAGCAGTGACAGCAGCAGCAGCAGTGACAGCAGCAGCAGCAGGACCAGGAACAGCATCACTGTTAGCACCATCACTGACCGTTGTAACAGCAACACCACCAGCAGCAACGCCACCAGCAGCAGCAACAGCCGCAGCAGCATCTCAATTACAAGGAGCAACGGCCGGTACGACTGTGGAGGATACGGAATCATCAGCAGTAATACCCGTTTCAGCAGCAACAGCAGAAGCAGAAGCAGTACCAGCGGGTTCATCAGAAAGAGAAGCAGCTGCGATGGAGACACCTAGTGCAGAGGCAGCGTCGTTAGAGTCATCTCAACCACAACCACCGCCACCAGATTCTGCTGCTATAGATGCCGGTGCTACAGATGCTGATGCTACAGATGCTGATGCTACAGATGCTGATGCTACAGATGCTGATGCTACAGATGCTGATGCTACAGCTGCGGTTGCTACGGTTGTTACTGCAGGAATTGAAAAAGCAGCAGTGCAAGCTGACCTCGCAACTGTCCAATCAGAAGCACCGGAATCTGCCACGTCAGAGCCAGGTGCTGCTGACATGGCGCCGGCTGAGGTGGTGGATTTAGAGAAGAGAGAAAGCAAGGGTGACGCGATTGAAAGGGGAATTGCTGGTGCGGGAATGGAAGGGAAGAGCGGAACGGAGACTGCAGTGCCTAAGGAGAGCGTTGATCGTGAGGGTTTGGAGGTGAAGTCAGAGAGCGAGAAAAGGGACGAGAGTGAGAAAAGGGACGAGAGTGAGGAGAAGAGTGAGATAGAGAGTGACGGGGAGAGACCACTCGTTGACACACGTTTCTGTTGGCCGGTGCCTCTTGCTGCTCCTGCTTCTGCATCTCCTGCTGCTGCCACTGCTGCCACCGCTGCCACCGCTGCCACTGCTGCCACAACCACTGCCACTACAACCGCTGCTGCTGCTGCTGCTGCTGCTGCTGCTGCTGCTGCCACCACCACTGCAGCTGCTGCGGCTGGGGCGAAGGCGAGGCAGGCAGAGAAGAGAGAGGCAGATGGATACCGGGTACGCTCCTTTCCCTCCCAATCACTCCCTACCCGCCTTTCCATCTTTCCACCTCTCTCCCTACCCGCCTTTTCATCTTTCCACCTCTCTCTCTATCCACCTGCCCACCTACCCACCTCTCTCTCTATCCACCTGCCCACCCACCTTCCCCTTTCCCTCACAACCTTCAACTGGATGTCAAATTTTCGAAGCATTGGAGATTCGTCCGGTATCACCTGCATTCCACTCTCACCCCCCCACCTCTCTCACGTCCCTCCGTCCCTCCCACCCTCCTCCGCCCCTGCAGTAGAACAGCATCATCGAGGGGGCGTTGGTGGAACAGCGGGTGGGTGGTTGCATGTTCACCCATCTCCACCACTCTCAACTCTCCACCTCTCCCTCCCGCCTCGCCCCTGCAGTGGAGCAGCATCATTGAGGGGGCGTTGGAGGAGCAGCGGGTGGTTCGGATTGACAACATCCCTCCCTGCACCTCGTCGCAGCAGCTGCACGTGAGTCACTGTCAGCTGCACGTGAGCCTTGGCATGTGGCCTGTCGAGAGCTCCATCAAGTGAGACAACATCCCTCCCTGCACCTCGTCGCAGCAGCTGCACGTGAGTTTTGAGGCATGCGCTGTTCCACTGGAACAAATCTCTTATATGGCCATTACTATTCAATCACTGCTTGTGCTGCTGCCACCACTGCTCGTAAGGGCTGCTGCCACCACTGCTCGTAAGGGCTGCTGCCACCACTGCTCGTAAGGGCTGCTGCCACCACTGCTCGTAAGGGCTGCTGCCACCACTACTCGTAAGGGCTGCTGCCACCACTGCTCGTAAGGGCTGCTGCCACCACTGCTCGTAAGGGCTGCTGCCACCACTGCTCGTAAGGGCTGCTGCCACCACTGCTCGTAAGGGCTGCTGCCACCACTGCTCGTAAGGGCTGCTGCCACCACTGCTCGTAAGGGCTGCTGCCACCACTGCTCGTAAGGGCTGCTGCCACCACTGCTCGTAAGGGCTGCTGCCACCACTGCTCGTAAGGGCTGCTGCCACCACTGCTCGTAAGGGCATTCTGAGACCCCTCAACAGCCCTGCAAGTGCAGCCGTCCACCATGCCCATCCCCCCATCACCTGCCCTCCCCCCGCCTTCCTTTCCCCATCCCCTTCAACCCCCTTCCCTCCCTTGTCGCCCCCTACTCTCACAGGAGGCCATGCTTGAGCTCTTCACAGATGTGGTGGCGGTGCGAGTGCAGCCGGCCACTGGCCCATCCCCCCCATCGCCTGCCCTCACCCCTTGGCCCCTCTCCCATACCCCTCCCCCTCCCCTCCCCTGAACAGGAGGCGATGCTTGAGCTCTTCACAGATGTGGTGGCGGTGCGAGTACAGCCGGCCACCACGCCCATTCCCCCCATCGCCATTCACGCCTTTGCCATCTTCCGCACCGCTGCTGCCGCCGCTGCTGCTGTGCTCTTCCTCTCCGCCAAATGCGTCGTGCCCTCCCACTCCTCCCGGTAAGGGCCTTCTGAGACCCTCAGCATCCCTGGCACCACTCAAGGGTTTTGCTGCTGCGATTGCTGGTAAGTGCATTCTGAGGCTTCTCAGCAAACCTGCGAGTGAATGAACACAGCCGGGCACCACTCCCATCCCCCCCATCGCCATTCACGCCTTTGCCACTTTCTGCACCGCTGCTGCCGCTGCTGGTGCCGTGCTCTTCCTCTCCGCCAAATGCGTCGTGCCCTCCCACTCCTCCCGTTGAGCCAAGCTATTCAGCAGCTGCTTTGGCTGCTCCCTGTTCCATGTGCCGACGCTGCTGCTGGCACTGCTGCTGCTGCTGCTGCTGCTGCTGCTGCTGCCGCCGCCCGCTTCTGTTTTCCTCCTCCCGCCCAGATGCATTCTGCACTCCCATTTGTCCGCCGCTGTTCATTATTCCCCACTTTATTGGGCTAACCGCCGACTCCCTCCCCAATTCTTGTCTGATACATCCAAATTCATCCATCCTTTGAGGCGCCTCAATAGACTTTAAAGGCGCATCAAAAGACTTTAAAGGCGCATCAAAAGACTTTAAAGGCGCCTCAATAGACGTTAAAGGCGCCTCAAAAGGACTCCCTCCCCAATAGAAGAGTGAGTGGGAGGGCAATTCTTACATGATAAATCCAAATTTACCCATCCTTCATCACTGTATGCCCCAACTCCACCTTTCTGCTCGCATTCCTACCCTCATCCCCCACACCCCTCTTGCCACGTGCAGCCCTCTGATTGGTCGCCTGCAGCGGCCACAAGCAGAGGCGCCATCAGCAGTGGATGCCCCCTCGGCCTCTCTCGTGTCGCACGGCCCGGGCTACTTCACCATCCGCAACAAGCGTGGCGGCCCTGGACAGTACTCAGATGAGAAGGTGAGGCGGGAGACATGCTAGATGGGTATGAGCAGTGGTGCCATCAGCAGTGGATACACCCTCAGCCTCTCTGGTGTCGCACGGCCCGGGCTACTTCACCATCCGCAACAAGCGTGGCGGCCCCGGACAGTACTCAGATGAGAAGGTGAGGCAAGCTGTGATGCTGATGATGATGGGTAAGTCAGACGTGGAAGGCACAGAGTCAGCCATGGCGCGCAGACGAGCACACTCCTTCCGGGATACTTCACCATCCGCAACAAGCGTGGCGGCCCCAGGCAGTACTCTGATGACAAGGTGAGGCGGCGGGAGATATGCATGATGGGTGTGAGAGGTACGGCAGACATGGCAGGCTATGCCAGGCAGTGTACCCAGATGAGACGGTGAGAAGGGAGGCATGGCATCCATAGGGGGAATTTTCGGCACAGCAACAGACAGACTGACGGGCGCCTCAGTGGGTGGTGCTGCAGCAGAGAAATCGTATAGTCCTTCTGTGCCTCATCTTTGCTCACTCCCTTCCGTCCTTATCGCCTCTCACTCCCTCAAGCTGGAGGTGAAGTGGAGGGTGAGACAGCAGAATAATCGTTCTTGCCTCATTCTCAATCACTCCACTCACCTCATTCGTCCTCTTTGCCGTCTACCTCCCTTCTCCCCACCCTCTTTTACTCCTCCCCTCGATAAAAGAACAACTTAACCACAACGCACTGTGCGCATCCCAACATCGTTGAATGCGAGCTGGGGGTGGAGTGGAGGGCGGTGCAGCAGACTCATCACTCTTGCAGCAGACTCATACTCACTCGCTTCCTCCTTGTGCACTCTTTTTCCGTCTGCTCTCCGTTCATCAGAAGAACGCCCTAACCACGTCGCACGTTGCACAACCCAACCATGTTGAATACGAGCTGGGGGTGGAGTGGAGGGCGGTGCAGCAGAGGGAGGTGCACATGGTGAAGGCTTTACTGAAAGCCCACCAGGCAGAACTCAACAGCCTGATGCTGAGCAACCGAGACTGATGGATTCATTCATTCAGGAAGTCTTGTATGGGTGGAGTGGAGTGGAGGGGGGTGCAGAGGAGCAGAGGGAGGTGCATATGGAGAAGGCGCTGCTTAAAGGACACCAGGCAGAGCTCAGCAGACTGATGCAGAGTGCATGTAGTGAAGGCTCATCTGAAAGCTACCGCGCGTGGAGAGGGAGGTCATTAGAGAGCAGTGTGCAGGGGGAGGTGCGTGCAGAGGGAGGTGCGTGCAGAGGGAGGTGTATGTGGGACAATTTCTTTTGAGAGCCCAGTCCACGAAGCGGAGCTCAGTAGTCTGCTGGCAGATGGTTTGAGATTGAGCTGATAAAGGAGATGTGTACAGTTGTAATGTACTGTACACTCTTGTATATGAAGGTTACAGATACACATCGCACAAGTAAAACATGATTGCACCCCATACATTGCTTTTTATATACCTTCAGCATCTTCTCTGTCAAATCGTGATTTTATATCTCTAAGCGCATCTGCTACTACTGTAGCATTCGCCTGTACAGTATCCAAGCAGCCGCCGTGGCTGAAAACGAGGTGGTAGGTGAGGGAGCAGGCGTGGGAGAGGTGATTGTAGCACACAACAGCGCAGTTATCGGGCCTTATCTCGAGCACCGAGGCCCTTTCTGGCATGAAGACCAGGTTGGTCAGCGCTGCCCCGTGCCCCGCTATGAAGAGCCGTGCTTGACGGAACAAGTTGCGAGCTGCCAGGGGACCGACAAGGGCAGGCAAGGCAGGGGAGGGGAGAGGAGAGAGGGCATGGGAAGGAGGTGGTAGGTGAGGGAGCAGGCGTGGGAGAGGTGGTTGTAGCACACGACAGCGCATTTATCGGGCCTTATCTCCAGCACTGATGCCCTTTCTGGCATGAAGACCAGATTGGTCAGTGCTGCACCATGCCCCGCTATGAAGAGCCGGGTGCGGCGAAACAAGTCCCGAGCTGGAAGCAAGAGAGGCAGGAAGGGTGGGGAAACAAAAGGGGGAAAGGGGAGAGACGAGGTTGATGAGCGCTGCGCTGTGGCTTGCTATGAAGAGACGTGACGGAACAAGGCACGCGCTGCAAGGGGAAAGAGGCGGGCAGGTAAGGCAGGGAGACGGGGGGGAGGGGGGAAGAGGCAGGGGGACGGGGGGGATGGGGGAAGAGGCAGGGGGAAAGTGACAGGAGGACGGAGGATGCATCGTTTAAGACGAGAGGGAATGAAGACCAGGTTCAGGAGTGCCGTCTCGTGGCTTGCTATGAAGAGACGCGTGCACCCAAACAAGTCCCAGGAACAGACATTATCGTACCTTCGAGAACCGTGAGCGACCCAGTGAAGAGCACGATCCTCTCTTTGGGAAACATCCTCTCCACCACCGCCTGCACCTCGTTAAAGTTACTAATGGATCGCTTCTTAGAGAGGCGCTTCGCCAGCACCACCACCCAGTCGGGCGGCAGCGCCTGCGCCTGCTGCGGCGACAGCGGCTGTGGCGGTTGGTAGGACCAGTCGGGGCGGAAGAGAGGCAGGCCGCGTGGGTGCAGCAGGTGGGTGCGCCTGAGGGACTGCCAGAGCAGCGTGGAGGGATTGCCACAGTCCTGAGTCATGGGCTGGATGGAGGAGGGGAGGGAAAAGAGGTGGAGCCAGGATGGGAAGACACGTTGAGAAGAGAGGCAGAAGGAAGAAAGGCAGCCCTCGCGGACGCAGCAGGTAGGTGCGCCTGAAGAATTGCCAGAGGAATTGCCACAGTCCTGAGTCATGGGCTGGAAGAAGGTGGGGTTGAAGAGAAGTGGAGGAGAAGCGGGGAGGAAAGGGGGGAGAGGGGGATGGGTGGGGGAAGTGAAAGTTAAGCCTGCATGAGTGGGTGTCAGGCAGTGGCAGGCAGGAGCTGTTACCTAGTGGCAGCAGGCAGGTGGTAGTAGGCAGATGGGAGCAGGCATGCAGGCACAATCGCTCATGTTGTGAGGCGTCTCAAAGACAGACAGGCAGCATGAGCAAGCAAGCACTGACCTCGTAGAGAGTGTGAACAAAGAAGAGGTCTGCCTTTACGAGGGGCAGCGACCGCATTGCACCGTACTTCACTCCTATCAGCACCTCGCCGAAGCGCTTGTACGCGTCCCACTGGGGGCACGGCAAGAGCAGAGGGAAGGGAGGAGAGAGGTAGAAGGAAGAGGAGAGGGTGCTGTTGCAACGAGATGACTTTTGAGTCGACTCAAAAGTCAACTCGGGAGGAGAGAGGGAGAAGGAAGAGGAGAGGTTGCTGTTGCAACGAGATGACTTTTGAGTCGACTCAAAGGTCAACTCGGGAGGAGAGAGGGAGAAGGAAGAGGAGAGGTTGCTGTTGCAACGAGAGAGTCATCTAGAATGGTTGGTTGGCAGAAGCCAATAGTAGATGCTGGCAGTGGTAAAAAACGGTCAACAGGGGTCAACAACGGTCAACAGCGGTCAACAGTGGCCAACAATGCTATAGAAAAGACACCTGCATGCGTTCAGAGATGATAGGGATGGAGGGCAAGATGCGAAGCAGCAGTGGTGCCTCAACAAGAGACAAGCATGGTCAACAACAGTCAGCAAAAGTCAACAACGGTCGAGGGCTAACCTGCATGTCTTCAGCGATGATAGGGATGGAGGGCAGGAGGCGCGGCAGCAGCGGTGCGGCAACGAGGAAGAGAGGCATTGTCTCGACAATGAAGTGGTAGAAGTTGAAGCCTTGCGAGTACGCCCAGCTGAACGCAGCCGGCAGCACGTGCACCTGCTGCTCTGCTGAGAAGGAGATCTGCTGGTTTGGGGGAAGGTAGGTAGAGGTAAAGGAAGAGTGGCACAGTTCTGATCAATTATGGAGTGGTACAAGTTGAATCCCTGCGAGTACGCCCAGCTGAACGCAGCCGGCAGCACGTGCACCTGCTGCTCTGCCGAGTTAGGATATCAGTTGGGGGGGAGGTGGAGTGGAGGGGTGGGAAAGACGAGGTGACGAGGAGCAAAGGGATGCTCAATGCAACGAAGTGGCAGCAGCACGTGCACCTGCTGCTCTGCTGAAAAGGATATCTGTTTGGGGGAGTTTGCGAGGAAGCACTACGAGGCGCCTCAACTTCTGTTCTGAGGCTACATGTACCGCCTTCACCGGCCGCCTCCCATGTGTCCTTATTCCTTCATCCCTGCACCCCCCCCGTTCCTCCCCACACACCTCATTGAAGCGGCCGCAGCCTGGGCGCACGAACGAAGCTGTGGGTGCGGTTGAACACAGTCCCCTTGCCCGTCACACACACGTTCTGCGGCTGCATCCGCTGCCATCACACGTGCAACCTTCTCAACGCACCTCATTGAAGCGGCCGCATCCCGGGCGCACAAAGCTATGAGTGCGGTTGAACACAGTCCCCTTGGCCGTCACATACACGTTCTGCAGCTGCATCAGCTGCGGGGCACTCGGGTGGTGTGGGTTAAAGTCCTGCTTGTGTGAGCACAACTCATTGTACCCATCATACACGTGTGTTGATGTCCACCCCTCTCCTCCATCTCCTCCTCCTCCTTCTCCCCCTTCTCCACCTCCTAATCGTCTTCTTTTTCTTCCTTCCCCTTCCCCTCCCCCTCCCCTTCTCCATCCCCCTCCCCCTCCCCCCTCCCCCTCCCCCTCCCCCTCCCCCTCCCCCTCCCCCTCCCGCCTCCTCTCTCAAATGCGTCTCAATTCTCTTCGGGCAGTTCACGGGCGGTTCAGGCCAATAGATTTCTGGCTCAACTAGGTCCGGGATCAAGCAGGCTTGGAGGTTCGGGAAGCGGGGCCCGCAGGAGGTCATGGAGGGACAGGTGTCGCCGCGGCATTGGGCGAGAGTGCCCCACTTGGGGTCGTGCTCGAGGTAGTGCAGCAGCACGCGCTGCTGATTGGACGAGTTGAACGCAAAGCCTAGCGGCTCGACTAGCAGGTTGGCCCGCTCGCGGTGAGTCCTGTGGCAAACGGAACAAGGGGAGGGACGAGGGGGCAGAGAAGGAATGGGGCATGAGGGGATGGGCACAGGCACGTAGCACTCACCTGATGGGCACAGGCACGTGGCACTCACCTGATGGGCGCAGGCACGTAGCACTCACCTGATGACCCGACTCAGAACAAACATGCGTTGATAGCACACCTGATGGGCAGCATGCTAGCTCACTTGATGGGCACGGGCACGTAATACTGCAGCTCGGCTTCAAAGGCCTTCACCTGCCCCACCAGCTGCAGCTGCCTCCGATGCCCCGTGCTGCCGTGGCCACGCATGACGATGTCACTGCTGCTGCGGTTGCCGTGCGTGACGACATCGGTGGTGCTGCCGGTGCGGTGCGTGATGACGTGACTCCTGCTGCTGCCATTGCCGTTCATGATGGAAGATCCGTTGGCATCATAACCGCGTGCGCCACGAGCGGCGCAGGCCAGGAGCAAGACGACGAGCGCAGTCCACAATTCACTCTTGGAAATTCCTGAAAGGCCGCTTAGCTCCCGTACCCTACGATTCCTCGCTTGATTCAAACGACGCATCGTGAACGGCGCCGAACGCGGGATCCAACGATGTCACGATGGGAATGCGAAATTCGATTGTGGTAATCAGCCCCGGATTGCTGCTTCCTTACAATCCTTCTGAAGTGTGAGAAATTTATATTGATTTATGTCGTGGACAGAAGATTCTGGATGGTCACCGGAGTCGGCCAGCACGACGCTCGTCATGCATTTTATACTCGCATGTGCAGATCAATTCGTTAACTGCTCTCGTGACTGCTTGAATCGACGACTGACTATGTGACTCCTAAAAACTGGACATAAAAAGTGACATGGAGTGAGAGGGAACGAAACCAACACAGGAATCCCATGATGAAGTATGAATGGCGGAAATCACCCACCTACCGACTGATAGCATTTTCAGCCTTCTTCAATTTCTTTCTCACAATTTTCACAATTTGAGGGTCTTGTTCATCGTGCACGGTCTATTTCGTTTCGTCACGATGTCGATCGGTGAAGCTTGATAACCGCTTGGCACCGACTTGAGCCACGAAGAATAACGGCGAAAACTGTTGATCTTGTAAGGGCGTGTCCAGTGCGTACGTTTACAGTTCATCCTGTGCGGTTGACCTTGTTGCGTCATGGTTAAACACGGTGGAAACTGCAAGTCGCTCTGAACTGTTTGATATCGTTTTGCGCCATGGGTCCTGACGGACATCATCGAACATCACCGTGGCAGGCCTTCGCATCCAATCCCAAGGCCGTTCAACAACGCTACCAACCAATAGCACGGAGGAGAATTATCACTTCTCAAGTGACAAGAGATGTTCTGCTCATTCTCGGTATTGCTGCTGACTCACTACGGAGCGCAAAACGATTTGAACTTCATATATTTCAATCCTTTCGATTTTATACTTTTCCTCTGTTCTTCTGAACCGCACATAAGTCTCCCGAATGCTATAAATACAAAGTGAAGTCACACCTTAAACTTGTAACTGAGTGCTCTTACAGCGATTGCCCCCAAGCATGCCGGTTTGGACCACCTTTACCCACATCGCCACGTCATCTCCAGCTGTCAGTACCACACCCAGGTTTGACCTTATGTGGGGGAATTCTAGTGGGGACGTCGGCGGAATTTTTCCTTGATTGGTGCGAAATCGCGACGCGATGAAATCCCACTGAAGCCAAATTGCCCCCTCGAATTTGTCGCTCAATCCACCCCACAAGCCTCCTTCCTTCATCAGAAATCCTGAATCCTGAATCCCCACAAGCATCCATTCTAGTCATTCTTGGCCTGCGGTTAGCAGCGGGAGTACGGTCTTATATCCCAAGCTAGTTTCTGGTGGTGTTTCTTCGCGCCTGAGAAACAACTAGACTATATAATTTTTCCAGCCTTGTACTTGGCGGAATTTTTGTTTTCTTTTCGTTTTCCAGGCTTCTCTTCTAGGCCGGGGGCTAAGTATTTTCAAGGTCAATCCCTCCGTATGGCGCAGAACCCCTCAGCACCTACCTCGTCGCTGGAGCCGCCGAGTCTGTTGGTGGTGGGGGCAGGCCCGGTGGGTCTCGTCGCGGCGTGCGAGTTGCGGCGCCACGGGCTGCACGTGCGCGTCGTGGAGCGGAATCGCGCGCCGTCGGAGCACTCCAAGGCGCTGGCGCTGCACGCGCGCACGCTCGAGATCTTATCCGCGCATGACGGCGTCGTGGACGCTTTAATCGCCGCGGGAACCATAGTGGAGGTAAGGATCGAATCCCAGCAGGAAAAAAGTGGAAGTTCAAGCTACGGTAGGCTGGTGCAGGGTTTGCCCCTTGTACGATTCGTTGACAAACTGTAACCCTAATTCACGGTTTTCAGTGTTCCAAAACTGGTCGTCTCTATGTTTTCGAATTGTCTCCCGAGTCTCTGTCCAATGTCCTGTTTAATGTCCCCCTCTGATCTCCGCCAGGGAATCGAGGTCCGAACAGACGGACACCTGGCAGCGTCGCTCGATCTCTTCGAGTTAAACGGCGGCCCTGCCGGAGGTGACGGCGGAAGGCACGGCAGGGACCACGGCGTGGCGCGCCCCGAGGAGCTGTCCGCGGATTGCGGGGATGACTCCAGGCCCAGCGTGTGGGCTACGCGGTTCCCGTTCGTGCTGATGGTGCCGCAGAGCGACACGGAACGGATTCTGGCGCGGTGCCTCAAGAACGTGTATGGGACGGACGTGGAGTGGCAGACGGAGCTTGTCAGAATCCATCAGGTGCGTTCTGGTAGAAGGGTGGCTCCTATATCTTGGCTCCTGCCCCATGGCTTCGTCGTTAATTAACACGACACATTCGTTGAACGGAATACACACACCGTAGCAATGAGATTCTAAAAGTTGCCCGATATTTGCCTAAAGCTTTTATCGTTGTGAAACCCACCGACCTTCTCCATTCACAGGACCCGAGTGCAGTGCATGTGGAGATTCGGCATGCGCATGCACGCACAGGGCAACCCCCCACCCCTGCCGCACCATACCACTCCACAGCAACTGCAGCAGAGACAAGCACAGGCACTGCAACCAGGGCAACCAGAGGGATAGGGCGTGAGACGGAGAGGGAGGAGTGGAGAACGGTGGAGGCGGATGAGGAGGGATGGGGGGAGGTGGAGGCAGCGGCGTTTGACCTGGTGTGTGCATGTGACGGGCCGCACAGCACGTGCCGCCGCCAGCTGGGACTCTCCTTTGACGGGCTGCAGTACCCCATGCACGCGCTCCTCGCTGACGTGGCGCTCTCCCATTGGCCATTCCCTCGGAGCAAGGCCCACGTGTTCACTCGTGGTAAGCGCGTGCTGACACCTGGTGCAATGGGGTTGGGAGAAGTGGGCCCTGGGGTTCCAGGAGGGAGAGGAGGTGGAGGTGGAGGGGGAGGTGGGGTAGTAGGGGGAAGAGGAGAGGGTTGGGGGGGGGTTCTAGCAGCTGTGCCGTTTGGGGTGGATGGCTTGTGGCGGTTGATATTTGATGAAGGGACGGCCAGGATGTTTGCGCCAGCAGGGCTGATTGACCAAACCGAGGGCCTCAGGCATGGCAAGGGGAAGGCAGGGGAGGGAGGTGAGGCAGCAGCAGGGGAACTGGGGGAACGGGGGCTTGGGACAAGGACAGGTAGGGGAGAAAGTGGAGGGGTTGACAGGGGGCATGTGCATCCATGGCCGGGGCGACCTGGGGAAGGGCGATATGGGGTAGGCACTATAGAACGAGGGGTTGGAGAGGGAGAGGGGGTGCGGCGGGGTGGCGGAGTTGACAGCAGTGAGACTCCTTATGTTGAAATTCCATCCTCATCCTCAGCAGTTGTAGCCGAACCTGTAGAGGTCCCTCCTGCAGTATCAGAAAGCCCAGTTTCAGCAGCTGCTTCTGGTGCTGGTGCTGGTGCTGGTGCTGGTGCTGGTGCTGGTGCTGGTGCTGGTGCTGGTAGTGTCAGCACTGATTCAGCACCGTCCTCTTCCCCATTGACACCTCAGCAGCCAGCATTGACACCTCAGCACGTGTCTGCCATGCTCAACGCCATCATGCCATGTGGCGGCCACGTGGACACCATCCATTGGTGCAGCGTTTTCAGCATGCACCTGCGCTCCCTAAACCGTTTCATCCAATCCCGCGTCTTATTCCTAGGCGACGCAGCCCACATACACAGCCCTGTGGGCGGCCAGGGGCTTAACACAGGAGTGCAGGATGCTTATAACGCAGCATGGAAGCTGGCTCTGGTTGGAAGAGGCATTGCGGGTCGGGAGCTCTTAACTACGTATGACACGGAGCGAAGGGCAGCAGTGGCACAGGTACTTAAAGCCACGGATGTCAGCACTCGGGCTATGTTCCTCCCAACCCTACTCACCTCGCTCTCCCGCTCTGCTGCTTTCTTCCTCCTCTCTCACTCACACTCCCTCAGAGTGGCAGCAGCAGCCACTGTAGCTCAGCTGTCCCTGCGCTACCCTCCCTCCACTCTCTTCCTCCCCTCCACTCTCTCCTCCCTCCTCGCCTCTCCTCTCTCTGCTCCCCTGCGCCTACTCCCTCCGCCTCTGGCTGCTGTCTTAGCGCCAGCAGCAGCCGCAGCAGCGCCGGGGGCACGGGCACCAGACGCCATGCTGCTACTGCTGCTGCCGCCCTCTCACTACACCCACACTTCAGTGTCACCCGCCAGTCCCCAATACAGTCCCGCTCGTCACACTCGCACTGCGGCATCACAGTCTCCCCCTCAGTCCAGTGGTGGCGGCAGCAGCAGCAGCAGCAGGAGGGTTGAAGGTGTAGCAGAGTCGCGCCAACAGCAGCAGCACCAGCACCTGCAACAGCAGCAGCAGCAGAAAGCAGAGCAGTTGCAAAGGGCGGTGCAGCTGCAGAAGGCATCGCAGCAAATGGGAGGAGGCGGGTGGCAGCCGTGCTCCATGCTCCACCTGCTCTCCTCCTGCAGCCCCGACGGAGGCACACCCTCCCACCACCTGCTGCTCTTTGCTGGCACCGGCTCTAAACCATCTCTCCTGCGGCAGCTCAGGTTGTTTAAAGATGAGGCTCTAGCAGCGGCAATGGGGGGGAGAAGAGGGGCGGAGGGCGAGGAGGCTGCATGGAAGATTCCTGTCTCCGTGCATTGTGTTTTGGAGACTCGGGCGCCTGCTGAGGGGATTGTACAGGCTTGCCGTGAGCTGAGTGGTGGCCTGAACATAAACACGAGCAGCAGCAGCAGCAGCAGCAGCAGCGGCGGCGGTGGCCGCAGCACTGGCAGCAGCAGTGGCAGCAGCAGTGGCAGCAGCAGTGGCAGCAGCAGCGCTGATTTTGAGCCATGGGGGCAAGTGAGTGTGTGTGTGGATGCGCATGGGTATGCATACGAGAGGTACCATGGGGATGCGTGTCCGTTCTACCTGGTGCGGCCAGATGGGCATGTGGCGCTGAGGGCCGGCCAGTGGCAGCCGGGCAGGGCACAGGCGTACTTTGATGGGATCAGAGGGCGAATGGGCAAGGCTGGAGGGGGGTAGAGAAAGAGTGGTGGCAGTGGTAACATGAGTTGGCATAGCATGATGAGGTGGCGGTGGTGTGGTGAGGTAGCAGTTGCAACGAGGTGGCACTAGTGTGATGAGGTGCCGTGTGATGAGGTGCCGTGCTTGTACCAAGATGGCAGTTGTGCTAGGGTATGATTTTGAGGGCTGGCCAGTGTGATACGTAGAATGGAGGGCATGGAGGGCCAGTTCTTGGGCTGTTTACTGGTTGGAATCAGGGAGAGTGTACGCCAGGAAAGTCGATGACTGTTACAGCAGGTGCATGCATTGCTGTTGCCTGGCCCAGCCGTGTGTACATAGCAGGTACCATGTTCCGTGTGTACATAGCAGGTACCATGTTCCGAATGTACATGTGCGTGGATGGTGCATGGCATGTGTGTGGCGTCTGCTGCATGGCTTGTACCATAGTTGGTAGGTTGCTCCATGTCATGACTCTGCTTGGTATGGTATGCTTGTAAATATGGTCTGGAACATGGGGCATGAGCAGTGACTACCAGCATACAATGGGTTCTTGCAGTGGCTTAGTTGTGCGTATATACTGCCACTTGCGCTGTACAAGTGATGCCTGCTTATACGGTAGCTGTGTACATGGAGTTGGGTGGGAACTCCCGCTTGCTTAGACGTTGTCTCTATTTCAACCTACTGGTATGACCACATCCTCCTGTCCCTCCTCTTCCTCAACTTGCAAAGTGAGCACAGGCAATCAGAAATATCGAATTTCCCCCACACCCCTCCCTTCAGCACACAGACAGGTGCAGTGATAACTCCCCTCCCCCACCCTCTGCTCCGAGATGTGCCACAAAAAGAATGAACTGAACCAGTTTATTATGTACACAGAAAGCTTGATGAGCTTCAGCCTGAAGCCCCAGGTTCCTAAATTACGTTGCTAGATTAGCCAGGCATTAGAGCCCCAACTTCTGCCCCCAAGAAATCATATCTATGAGTCATAGACTATGAATGACGACTGGATGGCTGAATAACCTCCTCGCTGTCTCCTCTCCCTTCTTCCATCCCTCCAGCTTCTCCTACCCCTTCACCCCGGTTCCCCAGCTCCAGCCCCCCTGCTCCTGCTTCCGCCAGCCCAACAACCATGTGCGCCAGCATCAGCTGCGCCATTTCCCCCTGCAGCTCCGCGTTTTTGCGCGACAGCCCCGCCACCAGGCGCTGCGCCTCCCCCATCTCGCGCAGCATCAGCGCCACCTGCCGCTCCAGATGCGCCACTCGCTTACTCTCGCTATCCGCCCGCTTCTGGGCTTCTTGCAGTCGCTCGACCAGCCAAGCTTCGCGAACACAAGATGGTTCTCGAGAATTTGCGAACGAACTGCAGATACTCGCCGAAGCCTCGCGAAATTCTTTACCAATAACCGCTGCATCCGCCGCCGGTGTCCTTCTCACCCCAATCCCCACCTCCCGAGAAACAGAATCCCTCAGGCTTGGAAACCCCAACCCAACCTCAGGCTTTGACCTCCCAATCGTCGTAGGCTCGGCTGTTTGAGGTCCGAACCGCTGTAGCAGCGTCGAGTTCAGCGAATCGCTGTGAAGACAACCCAGCATGAGCGACGCGATATCCTTCTGCGCCGTCACTGCAGGGCTGACGGCCGCCGGCAGGGGAGCAGTTACCTCCGGCAGAAAACGGTCCGCTTTGTCGCCGCCGAGCGGGGGAGGCGCCACTGGAGGCTGTTCGAAAACGAGCATTTGGCGCTTTCTCTGCTGCTGGTGACGGTTGCACTCCGAACTTGGCCCTGGCCTTGACGAATCTGGCTCTGGTTCCGGGAGACTGAGGCTAAGTCCCAATTCTGTTCCCTTTCTGACAGGCTGCAAACGACTTCCGTCATCCACGCCGGTCGTTCCCTCCAGCGGCAGGACTCGTCCCCAGTCCGCTGTCAGAGGAACTTGGTGCTTCTCAGAAGTAGGAAGATGATACCGGCCGTGAGCCCCTGCTGCCTGTTGGATGTCGGTTGCTGGCGGTGGTCCAAGATTGGGAATCATCGCGAAGCGGCTCGGGTACGATTGCTCGTGGTATTTGGCGCCGTCTCTATCAGTGGTAAAACCATTGAAAAATTCGCGCTTGCTTCCCAGCACCATCTCGCTCTTAACGCACACCTCCACCTCCTCCTTGTGGACTACAGAGGTTATTGCGTCTGATTCGCGCTTCTGCTGCCTCTTCACGAACGCTTGAAGCACTTGGGAGGCCGCCATGGGCCGTGAAGATTGAATTGTAAGCAAACTCGCTCCGATCTGGTGTGTTAGAGCGGAAAAACAGCACACAATAGGTTGTTGTTCTTATGGAATCTGCTATGTTTGACACACCCATTGTCGATAATATAGTACCGAGACGGAGGAAGACGAAAAGATTCTTGATCTGCTTCCGAAGCGCTGCCCGAAAAGAACTAGGCTTAGTTTCGCTGGCAGTCCCTGCCCCGACGGCGCGCCCTTCGCTCAGCTGAAATCTAGAACCTCACCAAGCCAGAACTCAAGGCTCTAGGCTCTCAACCTTCCTACAGTAAGAATCAAGGTTCGCAATCAGCAGAGATGCCAGTCGCCAGTTGATTTTCCCGTTGCCGCTGCCGCCAGGCTGGCGTTGCCCCAGAGCCAAGCTGCGAGCGGCAATGATACCTCTGACGATATCTAGATGAAATGTCGGTACCGCGTGTATCTAGTGACCACGCGATACTGCGTGTATCTGTGAGAACGACGCGACAGAACTGTACTGCCAGTTGTCACTGTATGTCTAGACAGCGGCAGCATCTACCGGGAGATTTACATCCGGACTGTTTCGCCCCGTCGGGACGGTACCGACGAGGTGTATGTGGCACTCCCAAGGTTTTTCGCGACGCAACTGGCAGCCCTCGTGACGGGATCTGAAACAACACTGATGGGAGCGGTCGCGTTTGTCCCATACTTCCGTGGCGGCATCCTAAACATCTGAAAGTCAACCACGGCTGCCAAGCAATCGGGGAGTACTTCCAACCAACCGACGCATCACATTACCCCCGCAGATAGGGACGATTTCGTCGGAGGACTGTGCTCGTTTTGCTTTTGCCGCATGGCCATGCAGCATACTAAATGGCCGCGGTGTCGCTGAGCGGCAACAGAAGGTGGGTCAGCAAAGAGGGCAAGGGCGTACGTGTCCGCTCTACGCGATTTCGCTTGTCTTGCTGCTGTTGCTCCTGCTGTTGTTGCTCCTGCTGCTCCCCCTAACTGTCACTCTTTGAAAGTGAAGGTCGGCCAGCTCAACCCCAAACGAAAGCAGTGGCAGCTGAGCTGCACGAGATGCTTGCAACTGCAACCGAAGCGGAAAGGCGGAAGGGGGACACGGCTTTGGAGAAGCATAAGAATACTAAACAGTGTAGCTTCGTAAGCATAATTCAAACCCGTTCTAAAAGTCAAGGTTGCGGGCTTATCTCTGAGAAAAAACACATGACTTCGTTTTCATGCTCCAAAGAGTGATTTCTGGTGGACGCAATACTCTATGACAAGCAAAACATCCGAGGTCTTAAGAGAGGTCAATAAAGAACTCCATCCTTGGATCTAATCTAAGCAGCTTCCAACAGGACTTGTCATTTGAATATGGTTGGTAAAGTCAGCAGTCTTTCATTAAATGCGAATTTGTACAGCAGTCTTCAGGCTTCAACATACAGGCTACACACCCCATGCTGCAGAGACAAACAGTGGACATCTAGTCCGGACAAATTTCTGGCTCCGTCTGTCATGCTGAAGCGTCCGGTGTAAGGATGACAAGGAAGTCACGAGAAAAATCCGAGATCCTTAGTGCAAATATCATAATAACGGATGTGAGAAACATTGGGATAGGCCCAAAGAACCATAGCGCAAGAGGGAGGAGAAAGTAGAACGAGCGATTGCCCACAGTGCAAAAATTGTCTCCTCGTGCAAGAACTCTTTGTACGTAAGAGATGGAGAGGCCAGGAGTAGTCTCAGGATCAATGGGGATGGTGATAAGGAAATTTACATGGCTGAGGAATCGAATGGCCTGGAAATGGAAGGGAGGAACCCACGAGAGTTACCACCAACAACAAAAAGAGGGAAGCCACAATTTCAAAAGCCACAACAAAGAATGACACAATAATCTAGGTTATTCAGAACTCACCTGAGTGTGGCATAGAAATGCGAAGAGGAAGCAAAGGAATACACAGAAGACTTTCAGAAGCAGCAGGTCAGATGAGGCTGATCCAACGGTCATGGAAGATAACGATTCTTGCAGGCTGTCAAGACGGATGCTGGTGAGGATTGTGGCGATTGCAACTGCACCCGTGGCTGAAGTGGAAGCCAGTAACACACATGCCATGATGGAGTTCCGGAGCGATTGCACTGCCAGCATGCCATTGGTGGCGTTGCTTTCCTGGTGAAAATGAGATGATAATTACGGTCAATAACTTTTCGGAAAGGTTTATCTGAAAGTAGCACGAGCCCAACGCTGAAAGATTTGAGCAAGAGTCTGACGTTGGTGAGGTCGTACGTGCCTTCATCACGCACTGCACCCAAGTGCGACGGTTGGTGTGAGCAACGCCAAGAACAGTAGCGAGGGGCCTGCGCTTTATCTGGGTGACCAGCCATGCGTGGTACGAGGCAAGCAGCAGGAGACCCGCTGGCACGAGCACCGCATCAAGAAGCGCATTGTGATAAACCATTACGTGATCCTACTCCTACAACTCCCGTAATTTTCTTCCGATCATCCAACCAAAGCATAAGTTGCCTGTCGGCGAGTCAACATCGCTGCCATGAACAAATGCCCATCTAGACGCCATCATGTGTAATTGCCTCAGAATGGAAATGCCTCACCTACGGATTCGGCCAAGGAGGAAGGTGTGAACGATGTAGTGTGAGTTGTTTCGTGTTGACGCGAAACAAGGGCGTGTAAAATCGGGACCTCCAAAAATACGGCCAGAATCCGTCGGGCCGTTTCTGCGAAAGTAACCAGTTTGCGATTTTCGTCGTTTGTGTTGGCGAGAGTCGTGAGTTTCGCAAAAACAAATATCGAATTTGATGGCCGTTTAAGAAGTCGACACGAAAACGACGCCGAGTCGACTCCAAAACGGCCACGAACCCGGCCCGACGTTGCGACACTGAATGGCGGTGTCGCAGACCCTCCATACGACGGTGACGATGTCGGAATTATGTGTACGAATTTGTCGCCCACTTTGAACAATTCAAATTTTACAACTTTCCGGAACCGGCCAGCAAATCGGCCTGCAGAGTTGTAAAATTCGCAAATTTGTAAATGGTGGATATATCGTAGTCGACTCTAATTCGGCTACCAAGTCGAAGTTCGCGAAAGATATGACGACCATATGGTCGTAAAAAAACCGGCCAAACCCCATTTTCAGACTTGTGCGTGGATTTTACACGCCCTAACTTCAAGGCGATGTGACGCCCTAGTTTTAGGGTTCATCAGTACTGATAAAAAAACTCAAAAACTCATGATGTGAAGTAAAAGGACGGTAAAGCTGATAAAATACTCAAGATGTCAAGCACAATATAGTGAAGCCAGCAATTGCTAGTGAGAACAATACACCTATAAGGATTACGCCCATAGGTGCAAGCAGCCAATCAACCACACTACTGTGGTTGGTTCTGATGGACTTCACAACTCTTGAAACATTTTCCAACGTATCGTTCCACTCGCCTGTATTATCTATCACATAATCTGCCCGATTTACTTTGAGCTCCATTGGCATTTGAGCAGCTACTCTCCGCCGAGCATCATCTTCCTGCAGAGAGTTGCGCTTCATTAAACGCTCCACCTGCTGCTCCGTCTCACAAAAGACAACAATCACTGCTCGTGTAGCCCTGTTCAGACCGGTCTCGTAGAGCAGAGGAGCATCTAGAATGACCAGTGGGTGATTGGCCCACCAATGGGAGAAGAGCTGTCGTGCAATTGCGTAGGCAATGTGGGGGTGCATAATGCTGGAAGGGTGGAAGAGGGCAAAAATCAGTAAAATAAGCACTCATATTCATATGTATGTTTAAGCCCAGCATGAACGTGGATGCAGTGGGTGGGAGTGATAAACAGACTGAAAAGGTCCAATAACAACCTGACGTGGCAATGCAGGGTGGTCAAGAAAAAACATGATATAAAATGAGGGTGAAGGAAGTTGCACGCATATACCCTTTCAAGCACCATCTGAGGCGACGCCTCACCTGTTCAGTTTCCTCCTTTTGTTAGCGTTGACAAACACTATCTCCCCCAGCTTGTCACGATCTATCTCCCCTTCTGACGTCAGGACCGAAGGCCCGAATTCCTTCACCACTTGCGAATAAGCTGGAGTGTCCTTTCGCATCACGTCCTGATATGTGGCAGTAAGGAATGGGGCGAAGGGGGAGGAAGGCGAGGATGGGATGGAGGGGTGGAAGGGGAAGAACGAGGGGTTGGGTGGAAAGAAGCAGGAGGGGCGGAGAGAACAAAATCAGGATGTGATTGCGTAGGCCGTCAGCATGAGAGGCGTGCTCAGATAAAGTATATTGAATAATAAGAAACGGAACTGGAAACGCTGGCAGCCTTCATCACTCGTTAACAAAGACGAGCAGGAATCGCTTATACAACCAGCGTCATGGCATCCTGAATACGATGTGTGTAGAGGAAAAGAATGCGGTGAAAACTTCGAGGGGAATTCAATCGTTGTGGCACAGTATGATACCCCACAAATGCATCTTGTAACGAGGTCTAGTCAAACATTCTGTTCCCTTGACGAATCAGATAGGTACCCAACGTTACAACATGATTCTACATAAGAGTGAAAAAAGAGAATAGAAAGAACGTACATGCGCTGTCTTGTCAGCGTCGATAACAGGAAAGCCGAACCGCGACTTGAGCTCCTGACACACAGTGCTCTTCCCGCTAGCTATACCCCCTGTCAAGCCGATCACCTTCATTGTCGCTAAGGGGGACTAACACGCGCTCGTTTAGCAGGACCAATGGTCCTAATCAAGCACCTTTAGGACGAAGCGGCATAGCACTGGCCCGCCTGTTACAACTACCTTACTACCACGTACTAATTCAGATGAAAATTGCTGAGATTTTCGCTTGGGGAGTTTCGCATCACCGAACGACGGCAGTGCTCGCTAGCGATGTGTTCACAATTGAAATACCGAGGCAGGATCGGGAGTGTTCACTGACCCTGCCAAATCGATCGCCGCATCGGTGTACCACGACTGCATTTTTGCAATCGCGGGCCCACCGCAGTTCTCAAGGGACACGTTTGAAAAATCTTGGGCCAAAATCGCCCGATCTAGACGAAATTGCACGATCGATGTGTGGCAAGGGCACATCGATCGCGTGACTCCGAGGGGACAACTGTACATTGGCGAAAAAAACGAATCAAAGTAACCACAATTTCGCAACTAAACGAAGTGTTGTACCCGCAAAACACCGAACCTGCGCAGGTTCGATGTCTCATTTGTAACGCGTCCTCAGACCTGCGCAAAACGAAGGGTGATTCGCGGCTTTCGCCATGACCTCTGCCATACGAGGTTTGGGTCGTGCTGAAAAGTGATTCGAGCAAATAGACCATAGAACTGTATATATATGTATTATAAAGACAAATAAGCAATTACAACCCAAACAGACACATCTTCAACAGATGCATCAAAATAAGGCCTAGCACACCCAAACCAGCAATATCAAGTACTTAACTTCCCAAACTAGCTTACCCTCCCATCCACACTAAACATCACTATCATCAGTATTGCACAGAGCAAGCTTCCTCTCTCCAAAGAAACCATCCCAAGGCAGAACATGCTCCGCCATCCGTCGGCACGTCACCACCAGTCCTGGCAGTAGCATTCCCACCTCCCTTGCTGCAACCCTCAGGTCCACACCAGCAACACCACTTCCACTTCCCTCTCCTTCCTTTCCACCTTCCTTGCCAGCAATAACTCCATGCGAAACCAGCAGCCTCTGCAGCTTGAAATCCTGCAGTCCGGGGCGGCTTCCCTCTCTCCCAGCCCTCACCTCCTCCCCGTCTCCACTGTTGCCAGCAAGCTCCCTTGCCGCTGCCAAGAGGGAGAGCAGCAGGCCGGAGGAAACACCCGGGCAGTCAAAAAGATCCAGCAGAACGAGCTGGGGCAACTGCAGCTGGAGAGAAGCAGTGGAAGCAGCGCCAGCTGTGGCGTCAGCATGCCAGGTGTCGCCGAACAGCGCCACCACGACAGCAGCGTCGTCCACAGCTGTGCGCGCCAGCCTCAGCACCTCCAGCCGCCCGCATCGCCTCGCCAGCTGGCGCAGCCCCACTGGCCCCACGTTCACACAGCCGCCCAGACTCAGCTGCACCAATCGCGTGCAACCATTTGCAATGGCCACTACCCCGGCATCGGTAACATGAGATTGCACAGGAGGGGGGGCGACACGCAGGCAGGTCCTGGAGTAGGAAGAGGAGGTGGTGAGGAGGAAATCATTAGCAGCGCTGGCAGCAGCAGAGGCGACAGCAATGAATCGAGCTAGTGGCTGGGCGTGCAAGGCGGTGAGGTTCGGGCAGGACTCGGAAACAGCTGTGAGAACGGCGTCTGACGCCAGCGGGAGAGCGAGGCGCTCGAGGAGAGGGAGGTCCCTGATGGCCTGGCACAGCACCTCCTCACTCGTCTTCCACTCGGGTGAGCCGCTGTGCAGGTGGGATGATGGGCGATGTGGCTCGGTTTGGGAGAGATCCAGAGTGGTGAGCTGGCGGAACAGGTGGCTCACGAGCTGCCACGTGGAGCTGGGGGAGTTCTGCGCGTGGAAGGCCCGTAGAGGCGTTGAGGAGGAACGAGCAGCGAGGGCGAGAAGAAGGGAGGATGCGGGGGGAGAGCCCCAGGCAACGGAGCGGTGAGGCGAGACGTAGAGGCGGATGGAGGAGAGGCAGGGCGCCAGAGACGAGTCCGGAGGACAGTAGAAAAGGTCGCCAGGCTTTGGAGCGGCGATGGAGAGCGTCGAGAGAAGAGCAGCCGTTTCAGAGTCTAAAGTGTCGGAAGAAGCGGATGGGTCACCCGCTACGCCGCTCTCCGTCAGCACCGGATCAGCTGCCGCGGCAGCCAAAGCAGGAGCCTCGGTAAGTGGCGCCGCAGCCGCATGCTTGGCGGGGTGGTTGCGGGGTTGATCCAAGGCGTGGGAAACGAGGGAGAGGTGCTGCAGGGAGGGGAGAAGCGCGAGCAGCAGCGACCCCACCTCCCACGTGACGGCGTCGGAGCTGAGCGAGAGCGCTTTGAGGTGCGGCAGCGACGTCGCCAGGTTGCAAATGGTCTCCGCGCTGGCGGTCGCGCGCGTGTCGAGGTTGAGGGAGGTGAGGTGCGGGAGGGAGGCGGCGATGGTGTGCAGATGCACGTCTGTGAGGCAGACACGCGGAGGGTGGATGGAGATGGGCTCGCGGGAAGGGGCGGGCGGAAGGGGAGGGGGAGCGGGCGAAGAAGAGGTTGGGGAAGGAGGAGAAGGGTCGGACGGAGGGGGGGAAGGTGCGGCAGGAGCTTCAGCAGCAGCAGCGGAAGCAGCGGCATCAGGGGAAGCAGCGGCAGCAGCGGAAGCAGGGGCGGGAGTGGCTGAGAGGACGCGCGGCGCGGGCGCCTGCGATGGGGGGATGGGAACGTTAGTCGAGCCGGCGACTTGAAGGCCGTCGTCTTTGCCCCACACGCGACCCGCGCCTCCCGCCGCGGCCTCGCCCCCCTCCGCCCACGTCACGCACGCCGAGGGGGTCAGAAAATGATCCGAGCTCAGATTCAGGGATTTGAGCTGACGTGGCAGCGCCGGGAGCACCACTGTGGCGAGCTCCACCTTGGTCATAGGAAGGAAGCCGGGCGGCGCGGTGCAACGATCGGGCACCGCTTCGACGCAGCTCACCAGCGAGAGCGATTCGATTCCCGACGCGCGTTGAAGGATCTGCACAATGCTGTAGGCCGATAGCTTATCGTCGTCAGGTCGAGTCGCGTTACCACCCGCGCCTGGACGGATCTCCAGAGCGCGGAGAGTAGCGGCGAAGCGCGTCGCCAGCTCCAGCATACGCGACTTGGAATCCGAACTAGCAATAGAAGTGAGGTCGTTAGTAGGGTCGTTCGCGGCATCCTCGAGAACGAACGGCGACGGTCGGAGTCGCACGCAGACCGAATCGGAGGTCGGAGGACGGAGGTCGTCGCCTGCCGCGGTCGCGAGTGTCATATCCGGCGTCGCCATATTCGAAAGTGCTCCAAGAAAGAACGAAAGGAAGAGCTGAATAAGATGAACTTGACAAAAGTGGATGTAAGATGCGCGTACAGAGATTGACAGTACCGATCGGTTTAGTACCTCCAAGAAAAGGTCCACCTACAGGCGTTTGCTAAAACACCGACCAACAGGCCGGACAACACGGAGCAACGCACCCACAGGTGACGGAAGGATCCAAGCGAGTTCCAAACGTATGTACTGGGAGCAATGGAGTGTATGCTCAGTTCAATTCGGCGCGCACCAAGCTCAAGGTGCGAGCGCGAGTAATGATGTGCAAATGGCGAGAGACTAGTTGGGCTGGTGCAGGATGGATTCAAGAAAGAATCGGCTCGGTTATGTATGGTGTGCTGCGGTAGATTCGAAAGGGGAAGCTGATTTGGCGTAGTGGCGAGGCGTGAAGGGAAGGGAATGTAACCAGGAGCTAGCTCAGACGATAGAGCTGAAACAAGTGGAACAAGTGAAGCTGATGGGTGGGGCGGAATGACGAGGAATGACGTATCAGAAGGTGCGAGGAAAGTATTTCTCAATTACGACGTGTTACAACTCACGTTGCTCTGCATCGGCTCGGATCGGGACGTGTCTTTAGAATTTTAACAAATTTTATAGCAGGCATGCAATAACGTCATGTGTTTCTATAAAAGCTTGGCAAAGAACTCAATAGAACCATATATTGATATCTTCTTTGCCAGATCAGTGTCCAAGTTTCGGGTTTCGGATTCCTCCCGATTGCCTGGAGCTTTCCAAACACCCCTTGTCGTCCCGAGCCGATGCAGTACACCGTGAACTGCAGCACGTCGCTATAAATTTGCAGACGCGTTCGCTTCACACGCGAGTTCAATCTCTGGGAAAGTCCTGAGAATGAGAAAGAGTCCCAGCGTCCTCAAATTCCAGTTCGTAACATCATTTCTTGGGTAATCGATGTTAGATAAGAGTCGTCTTGAAGATTCTTGAAGTTCGCTAATCCACTAAGTCTGGCCCTTAGCAGACTGACGCTGTCTTACCTTTATTATTGAGTTTAGGGTTGATGCCCCCTGACCGGATGCATGCCCGACTGGGGTTTATTTGTTTTGCCCGCGGGCAGCGAGCTCATCCGGGCGGGATCGCTTGTCGGCTGAGCTATACTGAGCCGTGACTCTCTCCAAGCTTCCCGTTCAGGAGTGCTTTGCTGACTTGCCCATACCGGAAACTGGATCACTGTTGGTTCGGTAACTGAGCGAAAACACTGCCTATGCCAGAAGTCAGATTGCTGTATAACAACGGCAACCTTTGTACACTCGCAAGGATCCACTAAGATTATATGCGAATCACATAAGGGGCTGGAGGTTGGGAAGTTGAATCAGTGTTATTACTTTTACAATGCTCAACCACTTTGTGCTTGCGCATTCCAGCTTTCATCAACGTCACCATCCAACTCAAGATCCCGCTCTCCAAAAAAACCATCCCATGGCAAAACATGTTCCGCCGTCCTCCTAGCAGTAACCACCAACTGTGGCAACAACTTCCTTACCTCCCTTGCAGCAAGTCTTAAATCCACGTCAGAACCCATCCCTCCACTATCTCCACCACCCCCCACCATTCCCTCTCTTCCACCTTCCTTGCCCCCCTTCCATTGGTCCCCAGCAATCACTTTGGGAGACACCAGCAGCCACTGCAGCCTGAAATCCTGCAATCCATAGAACCCTTTCTCCTTTTTCCCTTTCTTCTCATGCCCCACACGCTCGTCAGCAGATGGCTTCTCCTCCTCACATTCCCCATCCACTTCCACCATTGCAGCTGCCCCATCATCTCTGCGCCTCTCACTCTTACCAGCAAGCTCCCTGGCTGCGTCTAAGAGAGCGAGCAGGAGAGTGGAAGTCACACCTGGGCATCCACTCAGGTCCAGCAGAACCAGCCGTGGCAGCTCCAGCTGTAGTGGCGCATCAAAAGCACTGCTAGGACCAGCAATGGCAGCAGCAGTAGCACTGTCAAAAATAACTCTGACAGCGGCAGCACTGTCAGCAGCAGCGGTGGCAGCTGCAGCACTGGCAGCGGCAGCACTGGCGCCGACAGCACGGGCAGCGGCAGCACGGGCAGCAGCAGCACTGGCAGCGGAAGCAATAGCAGCAGCAGCAGTGGCAGTGGCAGCAGTGGCAGCGGCAGCAGTGGCAGTGGCAGGGGCAGCACAGGCAGCAGCAGCATTCACTACCCTGTTGCCACGCCAGCTGTTGCCGAACAGCGCCGCCACGACAGCAGCGTCGTCCACCGCTGTGCGCGCCAGCCTCAGCACCTCCAGCCGCTCGCATTTACTCGCCAGCTGGCGCAGCCCCACTCGCCCCACGTTTACACAGCCGCCCAGACTCAGCTGCACCAATCGCGTGCATCCGTTCGCAATAGCCAACACCCCGGCATCGGTAACATGAGGCTGGACAGGAGGAAGGGCAACACGCAGCCAGGTCCTGGTGTGTGAGGAGGAGTTGCAGAGGTAGAAGTTCCCAAGACCACAGTCAACAGCAAAGTCGACAGCGACGGATCGAGCCAGCGGCTGGGCGTGCAAGGCGGTGAGTTTCGGGCAGGACTGAGAAATCTCCAGCAGAACGGCATCTGACACCAAGGGGAGGGCGAGGCGCTCCAGGAGAGGGAGGCCCCGGATGGCCTGACACAGCACCTCCTCGCTCCTCTTCCACTCGGCTAAACCGTTGTAGGAAGAAAGCCGGCACGGGGACAACTCGTTTCGGGAGATGTCCAGAGTGGTGAGGTGGCGGAACAGGTGGCTCACAGCCTGCCACGTGGACATGGAGGAATTGTGGGCGTGGAAGGAGTGCAAAGAGGAGGAGAACGGGCGTGGGACAGACAGGCTGGCCGCATTGCCGCCACTGCCACTGCTGCTGCCACTGATGCTGCCGCCACTGCCGTTGTTGCTGCCGCTGAGGGCGAGCAGGAGGGAGGACGCGGGATAGAGATGCCAGGCTACGGAGCGATGGGGGAAGTTGAAATGGTGGATGGAGGAGAGGCAGGGCGCCAGGGTCGACCCAGATGGGTACCAAAAGAGGTCGCCGTGACAGGGTTTTGCAATAGAGAGCGAGGAGAAGAGGGATGCAGCGTCCAACCCAGCTGCTTCTGGACCAGCGGATGAATCCGCTGAAATATCTCGGATGTGCAGAGCACGCACGTGGATATCATGCTCTTGGTTGCCCGGCTGGGGCACGGCGCGCGGACCCAAGGCGCGGGATATGAGGGAGAGGCGCTGCAGCGATGGGAGGAGCGCGAGGAGGAGAGACACCGTCTCCCACGTGATGGCGTCGGACCAGAGCGAGAGCGCCGTGAGGTGCGGGAGTGTGCTGGCCACGTGCTCGACGCACGCGGCCGTGAAGTCCGCTGGCGTGTCGAGGTTTAGGACGCGGAGATTAGGGAGCGAGGCGGCGATGGAGTTTAAGTGCAGGTCGGAGAGGAAGAAGGAGATAACGGATGTGGAGTTTAAGTGCATCGGGTCGTAACGGATGTGGTGAGGCGGTGAGGGGGGCGGGGGGGGGAGGCGGGCGGGGAGGCGAGGGACCAGGCGGGAGGAGAGGCGGAGAGGGAGGAGGGACAGAAGCAGGAGGAGGAGGAGGAGTAAGGGGCGCAAGGAGGGGTGGGGGTGGCGGAGGGGGGATGTTGGACGATCTGGCAAGCTGAAGGCCATCCGCGTACCCCCACACGCGATCATGACTCGGCAAAGTTATCTCGTCATCATCACACGCGCTTGTCCCGAATTGCGGAGCACGCACGCGACAGGGCAGAGAAAGTGATCCGACCAGAGATTTAGGGACTTGAGCTGACGTGGCAGGACTGGTAACACCACCGTGGCAAACTCTGATTCGCTCATGGGTAGCGAGTCGACTATCGGGTAGATCCGCTCCACGCAACTGACCAGAGAGAGGGATTCGATGCTCGAGGCGGCTCGAAGGATTCGCACAATACCATGAGACGTCAGCTTTTCGTTGTCAGCGGCGGTTAAGTTTCTCGCGCCGGGACGGATCTCCAGAGATCGAAGCGTAGCGGCGAAGCGCGTCGTCAACTTGAGTAGCTCTGTTTCTGAGTCCAAACTACCTAGTGTGCTCTCCGATCCCTCCGGAGTTAAGTCCTCGAGCATAAAAGGCGACGCTCGGAGCGATCGCACACACACACCGCGCAGCGCGACGCGGCACCAACGGCGGCAGACGAAGGCGGCTGAGGAGATCGCGAAGCACGAGGGGAGGAAGGAGAAGACGAGGGAGAGAGTGCCGTCATCGAGGAGGGCCGTGACGGATGCGCATTCCCCGGTGCATTCGTCCACTAGAGCTAGCTCTCCGCAATCACGGTCGCCATCGCGAGCTGCGGAGACGTGCGACGCTCGTTCCATGGTACTCCTTGTTGCCCGCAATACGCCAGAGAAATGGATGTAAATAGATGGGAGCAGAGAAATGATAGCGGAGTTTGTCCAGTCACATGGATGCGAGGACTAATTTTGAGCCTAGGAAATACAGTAATGGGGGAGCAGGATGAGAGTGACGGACGGACGGGGGAGGAGGCGAGTGGAGTGGCGACCTTTTTCGTCCGAACCGAACCGAACCTAATCAAGCCAAATTCGATAAAAGTTTGCAGCCCGCATTCCCCGTGACTGGAATGGAGTAAGTTTGAGTAGTTAGAAGCACGGCGAGGTAAGGTGACGTCACGCCCCAGTAATGCTTCATGCTTATTGTCCCAGATCGAACCGCCAGTGGATTCGTTGAATGCCTTGAATTCTGTACCTTGCAGCGATTTCTGCGCTCGGGGTTGGTCAGGTCGGACGACTTGGTCAGACCGACCTTTGAGCTGAGCTGACTGAAAAGCCTTGCCGCCATAGCGTTTGCTGTTGGATTCAGGAACAAGGCAAGACATACAAGGGAAGGGTGGTTACCGTATTTCAATCACTGAACGAAACTGGTGACATGGTGACAAGTTGGTGCTTAGGTAATGCTCAGTTTCCATTCAAAGGTGCAAAGAAACCATCCACATCATCCTCGAAAAAAGCTCCAAAAGCATCAGCATCCCACCCAAGTTTCTTCATAACATCTGCCGCCTCTTCAGAACCCCTCTCTTGGTGAACATTTCTTCTCAAACAATCCCCACCACTTTCCACACCTCGCGTTTCCACATCTGCTGCACCTTCACCTTGTGCATCAGGCCCGCAGTGCATTCTGACAGAGTCAGAGGGTCTATGGATGCCGACGTTCATGCCAGGCGAGAGACCTCGCTGGCTTTCTGTGGTTGGAGGTTCACGAGATCTCACATCACGTGGCTGAAGCCCCTCCTCACTTGCTTCCCGTATGGCCGAGACACGACTCCCAGGCACTCCTCTGTGGCTGTCCAAGGCCGCATCAGGCACCATGGGCGTGAGGCAGATGTCAGCATCCTCAGCGTCAATTGACGTGAAATCCCACGCCTTCTCCCTTCGTTCGATTGTGGCTGCTGGAAGTCGGTAGGCTGGTGTAGTTTTCGGCATCATCTCAGTATTGCAGTGGGGGTTTGGCACATTAGGAGTGAAAGGTGTAGGAAACCCCGCCGTTCCACCAGCGGCAGCGTTGGAGTTTCTTTGGGCTGAAGAACCAGAAGCAGGGCGTGGTGGAACAGTGGACGATGGGATCTGTGTCACAGGTTGAGGCGATGCTGGCACACGGTTGGTTCCAAGAGTGCTTGGGGACTGTGGTATCTGCGTGTGCAGGTGGGGATTCTTTGATGAGAAGGGTGACTCTTCAGAGAGGCTGTGACTGTCATGTGGCATTGCAAAGGCAGATTGTTGGTTCGCCAATGGAGATTGATCTGTGTGTGCAGGCGGGGAAGCTGTTGAGCCGAATGGAGGAGAACGGGCAGAGGCAAAGCGTGGACCTGCAGTGTGGAGCAGGAAGGCGATTATTTAAATCGGGCAGTCATAGGAGTTGCTGAGACAGCATATTGTAAAGGGAATATCTCAAAAAAGCGGAGGAGCCTGTTTAGAAGAAGACATGCACACACCTGGTAGACCCGATGATGACGGGCGAAATGCAGAAACAGGAGGAATTGGGGTGTCTGGAGGAAACACCTTGAATGGGATGGGATGGGAAAGCAGAAAAACGCACAATGAAATAGTGGAGTGACGAGAGGGACAATAGTGCTGGAATGACTGGCGGTACGCGCCGACACACTCACCTGGACAACGTTGGCAAGAGTGATGTTGATATATTGCAGTCCCTTCCGAGGGCTGAACACCACCACCTGACAGCCACACGTGTCCACATCAATAACTCCAAGTAAAAAACACTTTTCCTCCTGTAGAAAACAGAATGCAACATGACATCATTTGAAGAAGATGTGCTGTGCACCTTTCGGAGTAGAAGAGCAGATCCTCGCTTAATCCGCGACTTGTTGTCGGCATCAGCCATGACCTTCCAGTGCAGCGAGCCCTCCAGACGACCCGTGGGGTCCTGGTTTAGATGGCCACGCCAGCAGAACAGAAAGTGGGTCGTGAAACGTCCTTTAATCATGTCATACTTTCCATGCGCACACCATCGCCAAACTTCACTTGTTGTGCAAGCACAGCCATGTACTTGCATGAGGAAAACGCATGTGGTGCTCCAGTCTACAGCTATAAACCAGGTGCACAGCGAACAGCTGACCTACCTTGATTTCGATGTTTGCATCACCCCGTGGTTGCAGTTGAAGGCGCTCCACCACAGCTGCGAGCTAGTGAGTGTGGGACATGAGAAGGTTTCAACAAACAAGCAAAAAATGACAAGTATCTACTATGACAAGCAAAAGGCATTAACATACTCAATCACGGCACAGCTGTTTACAATCAGCCTCTACCATTAACAGAGAGGGTGAAATATGAAATTAGCCGTCACCTCACCTGCATCACCACCATCGAAATGCCTGCTTGCCGAATGCTCCTTACTGTTTCACACCCAGTGCCTGGTTTCCCTGAACTAGGAAAAACAGCACTGGTGAATACAATGATTACACACACACACAGGACCACAAGATGGAAATTGGAACAAACATTTCCGGACCATACCAAAGGCAGAAGGATATATGTCTAGGACGTCAAGGCATGAGAGCCATGGCCCTTTACTGAAGTCTTCATCTCCTGTAAATTCTGGCCGACCACGCGAGAAGCCATTATCTAGAAAGGGGCCGCCATTACCACCATCATCATGACCAGGACCACACGATAGACCCGCTAGTCTTCGCTGAAGGATACCGATAGGGCCCGGAAGAATCCTTAGACTCTCCCCCCCAGCTTTTCCGTCCAAGGGAGGCGAGTCATTATTGAGAAACGCGTTCTCTTCAGGGCTCAATTCCACATCTTCAGTTTTCACAGCAGTCTTGATGTTCTCTCCCTTTTTTCTCCTCTTTTTCTCCCTAGCTGCTCCTGCATCGTCCAATCCAGAGCTCATTCCGTGACCTTCTTCAAACGCATTGACAAACTCGCTGCCATTCCCCAATCCGCGGGCCTGATCCGCACGCTGGGAGGATCTCAATCCGCGCGTCTGATTTGCACGCTGGGAGGGTGGAAATTCAACAGGTTCCCCGTCTGGTTCTCCTCGCATTCGATCCGCGTCTCCTCCCAAGCCATCAATGCCCAGGTCGAAATCTCCGAGGCTAAAATTCGCCCATCCACTAACCCCGTCGTCAACGCTGTTGTCCGTAGGGCCATTCTGCTGAGACTGGCTGACAGTCGGTTCTCGTCCTGGGAGCCGTCCTTGGCCTTCGGAGTGTTTGGCAGCATTAGTATCAGCTGGCGATCGGCGCTCAGGCCTCACCCAGTCCACGCCATGGTTTTTCCTGGCTGGTGCGAAGTTCAAATCCTCGGAACTTGGCTCAGGTGGGACTGGGAATCTTGAGCGGTCGTTGCTATCCCTGCATAGGATATCATATTTCTGCTGCGCAGGGGTCACGCCTAGACCAAACTGCCTTCCACCGATGTCTGCAGCTGCTTTCGTGCTCACAAGCCGAACACCGCTATTTCCTGGTGGTTTGCTCCTTTCGTCCTTATTCTGTTCTGACTGTCGCTTACTTGCATCCGGAACCTTTCCCAGGGCGGACAAAATGTCTGAATCGTCAACATCGAGCTCTTCGTCGAAGCCAGCCGCGAAATCAGAAAACAATTCCATTCTGTCAATGAAGTAATGGCGAGGCCCGCTCACAGCTAGTCGTCACGGAAACCAACCAGCAAGAAGCACAGTGATGGTCAGGCAACAGAAAAATATGGCAATGATTCCTACGATTACCGCAGCCTAGTGAGATGCTTTCCGCACTCGTCGCTTATGCTAGGAATCATACCTAGATTTCTTGGTTTTCCAAAACTCAGCACAGCAGCATCCAGCATTTCATGGCGCACCTCAATGTTGTCGTACTGGTGACGCCAGTTTGATGATCTACAATCTACACTTCGAAAAAACACAGTCCATATGTTTCCTCGTTCAGAATGACCATTGTACGGCAGATTAGGTGTAATTTGACAATGCCCAGAAGTCTCTCGCCACGGTTCAAGCCTTTTTCCAGCTGTGCGGAATCAACCCCAACCGAAGCCACCCCGCTAGTATCTACAACTCAACCGGACCCAACCCAACCCCTCCCGCCCACTGCCTGCCACCAATCCCCACTTCCCGCAGCTCTTCGCGTGCCACGCCTCTGCCACCCTTTCCGCAATAGCGTCCCCGTATTCCGCACCCGTTCTGCAAGAGCCTCCGCGTTCCTCCACATGCTCCCCCAAATGCATCCTCGCCCACAAGAGCAGCTCCTTTTCCTTTTCCCTCTCCCCTCCCACGCCCCTCTAGAATTTCCTATACCTCGTTCCTTTCAGCCATGGCGGAGGCAGCGGCTCCCAAGTCATACAGCCTAGATGCTGTCAAGAAGCCCTTGAAGAGGGCGCGTGTGAATCGTCCCTCGAAGCTGCGGTAAGGGTCTGGTAAGCGCTGCGTCTGTGGTTTGCCAGTCTAGGGTTTCACTCTCCAGACACCCTTCTAGCACCGTTAACAATCACTACAGCTTCACTCTGTTCTTCCGCGATATCCATTGTTCGCGAGTCCTCAGGCACGAGTGGTGAATTAGGGTTGGGAGTTTGACTGCTCTGACTTGCTCGATCTGCTGTGTTTGTTTCGCCAATGGATTTACTCTCCGTCTCCCGTGTCGCAGTGCGAGCATCACCCCAGGCACAGTGCTGATCATCCTCGCTGGCCGCGACAAGGGCAGGCGCGTCGTCTTCCTCAAGCAGCTCGAGTCCGGCCTCCTCCTCGTCACCGGTAAGGCTCTGAATTAACTCAGAATTCATTTTGCCACTGCTAAGTTCACGCCATTGCAAAAGGCGTCGATCTCGTTTCTGTTCCTCGTGACTTCATGTAAACGTTCATCTCTCTAAACCTTCCTCGGCTGCTTCCCACCAGCGTATCACAGCGCTGCCTTCTCACCGGAGTGTGAGACGAAGCAGTCGCTTATATCAGAGCGATCATTTCGATAGCTTCGGCGCTCTCCGATGTAGCGGTCGTCTTGTCGTAGTTGATAATTTAGGGGGTATCAGCAGCGTTGCGTAGGTCGACAATGTATCTGCGCCACGACGCAACATTTTCATCAGGAGTACCAGCTTAAATTCAAGACTCGTCTGACAGCGTGTCGTTTCGTTGAACGGCGTTCCGTGACCTACCTCAAACGTTTCTAGGCACCCGGCAACGGTGATAGACGATTCTAGTTACTACCGTGGCTTGGCGATTGCGGAGGGGTAGGAATTTCGAAACTGAATTCCGAAGCGTTGATATGAAAAGGTTCGAGTGCACTTCGATCACGTCCGGATACCGCAGACGACAAAGAGCTATTTGGAATGAGTGGTGGCATGGGGCTGAGGTCGATCAGTTCGGGGGACGGTGGTGGTGCAGCCGGTGATTATACGAAGTATTTGCTACTCTTGATGGCATGGCCACATGACGATTTACTATCCACCAAGATCTATGAGGCTGCCACCACAGGTTTCGAGCGGTTCTTACAAAACTATCTTTTATCTTGTCGCTTAAGCCGTACAGTACTTTTTTTCTGGTGACTCTGTAGCCGGCCGGTGATTAAATCCTTGATTTGCTACTCGTGATGGCTTCAGTCCATTTGACGATTATCCTACCACCAAGATATGAGGCCAGTACTGCGGATGCCTTTCCATGTGACCCTGTCGCGGGTTGACTTCTTATTTCGTTGTTTAGAAATCAATGTCCGGAACAGAAGTCAGTAGCCGGGCTGATTCCGCATAGTGTTGCTGGCCTGGCTCCAGCAACAGTGGTCATTTTGGTGCCATTCCTGCTTTCCATGCTTCGCGCGTGAATTCACGTGCAGTCCTCGTTTCAGCGACTTTCTATGGCTGTTGGATAATCTGGACTCTCCATTTACGCTCATTGGTTGATCTCTACTGAGTCTGAACAACGTTGCTTGAACTTGGCGTACATGCTTTGCCTCCGAATTAATAATGTCAGTTTCCGTCTCCGTTTCCGTTGATGGAAGGTTGACCATGTGGCCGGTGATTATTCATCAGTATTTGCTACTCTTGACGGCCACGGCCGCATGACGATTTACTTACCACCAAGATCTATGAGGCCACTACACTCTCTTTCACATGTTCTGATGTGCCGGACTGAGTGGTTATGCGTCCTTCTCCTCTGGTTCTCCTCTTGCTTGTTGAATAGCGTTTCTCCCTGAACCATTAACATCTAAACTCGCCTTCTTCCGCCTTCTCGCCGCCTTTCTCTGGGCTAACCCCTCCACCCTCTGCCATCTCTCTTCTGGCCTCTATCCCCCCTCCAGGTCCCTTCAAGGTGAACAGGATTCCCCTGAGGAGAGTCAACCAGCGCTACGTCATCGCCACGTCGACCAAGGTGGACGTGAGTGGCGTTGACGTGGCCAAGTTCGACGACGGCTACTTTGCGGGCGAGCAGAAGAAGAAGGAGAAGAAGAGCGAGGGCGAGTTCTTCGAGACCGAGAAGAAGGTCAGCTGCATCCCAGTGCATTGCACGGATTGTTCTTCTCTTGTTGCCCCTCTCCCTCCACCCTCCTTCCCTCCCCTCTCTCCCCGCACCTCTTCCTCCAAACCCCCCCCCCCCCCCCCCCCTCTCCCAGCACCTCTTCCTCCTACCCCTCCCCTCCCCCCTCCGTCCCCGCACCCACTCCTCCTACCACCCTGCTTCCCGGCCTTCTCAATTCACGCGCCGTTTCTTCAGGAGAATGAAGGTTTTAGCTGCCAAAGATTGTTGGCTGGGCAGCAGTGATTTCATGCAGCTGTAAGCAAGAAGCTCTTCCTTGTGCAGGCAGCAGTGGGCCCTGGCAGTCATGGAAGAGTTTGTGCTCTCTTCTGCTCACTTCCCACTCAACGCTTCCCGTCCCCTTCCCCCTCCCCCCCCCCCCTCCTCCCCCTTTTCACTCAACTCCTGCCCTTTGCGACCACCATTGGCGTGCACAGGAGAAGGTGGTATCGCAGGTTCGGAAGGATGACCAGGCAGTGGTGGATGCTGACAGGCATGAGTCAAGAAGAGCCTCTCAACATGTACCTTGTTCTTCTCTTCTCATCTGTGTGCCGTGCAGGAGAAGAAGGTGGTGTCGCAGGCGAGGAAGGATGACCAGGCGGCGGTGGACGAGAAGATCCTGGCGGCCGTAGGCAGCGAGCCGCTGCTCAAGGAGTACCTCGCTGCTCGCTTCTCACTCACGTCGGGAGACAAGCCCCACCGCATGCAGTTCTAGATGCTGCTGCTGCTGTGGCCACGCTCTTTGTAGACCAATGCTGTAATGATCATGCTTGTAACGTTTACTGAGAAAGGCGGTTTACCTGAGGCTGCTCATGCAAGTCTTCATTCTGGAAGCACCGAATATACATGAATAATTCCTAAGGGCGCGTGTCTTTTGAACTTTAGGTCAAAGTTCATGTTTTTTAGTCGAATTTTTGCAAATAATCACAGGTCGACCTGTAGTTGACTATCGCGTGTTCACCTTGACGTGGAGCACACAGCACAAGAAATGCTCGACTTTCAAAGGTCGAATTTGTACAGTAAAATCCGAGTCGTGCCAAGTTTTGTAGGTTACCCTGTCTACACAGTGAAGTTCGTTAGCACTTTCAACTCTGGTAACCTGGCGCGACGTGGTTCGTGACTATCGCGAATCTCGCAGCTTCTTCGTGCGTGGGCAGAAGAACACACGATTGGAGAAACATGCTCGGGGATAGTCGAATGCGAGGTCCACCCTAGTTCAGTGTCCTTCTGTTTCAGCAACTTAGATCTTGGACACACGTTCGTCGTCAGTAGCTTTGAGCGAAATTGGCGAAGCTGGTTACCAGCAAAAGTTCGACCTTTTTTTTGAACTTCTACACCAAATGACACGCGCCCTAACAATCTACTCTGCAACAACAGACTTGCCAAGTACAGTTCTCAGCACCATCTTTTGTCAGCTTGTAACCATCAGGCTCTCAAACAGGGTCCGGAGGAAAAGAATTACCAGTACCTACCAATATCCGTATTCGCAGAATAGGGTTATGATTAGGGGTACGGTTGTAGCATGGTGCAGCATGCTGCGACATGGTTGCAACATTTGCATATCATGGTTATCAGGCAGCATTGTCAAGTAGAATGGCCAGTTGGCATGAGGGAAACATTCTCAGCTACCACAGCAGCTTACGAGCTACACAAAACTAGCTCAAGACTTTGATCCTACCCTGAAATCAATGCTGTTTGGAACGGCAATGTAGGAGGTTTCCATTCACGCATTAGCTGCTGCTTATGACGAGCGCATGGCTGAAGCTGGTGGCCCCTTCTTCGTGCTCATGGCTGCCACTATGTGCTCCTGGTGATACACATGGAGGTCGACAGGAGATGGACAGGGGGAGATGGACGATGGGGTATGGGCAGTGGGAGATGGATGGTAGTGGTTGGCAGCGGAAAACGGCAAACAGTGGGGAGTGAAGGGAAGTGGATTGAACGACATAGGCAATGATGGCTTATGAACAACTTATTGAAACACAGAGGTGGAAAGATGTGCTGTGGGTTGCGGTGTGGTGCATGCAGGGAGGAACGATCAGAGGCACAGAGCAAGGTCTAGAGAACGCTCTGAGGCACAAAGAAGTTCGATTCAACTCACCGACACAAAGTCAAACGCGTGCGAGTCTTCCTTTGTGGAAGCAGTAGGAGGAGCCGGGCGCAGCGTGGGATCACCCGAGAAATCGAAGTCACCTCCCACCCTCCCTCCCCCATTCGCAGCACCCACCATCCCCCCCGGCCCTCCCACCATGCCTGGGCCCCCAACTCCCCCCATACCCATCCCCATGCCCATGCCCATCCCTCCACCCATTCCCATCCCTCCAACCATTCCCAAGTTGACACCCATGCCCATGGTCATGCCCATGCCCCCCATACCCATGGCCATGGGCATGGGCATCATGCCAGGATGACCAGCCATCATGGCTCCCCCAGGAGCCATCATAGGCATGGGAACCATCATTGGATGCATGCCCCCCGCTGCACCCATCCCCATGCCCATCCCCATCCCCATGCCCACACCCATACCCATGGTCATCCCCCCTCCTCCCCCTGCTGCTGCTGCTGATGCAGGCATCATGGAGACAGGCATGGTCATGGGGGTACCTAGCATACCCGCTCCCCCCATTGCCCACGCCTGCGCCGACTGTTTGGGCTTCGCCGCGCCAGCAGAGAGTGGCTGTGGCTGTGGATGTGGCTGCTGCTGGTTCACACTCATTCCCGCAAACAGATCTCCCTCTTCCCCACCACCACCAGCGCCACCAGCAGCACCAGCAGCACTAGCAGCACCAGAACCAGCAGCAGAAACAGCAGCATCACCGGTTTCACTGTTGACGCTCAGACCTTGAAAGAGGTCGGCCGTATGTGCTGTGAGGTCACTAGACAGACCTGCAAACGGATCCTGTGCTACAGCCGTAGCAGCTGTAGTGGCTGTAGCGGGGGCAGACGGAGGTACAGCGGCAGGAGCAGTAGGAGGAGGAGAAGCGGCATTCAGAGAGGCAAACGGGTCCATGCTCTCCCCTCCTAGCAAGTCTTCTACTCCAGTCACACCAGCCGCTTGCGAACCAGACAAATCACCACTCGCTATTGCCCCTACCTCCGCTGCTCTGCCCTCGCCTCCCTCTCCTCCCTCTCCTCCCTCCACCTCGCCCCCCTCCCCCACGTCGATTAAGTCAGGCACAACAACTGCTGCTGCTGCTGGCAGTGTGTGCGGGGATGGCTGCCCCCCTTGCTGGTGCCGCAGGCCCAAGAGGTCAAGCACCTGGAATCGGGGGCGGTGGGGCGGGATAATGGAGGAGTCTGGTAGTGTGCAGTGCGGTGACCTGATGGCTGGGGGGTGGCTGTCCGCCCTGCTGGTGCCGCAAGCACAGCAAATTTGTTGTTGTACGTGCATGCATTGCCTAGTTCCTAAGAGTTTTTGTTGATCCTCAAGTTTTTGTTGTTGTTGAAACAAGGTGGGGTTAAGGTGGGGTAAGGAAGGGTAAGGTGGGGTAAGTTTGGTAAAAGGTTGGAATAAGGTGGGTTTAAGGTGGGACACACAGATTGGACATCACATCATACCCGTCTGGCCGTGTCTCTCTGAGTGACGACTGTGGCGAGTCCACGCTCTCCTGCAGCGCGTGCGGGATGTCGGCAAGATAGTCGCTCCCATGCCCACCCAAGCACACACACACACACACACGTGAGGTCAGAAACATACCCGTCTGGCCTTGTCTCTGAGGGAAGTCTGGGGCGACTCCACATTCTCGTGCAGCGCATGGGGGTTGTCAGCGAAGAAGTCATAAATGGCGTCACACTGTGGGTCGCCCTCCTGCCTCACCACTGCCTCCACCACGCACATGGCCTTCAGCCGCGTCTGATGGGGGAGAAGTCGGCGGAGGGGAAGGGGAAGGGAGGAGGACAAGGGTGAGCAGGGTCGCCCTCCTGCCTCACCACTGCCTCCACCACGCACATGGCCTTCAGCCGCGTCTGTGGGACGAAGTTGAGGAAAGAAAAGGGAAGGGAAGGGCAGGAGGACAGTAGTGAGTGGGGTCGTCCTCTTGCCCCACCACGGCCTCCACCACGCGTATGGCCTTCACACGCGTCTGTGGGGGGGAGCGGGGAGGTCAGGGGAGCATCGAGTGGGGGGGAGGACAATTGTAACAGTTGTTGCCCACTGAGTCCGCCACTAGCAGCTCACGTGCCACAATTAAAAGTAGTGTTTTGAGTCCGTCTCAAAACGCTGCTTCTATCACGTGCCCACTGAGTCCGCCACTAGCAGCTCACCTGCCACAATTAAAAGTAGTGTTTTGAGTCCGTCTCAAAACGCTACTTCTATCACGTGCCCACTGAGTCCGCCACTAGCAGCTCACCTGCCACAACTAAAAGTAGTGTTTTGAGTCCGTCTCAAAACGCTACTTCTATCACGTGCCCACTGAGTCCGCCACTAGCAGCTCACCTGCCACAATTAAAAGTAGTGTTTTGAGTCCGTCTCAAAACGCTACTTCTATCACGTGCCTACTGAGTCCGCCACTAGCAGCTCACCTGCCACAATTAAAAGTAGTGTTTTGAGTCCGTCTCAAAACACTACTTCTATCACGTGCCCACTGAGTCCGCCACTAGCAGCTCACCTGCCACAATTTCCCACTCACCGTATCCACGACCACCAGCAGCTCACCTGCCACAGGTTGCTGAGAAGACGAGCCTCCAGCGCCTGAGCCACGGCGCCCGCGTTCAGCTTAGGCAGGCTGGCAATGAAGCCCCTCAGCGCCTCGCGTGTCGGCTGCAGTCGCACCCCGCCCGCCCCAGTCATGCCCTCCACCAGTCTCTCCTCCTCACTGCTCGCCCCGCCCCCCCCCGCCCCTCCGCCTGCTCCTCCGCTCATCCCGTCCCCAGACCCAGACGCCCCTCCCCAAGCACTCGCCTCAGTGCGTCCCTCCCCTTGCTGCCCCCCGTCGCCCCACCCTCCCCCCGCTCTGTCCTCTTCCGCACCCCCCCCTCCATATCCCCCCCCGCCCCCACCGCCATATGCACCCCCTCCACTACCATACGGCCCTCCTCCTCCCCCTCCCCCTCCCCCACCACCATAGCCCCCCCCTGCTCTGTACCCTCGATCGGACCCATACTCTCTGTCCCTCCCCGCGCCAGAGTAAGCCGCAGGCGCCGCAGCAGGCGTGTATGAGTTGGTAGACGCGTCGAACGTGCGTCCCTGCCGGTCAAACCCCACGTACTTGGACGCACCAGACGACCCGCCTCCTTGTCCGTACCCGCTTCCTTGTCGGTACCCGCTGCCCCCATACCCGCTGCTGCCTCCATACCCGTACGCATCCCCACCGCCCCCAACCGAGTCCAACCGCGGCCCAACGTAGCTCCCCCCGCCTGCTGCTTCTTCAAACTCCCCCCCGCCCGCCTTCCCCCGCGCGCCTCCTGCTCCCTGCCCCACCGCGCCCGCCAGCTTGCTAATCCCCTGCCGAATCGACTCGCTACTCACACCCAACACTGCGCCGATCCCCCCTGCTCCCCCTCCTCCTCCGCCGCCCCTCCCCCCTCCGCCGCCCCCAGCACCCCCGTCTCCCCTCGCCGGGGTGCTTCCGAATCCCTCCATGCGACGCCGCCCGCCTTCCATCCCGCCACTGGGCCCATACCCGTTATAGCCGCCTCCGGTAGAGGCACTGCCGCCGCCGCCACTGACGCCCGTGGCGCCTGCGCCTGGCTTGATATCGTTCTGCGGGTTGAAGATCGCCTGCACCGCCTCCTGCGCCGCCTCCCGGACCGCCTTGTTGGGCGCGTCGCCTCTTAACGGATCGGGCTGTCCGCGATAGTGGACCATGCCCTTGATGGTGGCGGAGTGGCGCTGTATGCTGCGCCGAAACTCCGTGCCTGCCCGCGAGACCGTGTACTTAATCAGCCGCAGCGCCTGGGGAGGTGAGGTTATGGTAAGAGGGAGAGAAGGAGGAAGTGGGAGGGGAAGAGAAGAGCTGGACGTCGGGTGGCGGCTAACACGAGGCAACAGGGGAAATACTAACGTACAGCAGTCACCACGAATAGCGGCAAAAGGAGGAGGAAACCCAGTCACAAACGACAGAGAAGAGAAACAGTCGGGCCGGTTGACTGCCGCCCCGAAAATCTATCTAGATGCCTGAAACGCAAACAACCATGTCTGAAACACAAACAGGCAAAGCTCGCCAGAGTAGAAGTGATCGAAACTGGAACGTCGAAACTGGAACGCGCACGCTGAGTACGCAGAACGGCATCGTGAATCTCTGGTCACGACGTTACCGCAATCGAGGCCAAGACTAGGTCGAAATTAGTCAGCAGTAATGAGTCAATCCCTCAACTTTCCCGTGACAAGAATGACTCAATTCCTCACCTTTCTCCCACCTTTTGCTCGATGAAGGGCTAAGAGTGGTTGAGCCGCTGCATGTCGTGGTCATTCACTTCGTTCACCACCTGCGATAAATTGCAAAGTTACTCTATGGTCGGCTGTAGGCTTACTCTATGGTTACCTGCCTTCGATTCTTCGCGCACCTTTTGCTTGACGAAGGGCAAGGAGTGATTGAGGCGCTGCGTGAAGTAATCAACCACCTCCTTCACCACCTCCGATGCCCTACCGGATTACAGTCGGCTGGATGGTAACTCTATGGCTACCGTACGGTTGAGCCTTCGCGCACCTTTTGTTTGACGAAGGGCGAGGAGTGGTTGAGGCGCTGCGTGATGTAATCAACCACCTCCTTCACCACCTCCGATGGCCCGCATGATTACCCTATAATCGGCTGGAAGTCTACTCTACGGTTACCACCGTTGATCCTTCCCGCACCTTTTGCTTGACGAAGGGCGAAGAGTGGTTGAGGCGCTGCATGATGTAGTCAACCACCTCCTTCACCACCTCCGATGGGCTCGACTGCACGTCCGAGCATATCTCGTCCAGCCGATACACGGGAGCGATCTTATCGTCATCTGACGTCACCTCGTCGATCTTACGAGCTCTCCAAAACGACTGCATGATTTGAAGATAGGATATCGGAAAATGACGAAGCTTCCTTCTTGGCAAAAAGAGCAGGTTCGAATTGACCTGGCAGGATGCTAGCAGAGGCAAGCGCAAGTGCTCAAACAAGTACCGAGATTGGAAATAATTTTAGGTCTGCTAGCGTCACGCCAGTTCGACATAAGTGACATCACAACTCCAGGCCGGCGCCATGGCTGGATGGAGGAATCTCGAGAAACATGTCCATTTATGTGCAGTGTGGGCAGGAAGTATAGAATGGAAATGGAGTCTGAGAAAGGGAGGAATGGCATCCGTTAGGAGAACTCTCAGTATAGCCACGGTATTCTCACGCCCGGTGTAAGAACTCCTACCTCCAATTCTAGCCGCTGTTGGCGCCTTCTGAAAATGGATGACCTGCGCACTGAGCTACTGATGCTCGAATAAATTGACTCGGCACTGTGTTAAACTTTAGGGATCTGTGTTAAACTTTAGGGATCTAATTGGCACCTATGTGCTGCGATTTTACAAACACAGTATATAATGTCTGGGACAACACCCTGTTTGATTATAAAGGTAAATTTATGACCAGAATCTGTACTGAAAGTTTTAAATTATATATGAAAATACAACTCCATAATTATCACCGAGATGTCTGGATGACGTTCATATCGTAATTCTATAAGGGCTGTTCCTAAACCCGTTATTGAACAAGCACGGATGGTAAAATGAGAACGTGCTGAGCCAGCTCCCCCTCCCACCAGTCGTCGTCAACACCAGCCACGCAATTCCCAAGTTGACGGCCTGCTGGTTGTTGGAGACAGGCATGTGATTACTGGAACCTTCGCACGGCTGAACACGTCGGTTCTAGGTTAGGAGACAAAAAGAGTAGAGTCTATCTACCGTAGCACAGTGGTTCAGCACGGCAACCCCGCTTGTCCGACGGCTTTTGCGGCGTTCCTTTCTAGGAAGCTGCGGACGTGACACGCGCCGAACGTATCTCTTCGTCTTTAGGTTTCACTGTAACTAGTAAATTAGTCTCGCGGACCGATCGTGCTACTCAGGTGCTGGGAGGCCATAATTCTCAGGTTACGCAATGGGACAAAGAGTGGCTTTTTACTCGAAAATGCTGCACCTTTTCGTCTTTTAGTGTCATTCTGTTCCTGGTACTGAGTAGCTTTAGGTGCCAATCAAAGGCGAGCCGAACCACCGTTCCTGGCCGTGTGCATTGCAATGCTGGGCGTTGCGCGACTTACGTGTTGATAAGATAGTAGTTATTTTGGATATTGCTATCCAGTTCGCCCTTTTTTTTGGAATGGGTTGTTTCAACTCAAAAACAAGCGGGAATAGCATCCCAATATCACGAAGTGAGTCATTCGGATTAACCTTGAACTTGCGTGCTAGTTTCTTTCATCGTATCCCTTGTTGTTCCAAACTCCATGACGTCACTTTCAAAGTGGAAATGCTTGAGTTAAGAAACTCATTGTATAATTCACAAGCGCCATCCCCCCGTTTTGTGTCCACTCGCGCTGCGGTTTTGTTGCAGACTCCAGGCAACTACCTTCTCTCTCAAATGCGAAATCAGGCGAAGACGGTAATGAGTCGTCTGTGAAATTCCTTACTTATGAAGACATCAAGCGAGCCACGGACAATTTTGCCAACGTCCTCGGTGAAGGAGGGTTCGGAAAGGTGTATAAGGGCCGGTTGCGCGGCGTTAACGGGGACGCTGATGAGGAAACGACTTTCGTTGCGGTCAAGGTTTTGGCTCCGCACAGTTTCCAAGGGATGGACGAATTTCTGGTGAGTGGCTCTTAAGCTTTAAATGGTAGAAGGATTAGCGCCTGGAAGGTTGAGCGCTGGAAAGCAGGGGAAGGGGAGGTAGCCTGGGGCTTGCAGGCTTCATGGGTGATGTGTTTAGTTATGAAATGGGGTTTTGCCGGCGACAAGAATAATGTGTTCAGTTAGTGGTGTGGGGCTTAGAGGCTACATGGATTATGTCTTCAGTTTCTGAGTCAGGGCTTGCACGTTACATGGATAATGTGTTCAGCTTAAAATGTGAGGCTTGCACACTGCATAAATATTGTGTCCGAAAGCTACATGGAGTGTGTGTTCATCTGGTTCGTCTCTCAATACTGCGTGTCTCCTTCCATACCCGACACAGAACGAGATCACTACAGTGGAGGGCGTGCAACACCGCAACATTGTGAGATTGCTGGCGTGCTGCACGGAGAAGGTCAAGGCGCTGGTGTACGAGTTCATCCCCATGGGCGATGTAGATGCATGGCTTGCAAAATGTGCGTACGTTCTTGATAAAGGTGTTTTTGGGAAGAAAGGAAGTCAAATTGTGGAGCATGAGCTGCTTGCACGCAATGGGATTATGTGCCAGATGGAGTGTTAGATAGTTTCTATGAGCATCGTGGTATAAGCGTTTTTGGGTTGGAGGGAAGCCAAATTTTGGAGCATGAGCTGCTTGCACACAAGGCAGGTATGGGTTAGACAGAGTGTTGGATAGTTCTAATGTATCGTGGTCTACCACTGCAGAAGCTTCCAGAGTAGCATGCTGAAACACTGACATGCAACCGTCACATCTTTGCCTTGCTTCCACCCTTTCATGGTTCCCTCTCTCCGGCACAGGTTCTGAAGGCAAGGCAAAATTTCCCTGGGCTGACCGGATGAAAGTGATTATGGGAACAGCAGAGGCGCTGACGTTCATTCACAAGCAACGGTTCATTCACCGGGACTTCAAGTCCAGCAACGTGCTTTTAACGGAAGTAAGCATTCTTGCCCTCGTTTTTCCCCCCTGCATCACCCTCCCTCACTCAACACGACAGGGTATAATCAGTGATGTTGGCTACAATGACATGTAGTTGTTGCTAGCTCATCAGCCACCGTTCGGGTGTTGTTGCTTCTGCAGTTTGCCCTCTCATCTATTTGTCCATGCCACTGCCTTATCAGTCCTTCCCCAGCCGTGCTCCCTCCTCTCCGTTTTCCCTTGTTCCCCTCGTATCTTATCACAGGACTTCACACCGAAGGTGGCTGACTTTGGTCTGGCCAAGGGCATAGAGGACTGGAAAACGCATGTCACAACACGAGTCATGGGCTCCATGGGGTACATTGATCCCACTTACTTTGAGTCAGGTGAGTTGGAGTCGCTGACACACAGCTGAATTGGCCTCACAGGTTTTTTACTTTCCCTGTATTAATTAATGCATGTGGCTCCACTCTATGCATCTTGGTTAAACTGCCTGCGTAAATGCATGTGGCTCCCCTTGTTTTTCATCTCATGCCCCTGTGCATTGATGTGCTTTATGCTTGTCTGTCCTTGTATCCATATCAGGTCACTTGTGTGACAAGAGTGACGTGTTCGCTTTCGGTCTGTTCATGGTTGAGATTCTCGCGGGCAAGTCGGTTCTTCGGGAAGGTTTTGCGGAAGACATTAAGGCGTGGTTATACGAGGTGGATGCTCCCACCGCTGCGGATATGATGGACCTTGCAATCATCAATGAAGCAAACAAGACAGAAGCGAGCGCCATTGCGATAATTGCCAAGCAGTCGACAGCCAGGGACTGGGCTGATCGTCCAACCATGGAGGAGGTTTTGGAAGTACTGAAAGTGGCAATCAAACTACCAGCACCGATACCTAATGATGAGCCTAAAAATGACCACGAATCTCAAGAAAATGGATCATCTTGATTGCCAATGCTGATCACATATTGAGTTGTGGTTTCGTTTATGAGGAATATAGTGTTTGCTTCTTTACTCATTTTTCCTAACAGTTATGCGATGTACGTACGCTGTGGTTAAGGAAGTGTTGTTCCAGTCAACCCCGAGATCATCCTTCAATCCAACCCCACTTTGCCTCGTCAACCACAGTGCGGTCTGTGCCAGACGAGCTCATTCTCATCAAAGGTCGAAACCCTACCTAACCGCTCTATATACGGTTAGCTGCGTGTAGGCAAAACCTTGATAGTATCCGCCAAGTTACAAGCAGACCAGGTCACCACCAGCCCATCAATCATGGACCGTCTTTCCCTCTTTTCGTCCTATTTATCCCTTTATTCGTGATTCTTACGGCGCGTTCGGCGCGGACAACGGCATCGCGTCCTTTGCCGTTGAGCACACCGCTTGGTTATCTCAAGGTTAACATGCTTCGCATGAGCAGGCACATTGCTTGCAGTTCTATGACAGTAGGTTTGTGGCGTTAGGGAAAATGCAGCAGTCTCACGTTCTATGAATGGTACACGTAGTCGACCTCCGTTTCGCAGCGAGTGGGAAGTTTCTCCGTGTTTTCTCCACGAGAGCCTGCCTATACTTTGTAGCTGACGTAGAAACCACCGCTCCATTTCGAAGCGCCGCAAACCGAGAAAACAGTACAGTTGCTGGCATCAGGGATAGCCGGCTTTGTCGTTTGTTCGACGCGGCGGCGTGCGTGCGTGCATTCAGCACTCTTCGTAGTTAAAGGAGGCATCTTAAAGCGGAGGCCCTCCAGGTAGCATTCTTCGAAGTTTCGAGGAGGCGTCTCAAAGCGAAGGGCCTCCAAGCAGCAGTCCTCGAAGCTTCGAGGAGGCGAGTCAGCGCGAAGGGACTCCAGGCGGCTCTCCCCATGGGGGGTTGCTTGTCGCAACCCAGCAGCGATGCGAGTACGTACAGTGAGGAGCTCGGATCGCGTGTGTCCTGCTGAGTTGGTTCAAGTCAAAAAGTTTCTTTCTCATGAACCGACTTCTTCGCTCGCACATTCCGCGTCACGCATTGCGTTTGTGCTGCGTGTCGTCACCACCCCTTCCCTGTGCTCCTTCATCCCCTCGTTGCCTGGAGAAGAAGGCAGTGGGGGCGGGATTCCCGGAGTACACATACGATGAGATGATGCTGATGTGATGACCGATAAGCTCAAGAAGCCCATCGGCCAGGGGGGGTTCGGCGTTATGTACAAGGGGTACCTGCAGGACCCCCAGTTCTACCCTCCCTTCACTCACCTTCCCCTCTACCCCCCTCGTCTTGCCCCTCTTGACCCCCATTTCTTTCCCACTCCCCGCTCCTCCAGAGACGTCAAACTACCCGGTGAAGAAGCCAGTGGGGGCGGGATTTCCAGAATACACATACGATGAGATGATGCTGATGACCGACAAGCTCAAGAAGCCCATCGGCCAGGGGGGCTTCGGGGTCGTGTACAAGGGGTACCTGCAGGACCCCGCAGCAGTTGCTGCAGCAGCAGCAGCTGGTGGTGATGGAGGGGGTGGTGGAGCGGATGGGGGAGGAGGAGGCGCGGCAGCGGTGGATCAGGTTCTGGTGGCAGTGGCGGTGAAAGTGCTGGATAACGAGGATGTGGAGCTTAAAGACGACGAGCAGTTCCACGTGAGTAGGGTTTGTATCTTTGAGGCGCCCCAAAAACAAATAGGCTCCTCACTCACAGGAGGTGAAGGTGTTGGATAACCAGGATGTGGAGCTCAAGGCTGACGAGCAGTTCCATGTGAGTGGGGTTTGTATTTCTGAGGCGCCTTAAAAACAGACTCCTCCTCACAGGCAGTGGCGGTGAAGGTGTTGGATAACGAGGATGTGGAGTGGAGCTCAAGGCCGATGAGCAGTTCCATGCGAGTGGGGTTTGTGTCTCGAGATCGATGAGTGCCTTGTAAGTGAGCAGGCTTGGTGGATGGAGATGTGTGTTGAGGCTTGTAGCACACAAAAGACGTTGAGCAATTTCATGTGTCCGTGTGGTTTGAGATCAGTCAGCTTCTTTTTTCCATGCAAGCACGCTTTCGTGGGTAGACTCCGCATTGGTGGTAAGTGGTTGGAGGGGAAAGGTGCGTGGGTAGAAAGAAGGTGGGAGCGGTGGGGACGTTGGGGTTGATGGGAGCGTTGGGATGAGAGGGAACAGGCGTAATTGACGCTTTGCGTGAAAAGAGCAAGGGTGGGCTCTGAAAGGGCAGGGGAGAGGGGAAGAGTAGGGGAAGGGGAGGAGAATAGGGAAAAGAGGGGGAGGATCACAGGCGGAGCAGCAGATGCTGATATTGCAGCTGTCGCACGGCAGCCTTGTGCCACAGTGCTACTCCACAGGCCCCCCTTCGTTGCTCTCCCGTACTGACTTCTAACCGCCTCGCCTCACCTCCCCCACACTCCCTATGTCCGCTTGTCCACCCATTTTGTAAGGAAGCAGCTGTTTCACCCCAACATCCTGTTTCTGTACGGACAGCTATTGCCCTCCTTCATCCCCTTATCATACTCCCCTCCTCCCACCTTCTTCCCACCACAAACACCCCCTGCCCCGCGTTCACATCACACTCCCGCAAACCCCTCTTATTCCCTCTCTCTGCCCGTCCATCAGGCGGAGTTGATGGCAATGGAGCAGCTGAAGCATCCCACCATCCCGTCGCTGTATGCCCATGGCCGTCTGCCTCGTTGCCCACCCCCACTCGTTCCCCCTTCATTCCATCAGGCGGAGTTGATGGCAATGGAGCAGCTGAAGCATCCCACCATACTGTCGCTGTACGGATTTGTGGCCAAGCCCACGCCCGCCCTCATCTACGAGTTTATCACCAACGGCAATGCCGAGGCGTACCTCAGAAAAGGTATACCAGCTTCCCGACGCAACAGGGGGTGTGTGTTTTTCCTGCCCTTGCGTAACAGCACTATATTTCGAGGAATTCCTTTGAGAGCGTTATTGTGTGGGGACCGGACGTGCATGTGCATGAACCTGGATGTAGTGACATGTGTGAAAGGCAATTTGAACTATAATCTTGTCACCTTTCTCTTCCCCTCCCTCCTCCCCCCCCCCCTCCTCCCCCTCCCTCCCCCCCATCCCTCCTCCCCCACTCCCCCTCACCTTCCACTCCACTTCCTTTTTAATCCGTCCTATTGTCCAGTTATTTACAGTGCAATGCCAAGGGGCGTTCCGATGGATGTCCTCCCCCTCAACCAACCCTCCCCTTCCTCCCCGCGCACACCCCAACCCCCCTCCCTCCCCTCATGCAATGGCCATCAGCGCATTCCCCTCCACCCTGCCCTTCCTCCCCGCGCACACCCCAACCCCCCCCCTTCCCCCCATCCAATGGCCATCAGCGGTGCAAGGCAAGGTGGAGTTTTCCTGGAAGGCGCGGCTGCGGGTGGCTCTGATGTGTGCGGAGGCGCTGCAGGTGATGCACAGCCACAACTACGTGCACCGCGACTTCAAGGCCTCCAACGTGCTGCTGCGCGAGGTGTGCTGGTTTGAGAGGTGCTCTGTTCTGTGTATTGTTCTTGCACTGTGGGTGTGCTGCTGTGGGCCCCATTCTGTGTGAGTTGTGGGGGGGGGGCGAGAGAGAGGTCTGTCAAAGAGCACAGAGCAGGCGCTGCAGGTGATGCACAGCCACAACTACGTGCGCCGCAACTTCAAGGCATCCAACGTGCTGCTGCGTGAGGTGTGCTGCTCTGCGTGTGTGTTGCTGTGGGCCCTGTGCTTGGGGGAGTTGAAAAAAAAGGCTACTCAAAGAGCAAAGCGCAGGCTCTGCAGGTAATGCACAGCCACTTCTACGTGCACCGCGCCTTCAAGGCCTGGCGTGATTCTGATGCTGGTGGTGATAACACTGTGTGTCTCTGCTCTGCATGCATGTTCAAGTACACATGCATGCATTCATGCTTCTTCAGCATGCATGCGGGGATGCATCTGTATGCACACCAACCAGCCCCTGTCTCATGCAAGCTGCTCCAGTCCAAACCCATCTGCTCTTGATCTCTTGTCTCTCCCTGCATCTAAGTGTCCCGGCTCGTCCAGGACCTGACGCTAGTGCTGGCGGATTTTGGCTTGGGGCGCCGAGTCAACACAAAATTCGAGGTTGAATTCTAAATATGTTTGGGTAAACTCAAAGATGCCCTGCCTCTCCTCTGCATCCGCCTGGCGTGCCTCCTCCAGGACCCGATGCCAGTGTTGGCAAATTTTGGCTTGGGGGCCCCCTTTTTTAGGAAACTCAAACCACCCTAAACCCTAACCTAAGTTTTAAATCTTTTTGGGTCAACTCAAAAATCCCCTGGCTCTCCTATGCATCCACCCGGCATGGCTCCTCCAGGACCTGACGCCAGTGCTGGCGGACTTTGGCTTGGCACGCACGGTGAACAACTGGCAGAGCCACGTCACCACGCGGGTCATGGGCTCCACGGGTTACATCGACCCCGTCTACTTTGAGTCTGGTACGCCCACAGCCCTCTTCACTTCCTTCTTTTGATGCGCCTTTTGAGTCCACTCAAGAGCCACGTCACCACGCAGGTTATGGGCTCCACGGGTTACATTGACCCTGTCTACTTTGAGTCTGGTGCGCCGACAACTCTTTCTCCCTGCTGTGCTGTGTCTCTCTTTTTGAATCGGCAATGCTGGTGTGACTGGTCCTAGTGGTTGTACCAGTGAAGCAAGATTGGCTGTCATTGTTCTTTCTGAGTTCTCTCGTTCCTTCTCTTTCTGTTACTTCCCGGTGGTTGTTTGTGGAATGCTTTCCCTTGTGCCTGGTGCAGGTCATCTGAATGCCAAGTGCGACACTTATGCGTTTGGGATATTTCTCCTCGAACTTGTAACAGGCATGCTGGTCACTGACAAAAACTTTGAGGCCTTGCGAATGACCCTTGCCACGGGGGCTGAGCTGCCCGAAGCAGACAAAGTGATGGACCAGACCCTGGCCGGGCAGTGGACAAAAAAAGATGCACTTATGGCGTTAACCTTGGTGAAGTATGCAGTTGCAGGGAAGTGGGAGACACGACCTTCAATGGATACGCTGACATCAAAGCTGAAAGTGGTGTATGAGAGATGACAAGTCTAGGAAATTTTAGCAACCATAGATGGCTGTGGATGTGAATGTAGTGGTAGGCAAGTGTATCAATGTTTCCTATCATCAATATGTGGGTCACACTCAGTAATGTTAGACAATGCAAGAGTACGCAGTTATGGCACTGTGCCTCCATGAAACATTTGTACCATATTCCTGGCCACAGATTACGAACCTCACTAAAACTTGTGACTTCTTACCCTTTAACGAGAAAAGGCAATGCTCGGGGACAGATCAGATCCTCGTCAACGGCGGCCCCAAAACAAGAGGAAAAGAAGCCAATCAGGGTGGACTGACTGACCTGTCTGTCGGCAACTCGTCCAGTGCGCTATGTCCTCGTTTCAGGCATCTTCAAACGTCACGAATTGGATCCCACCAAAAATTGTACAGTGTCACTTGCGCAATTCCCGAGGTGTTTGGCAGTCTCCAATGGGGCAACTCCAAGGTTCATGATCCCACTGTTCTCCATTTGTGTTGATCCTGAGTTCAACCAGACAGCCTAGAGGTTTCTCATCTCCCATCTCTCCTCACCACTCTTCTATCTTGATCTCGTCCCGACTCCCACCCTACATACCTCAGTCGGCTGACTGACGCCTGTGCTGCTTCGGCTCTCAGGTGTCTTGCCGCGAGTATTACACGCGGCAACGCTTAAACTTGTTCGCTTCAAGTGTATCTTGCCGATAGTCGAGAATTTAAGACATTCGCACGGTTTTGGGAACCATGGCAGGCTCTCTTCGCGCTGCCAGTAGCTTTCTCGGGGTCGGAATCTCTCACCCCAAGCTCGCAGTGAAGGTTCCTCCTAACCTCCGCCGTTCTACTGCATCGGGTCGAAAGATTAACACTGACCGAGATGGGAATTCCCGTAAGAGCCGCGGAGTCCAGGTTCGAGCTCGCGCGGACGGCGAGATTTCTCTGTTGCTGGATTTCAGCAAAGTTTTCTCGTCAACCCCAGCTCCCGGCGAGCCCGTCGTTTCCGTGGACAACGAGAGCAGCGAGAACTACACTATTATCACCGTCAGCGCGCAGAATAGACCTGGACTGCTCCAGCTTCTAACGCTAACGTTTCGTGATCTCGGCCTGGACGTCGGCAAGGCCGTCGTCGATCTTGATGATGACGGTAACGTGGCCGACGCGTTTTACGTCACGGCCGTCGACGGAAAAAAAATCACCCAGAAACGCGATCTGCAGAACATCCGCAAGTGCGTGGTGAGAGCTCTGGTTCTAGACGCCAAGGGTGACTCGCCGAAAGATGCTCCGGTCCGGCCGGCGAGACTTATTAGGCCGGTTACAACGCTGGACCCGTCGGCTTCGCCGGAGATGAAACGGCGTACGGAGCTGCTGCACAACCTGATGGACACATACATCAAGAACGACGTGCTGTCCATCCAGCGGAGCATTGTGGACCACGTGGAGTACACCATGGCGCGCAGCAGATACAAATTCGACGACTTCGAGGCGTACCAGGTGAGCGCGTGGAACGCTGGATCTGTTTCTGTTAAAAACCAATTTCTATTCGCTCTTCGTTCTCACCCCTCTTTCTTAGCAAGCAAAGACGGTAAGAAATGTTGGGTTTTGACCTTGTATTCGTATTTTTACAAGCGTAATTCTGAGAACACAAGTTTACTATTCTGTCTCTCTCTGTGTTGTTGTGTCCCAGGCGACAGCGTACAGCGTGAGGGACCGGCTGATTGAGAGCTGGAACGACACACAGCAGTACTTTAAGGACCAGGACTCCAAGCGCGTCTACTACCTCTCCATGGAGTTCCTCATGGGTATGCACGACTGAGGTTGAGGTACCATAGCCATGGCTGTTCCCAAGGCATCATGGCATATAGACACAAACCGGGACTTCCAAGCACGTCTACTATCTCTCCTTGGAGTTCCTGATGGGTACACACAGGCTGAGGTTGAGGTACCATGGCGATGGCTCTTCGCAAGGCATCATAGGATGCCAACAGAGACCAGGACTTTAACCGTGTCTAATACCTTACCATGGAGTTCCCCATGGGTGATTCCTCAACATGTCCACTTTGAAGGAGCTGTTGTTCTTACCATCAATGGTGCAACTCCGTCAGCGATCAGCAGTGTTTGCATTGCAAGGCTCACCATCCACGTCTCTGCCTGTCCTCCTTGCCATCGGGCTCCTGTTCACCTCACCTCTTCACCTGTTGCAGGGCGGTCGCTGTTGAACAGCATATTCAACCTGGGAATGAAGGACCAGTATGTGGAGGCGCTGGGGCAGCTGGGCTACAAGCTCGAGGTGCTGGCGGAGCAGGAGAGGGATGCTGCTCTTGGCAACGGTGGCCTTGGCCGGTCAGTCCTTCCCTGCCGCTACTGCTGTTATTGACACAAAAGATATTGTACATTCGACTTGTTTTGGTAGTGTACATGCTGCTTCTCCCATTTCGCAAGAAATCACGGTGCAGGATACAGTTTCTCTTACTGGTATCTCCTCATGTCTAACCGGCTAAAGTCAATCAGCTCGCCTGCCACATTGCATTTGCTTGTTCGTGTCATAAGACGCGTTTGATCTGCTTCTTGCTTGCTTGTGTGTTTCAGCCTGGCAGCCTGCGTGCTCGACAGCATGGCGACGCTCAACTACCCGGGATGGGGGTAAGCAACCAACCCGTCAGATGCGCTGTGAGCTGTTTAGAGAGAGGAACACTTGTTTGAAACCCATCTGCTGTTGTGTTTGGGTTATCCTCGTTAAAGACACTGGTATGCGGATGCGCTGCCTCGTATCATCATGCTCTCATTCCCCCAACAACTTTCTCAATCTCGTGTCCATCTTCCGCAGTTTCCCAACCCTTCCCCATTCTGCCCGTCTCTCCCTCCCTCCTTCCCAGCTACGTCATCCGCTACCAGTATGGCAGGTTCTGGCAGACCCTGCTGGACGGCTTGGAGCCACCTCAGGCCACCCAGTTTTGTTCCTAACACTCTTTCCCTTCCCCTCCCCTCATCTATTCCATTTTCCCCTCAGCTACGGCATCCGCTACCAGTACGGCATGTTCCGGCAGACTCTACAGGACGGCTTCCAGCACGAGCAGCCGGACTACTGGCTGACGTTTGGCAACCCGTGGGAGATAGAGCGCGTGTTTGTGACATACCCCGTGCGCTTCTACGGCACCGTTGAGTCCTACACCGAGGCCGGCTACCCCCGCAAGCGATGGGTCGAGGGCGAAACGGTCAGCTCCTCCTTCCCGTCCTCTTTCTTTCTTTCTCCCTCCTTCCTCCTGCCCTTGTTCTCCCCACCCCCTCCTCCCCCCCTGGTCATAATTCTGAAGTTAAGCCATGGTTATTATAATTGTCTGTTGTTTTCTGCTTTTGCCATGTTTTTTACTCGTCCCGTTCGCTAATCCACTTCCTTTAACGGCCCCTTGTGTTCACTCCTTCTTCTTCACCAGGTGGAGGCAGTGGCATATGACAATCCTATCCCCGGCTACCACACCAACAACACCATCAACCTGCGCCTGTGGGGCGCGAAGCCCAGTGGCGAGTTCGACCTGGTCAGTACGATATGAGAGGAATTCGCGTGTCGCAATCTTACTCTTCCAGCACACTTTCTGACGTCCCCCCCTCCCTCCCTCCTTTTTTCCCACAATTCCTTCAATCTTCCTGATACAGCCCTTTCTTTCCCTTCCACTTCACCCACCCGACCCCCCATTCCTCTCTTCAACGCGCTCCACAATGCTCCCCAGCAAAGCTTCAACACGGGGGACTACGTGAACGCGATTCTGAGCAAGCAGAAGGCGGAGGCCATCAGCAGCGTGCTGTACCCGGACGACCGCACGTACCAGGGCAAGGAGCTGCGCCTCAAGCAGCAGCACTTCTTCGTCTCCGCCACCATGCAAGACGTCGTGCGCCGCTACAAGGAGGAGCACTCCACGTTCGATGAGTTCAAGGACAAGGTGGCGCTGCAGCTGAACGACACGCACCCAGTGCTGGCGCTGGTGGAGCTCATGCGCCTGCTGGTGGACCAGGAGGGGCTGGAGTGGGGGTACGCGTGGAACATCACCACGCACACCTTCTCCTACACCAATCATACGGTGCTGCCGGAAGCGCTGGAGAAGTGGCCTGTGGAGATTCTCGAGACTCTGCTGCCGCGCCACCTGGAGGTCAGTCGTTTGGGACTTAGAATATCGCTCGTAAAGACCTCTGAGGCGCTGCTGCTGCTGTGGCAGCGCCTGGAGGTCAGTCTTTTGAAGCGCCTCAAATAAGATCCTCCGCTGACCATCACTTTTTTCTGGTAGATGAGAGACGTTCCAACTCCGCGTCTTATTGCACACTTTCTTCCCCTTGGCAGCTGATTTACGACATCAGCCACAACTTTAATGTGGAACTGAAGAAGCGCATTGGCAATGACTATGACAGTTTCTTTCCTGCTTCACTGCCATCTGCCCTCCTCACTCCCCAGCCCTTTTCCCACCCTCTTCCCCTCCCCATGTCATCAGCTCATCTACGACATCAACCACAACTTCAATGTGGATCTGAAGAAGCAGATCGGCAATGACTACGACTGTTTCTTTCCTGCTTCACTGCCATCTGCCCTCCTCAGTCCCCAGCCCTTTTCCCACCCTCTTCCCCTCCCCGTGTCATCAGCTCATCTACGACATCAACCACAACTTCAATGTGGATCTGAAGAAGCAGATCGGCAATGACTACGACTGTTTCTTTCCTGCTTCACTGCCATCTGCCCTCCTCACTCCCCAGCCCTTTTCCCACCCTCTTCCCCTCCCCGTGTCATCAGCTCATCTACGACATCAACCACAACTTCAATTTGGATCTGAAGAAGCAGATCGGCAATGACTACGACTGTTTCTTTCCTGCTTCACTGCCTTCTGCCCTCCTCAGTCCCCAGCCCTTTCCCACCCTCTTCCCCTCCCCGTGTCATCAGCTCATCTATGACATCAACCACAACTTCATTGTGGACCTGAAGAAGCGCATCGGCAACGATTACGACCGCCTCTCCCGCATGTCCATCATTGAAGAGGGCGCGCACAAGGTGGGGGAGGGGGGAGTGTGTACAAGGTGGGGGGAATGGAAGGGAAGGGAGGGCGCGCACAAGGTGAGGGAGGGGGGAGTGTGTACAAGGTGGGGGGGAATGGAAGGGAAGGAAGGGCGCGCACAAGGTGGGGGGTTGGGAAAGGAAGTGAGATTGCGCACAAGGATTGGTGGATGTGTGCGTACAAGGTGGGGGGGGATGGAAGGGAAGGGAGGGCGCGCACAAGGTGGGGGGGGGATGAAAGGGAAGGGAGGACGCGCACAAGGTGGGGGGGTGGGAAAGGAAGTGAGATTGCACACAAGGTGGGGGAGGTTGCACAATGTGGAGGGAAGGGTGCACACATAGTGGGGAATGGGAGAGGGAGCAGGGCGAACAAGTTGGGGGGAGGGAGGGGAGAGGGCGCACAAGACGGGGCACGGGGAAAGAGGGCGTGGAAGGTGGAGGAGTGGGCGGAAAGGGCGCACGAGTTGGGGGATGTGGAAGAGGGCGCATCCTGTGGGTAATGGGAGAGTGTGGATAATGTGGGGAGGGTGCGCACAAGGTGGGAAGGGCGCACAAAATCTGCATGAATGGGATGCATGCACAAGTTTGGGAGAGAGTGTGAGGCATGCACAAGTTGGGAAGAGTGTGAGGATGCACAAGTTGGGAAGAGTGTGTTAGGTTACCGTTCCTACACTTCTGTCCGTCCCCCCAGCCCTGTCGCCCTTCACCTTTCTTTCTCCCTCTCCTCCCATTCTTGTCAGAGCATCCGCATGGCAACGCTGGCGGTGGTGACGTGTCATACCATCAACGGCGTGTCTCAGATCCACACAGACCTCATTGAAAACACGCTCTTCAAGGTGACCTTATTGAAAGCAAGCTTTTCAAAGTGACCTCATTCAAAACACACTCAACAAAATTGCAGAGAGGATGAAAGGAGAGAGCGGAGAGGATGGAAAGTGAGCAGAGATGAGGGAGTGAGAGCAGAGAAGAGGGAAAGACAGCAGCGAGGAGGGAAATCAGGCAGAGAGGAGGGAAGGAAAGCAGAGAGCTTGGTTGCTAGATGTATACCATGCAACCACGCAAGCCTGCTCGTTTTTTAAGTCGACTCAAAAGTCAGCTTGGTCCCTGGATGGAGGCCACGCAACTACGCAAGCTTGCTCTTGAACGTGTATTCGTGTTGATGTGTTGTGATGCATGTGCTGGGGACAGAAGAGTCAGGTTTGTTGAAGAGCACTTGTGGGTGTGTGGGTGCACGTCTCAACCCTGTCTTTTTCAACCCTTGGTCCTCGCCGCCCGCTTGCAGGACTTCTATGACATCTGGCCACACAAGTTCCAGAACAAGACAAACGGTGTCACCCAGGTGAGCCACGCTGCTCCAGATCCTGCCTCCTTCAACACGTTTCCATGCCAATCTTATTCGCCATACTCTCCCACCATTGTCAGCGCTTCTTGCTGACCAAGTGACCACCCCGCTATCCCACCCCCCGCCACCCCCATCAGCGTCGCTGGCTGGCATTCTGCAACCCGGGGCTGGCGGCGATTCTCACCCAGCCAGTGGTTGACCCATTTTCCCACTTACTCCCCTTATCCCACTCTGCCGCGCTCTCTTCTCCCAAACCCCCTCCCCCCCCATCAGCGTCGCTGGCTGGCGTTCTGCAACCTGGGGCTGGCGGCGATCCTGACCCATTCAGATCAACTTTCCCACTTGTCCCACTCTGCTGCGCTCTCTTCTCCCAAACCCCCTCCCCCCCCATCAGCGTCGCTGGCTGGCGTTCTGCAACCTGGGGCTGGCGGCGATCCTGACCCATTCAGATCAACTTTCCCACTTGTCCCACTCTGCTGCGCTCTCTTCTCCCAAACCCCCTCCCCCCCCTATCAGCGTCGCTGGCTGGCATTCTGCAACCCGGGGCTGGCGGCGATCCTGACCCAGTGGCTGGGCACAGAGTCATGGATCACGAACCTGGACCTCGTGGCTGGGCTCAAGGAGCATGTTGATGACCCGCTGCTGCAGACACAGTGGATGCAGGTGGGGCTGCTGTGGGGCTGGGGCTGCTGTGGGGCTGGGACTGCTGTGGGGACTGTGATTGTGTTATCAAAATTGATTTCCCACCTAAATAAATGTCGAAGATTGGACTTGCTCTGATCTTTTTCGTTTGTGTGCACACACTTTGTTTCATATTCTGACGTGCGATCTGGTGCATCTGTGCTTCTGCGTGCATACCTGTTCTGTATGTGTTCTGGTGTATTGCCGTGTGGGTATGTTGTTGTGAGCATGTGCATGCACGCATGTGGTGTGTGTATGTCTGTTGGTGTGTGCATGGGCATGCATGCACGTGCATGTCTACGTCTGTCTTTGTGCACGTACCTGCGTGTATGTATGTATACGTTACGTGCGCTCTGAATCTCCAGGTTCGTAGGCAGAACAAAGCTCGCCTGGCTGCATACATCGAGGGGATTTCAGGGATCAAGGTGAGCTGACTCTAAGACATCAGCTGACTAGTAGTCGTCTTCTCATTCCTTCTCCTGCCGTTTCTGTCCTTCAGTCCTAGAGATTTTCCTGCCTGTTTGGCCGGCCCGCCGCTACATTCTTTCAGCCCCTCCCAGTTCAGCCTTGATTATTGCCAGTTGTCCGGATGTGTTCAAGAGGTGAGGGTTGATGCAGTGGACACAAAGTGAAGTCAAGAGGTGAGGGTTGATGCAGTGGACACAAAGTGAAGTCAAGAGGTGAGGGTTGATGCAGTGGACACAAAGTGAAGTCAAGAGGTGAGGGTTGATGCAGTGGACACAAAGTGAAGTCAAGAGGTGAGGGTTGATGTAGTGGTCACAAAGTGAAGTCAAGAGGTGAGGGTTAATGCACGAGTCAAGCGCATACGCAAAAAGACCTGAGCCTGTATGTGCTTGACTCAATCCTCCTGCCTTTACTTTTCCCTCCCTTGCGTGCTCCTTGTCTTCTTCCCCATGTGCTGTATGCTGCATATAGTCCGACTTGGAAGTCATCAGCCTCCTCTCGTACTCCATCTCTTCGCCTCTCCCTATTCCCCCGTGTTCCATTCCTGGGGTTCTCCCACTCCCATGCTGCAGATGAGCATCGACGCTATGTTTGACGTGCAGGCGCATCCGCAAGTACAAGGGGAGTATTCATTCGACTCAGAAATCTCTCTCTGTGCTCACCTCCTTTCCCTGCGTGTTCCATTCCCGTGCTTCCCCACCCACACCCCATGCTGCTGCAGGTGAGCATCGACGCCATGTTTGACGTGCAGGTGAAGCGCATTCACGAGTACAAGCGGCAGCTGCTCAACGTGATGGGCATCATCCACCGCTACGACTGCATCAAGGTCAGTCCCCTGGCAAATTGAGAGTATAGGCTCAGCCTGGTTGGTTCTTGAGTCGATTCAAAAGAATCCACGAGTACAAGCGCCACCTGCTGAATGTGATGGGCATCATCCACCATTACGACTGCATCAACACCATCCAGTCCCTTCATGATCTGAAAAATATTGGCATATTGGAGCAGAAGATGAGTCACAAGGATTGCAAGTGGGTGATGCCACGTGTGTGTGTGTGTGTGTCTGCTGGGCGGCCACACAGCTTTCTCGAATCTCAACCTTTCCTTTCCTCTGCGCCCCACTCTTTCCCTTTCTCCTCTCTCACCTTGGGTGGAGCAGAAGATGAGTCCCGAGGAGCGCAAGCGCGTGGTGCCGCGCGTGTGTCTGCTGGGAGGCAAGGCGGCGCCAGGATACGACCTGGCGAAGAAGATCGTGAAGCTCATCAGCGCCGTGAGCGAAGTGATCAACAAGGACGAGGACGTGGGCGACCTGCTCAAGCTGGTGCGTTGAGTCTGGTTGTGCTTGCTGTTCTGTATCGGAGCAAGATAAGACTGTGAAGCTCATCAGCGGTGTCAGCGAGGTGATCAACAAGGACGAGGACGTGGGCGACCTGCTCAAGCTGGTGCGTTGAGTCTGGTTGTGCTTGCTGTTCTGTATCGGAGCAAGATAAGACTGTGAAGCTCATCAGCGGTGTCAGCGAGGTGATCAACAAGGACGAGGACGTGGGCGACCTGCTCAAGCTGGTGCGTTGAGTCTGGTTGTGCTTGCTGCTCTGTATCGGAGCAATATAAGACTGTGAAGCTCATCAGCGGTGTCAGCGAGGTGATCAACAAGGACGAGGACGTGGGCGACCTGCTCAAGCTGGTGCGTTGAGTCTGGTTGTGCTTGCTGTTCTGTATCGGAGCAAGATAAGACTGTGAAGCTCATCAGCGGTGTCAGCGAGGTGATCAACAAGGACGAGGACGTGGGCGACCTGCTCAAGCTGGTGCGTTGAGTCTGGTTGTGCTTGCTGTTCTGTATCGGAGCAAGATAAGACTGTGAAGCTCATCAGCGGTGTCAGCGAGGTGATCAACAAGGACGAGGACGTGGGCGACCTGCTCAAGCTGGTGCGTTGAGTCTGGTTGTGCTTGCTGTTCTGTATCGGAGCAAGATAAGACTGTGAAGCTCATCAGCGGTGTCAGCGAGGTGATCAACAAGGACGAGGACGTGGGCGACCTGCTCAAGCTGGTGCGTTGAGTCTGGTTGTGCTTGCTGCTCTGTATCGGAGCAATATAAGACTGTGAAGCTCATCAGCGGTGTCAACGAGGTGATCAACAAGGACGAGGACGTGGGCGACCTGCTCAAGCTGGTGCGTTGAGTCTGGTTGTGCTTGCTGTTCTGTATCGGAGCAAGATAAGACTGTGAAGCTCATCAGCGGTGTCAGCGAGGTGATCAACAAGGACGAGGACGTGGGCGACCTGCTCAAGCTGGTGCGTTGAGTCTGGTTGTGCTTGCTGTTCTGTATCGGAGCAAGATAAGACTGTGAAGCTCATCAGCGGTGTCAGCGAGGTGATCAACAAGGACGAGGACGTGGGCGACCTGCTCAAGCTGGTGTGTTGGGCTTTCTTGCAGTTGGTTTGTGATTTGCAACGTCTAGGAACATGAGAAGATCGTGAAGCTCAGAAGCGCCGTGAGCGAAGTGATCAACAATGATGAGGACGTGGGCGACCTGCTCAAGCTGGTGCGTTGGGCTTGGTTGTGCTTGAGACACATTTTGAACACGTCTGGGTTGTGAAGCTCATCAGTGCAGTCAGCAATGTGCTCAACAGCAATGAGGACGTGGGCGACCTGCTCAAGCTGGTGCGTTGGGCTTGGTTGGGCTTGTTATGTCTCGGAGCATGAGTAGATTGTGAATTTTATCAGCGCTGTCATTAACAAGGACGAGGACGTGGGCGACCTGCTCAAGCTGGTGGGTTGAGTTGGGATAAGGTGCGCTTGCAAGTACAAGGTAAGAATGTGAAGCTTGTCATCACTGTCTGTGAGTGATGTTAACAAAAATGACAGGCGAACGGGTGACCTGCTCAAGCTGGTGGGTTCGGCTGAGTCGTGCTGGAGTGCTCAGCCGTGCGGGTTCATGCCACCTCGCTTGCTATGCCTCTGCGTGCCCAGCCCTTCACTTCACACCCTCTGCCCTCTCACCCCCATGCCCTCTCACCCCCTGCCCTCTCACCCCCTACCCTCACACCCTCCGCCCTCGCACCCCCTGCCCTCTTACCCCCTACCCTCTCACCCCCTGCCCTCTCACCCCCTGCCCTCTCACCTCCTGCCCGCCGGCCATCAGGTGTTCATTCCCGACTACAATGTGTCACTTGCTGAGCTCATTATCCCTGCCAGCGACCTCTCCCAACACATCAGGTGATTCCCACAGCACGTCAGATGATTCCCACATCACGACAGGTGATTCCCACATCACGTCAGGTGATTCCCACATCACGTCAGGTGATTAACACAGGGCATTAGGCATCGCGTCATTTAATTCCCACAGCACGTTAGGTGGCAGCAATATTTTGGGTGACTAACACCCACCCTGCAACTCTCCCGTACCTCCATAACAGCACGGCGGGCAACGAGGCATCGGGCACGAGCAACATGAAGTTTGCAATGAACGGGTGCCTCATGTGTCCTATCGTTTTACTCCATGTTCCCCCCCACATTAACGAACGCCCATGCCTCCCCTCTTGTACCAGCACGGCGGGCAACGAGGCATCGGGCACGAGCAACATGAAGTTTGCAATGAACGGATGCCTCATTCTGGGCACTCTGGATGGCGCCACGCGTGAGATCAGGGAGGAGATTGGCCCTGAAAACATGGTACGTGCGCAACCGAGAGGAGATAGTGCATACTTCCATGCAGATCTGCTGTGGTGACATGCCCGTCATGACAGCTTGGCAGACTGTGGCATGTATGCAATGCAATGCGAGCCATAGCTGTCAAGTCTGCTAGAATGACATGCCACGTCACGGGAACATGGCTGGTCCTTTCAAGGGAAACCTGTGTGTGCACTGCATTGCATTGCACACCATGTTGGGCCGTGCGGCCGTGCCATGCCATGACTGTGCGACATGGTACATTAATTATCGTGCCACTCTGTGCTGTTTCCATGATTCCTTATAGTCTTCCCACAGATATCAAACCACCAGGATGTGGTTTGTGCTGGTTCGTAGTTGTAGGTACGAGCAAAAGTCGCGTTGTGCTCCTCGACATATCTCCCGCTCTCAACCTTCTTTGATGTTCCTCCGCACTTCCCGGTGTTTGTGGATGGATGGTGCTGATTGCAGTTCGTGTTTGGAGCTGAGACCAAGGACGTGCCTCGGCTGAGGGAGGAGCGACGCACCTTCACCCCCTGCCGCAACTTCACTCGCGTTGTCGGGTGAGTGCCTGCTACCATGCTGTGCTCTGTGCATGGTGCGATGGTCAAATCGTGCAATTGTGGGATGGTGGGTGGGGCCAGTGAGTGCTGCTGCCTTGCTGTGCCGTGGGCTGTGCTGCAATGGTGAAATGGTGAAAGGGTAAGATGATGTGATGGTATGTTGCGTACTCCCATGATGCTTCTTTCTGTCATTGCTCCATGCTCTCCCTGCCTGGCTCTCTGTAGTTCCTCGATGGAAGCCCGCCCCACCGCTCACCTCTCAACCTCCTCTTCGCGTTTCTTCTTTTACGACATATTTCCCTCCGTCCCTCTCCTCATCTTCTCCTCCCTCTCTCCCGCGCACCACAGCATGATCCGCAGTGGCTACTTTGGGTGGACGGAGTTCTTTGCGCCTCTCATGGATTCCATTGACGGCCCGGGCAACGACTACTACCTCCTTGCCAACGACTTCTCCACCTACCTGGAGGCCCAGGTGCGCCCTTCCCCACCTACCTGGAGGCCCAGGTGCGCCCGTCCTCACCTACCTGGAGGCCCAGGTGCGCCCTTCCCCACCTACCTGGAGGCCCAGGTGCGCCCGTCCTCACCTACCTGGAGGCCCAGGTGCGCCCTTCCCCACCTACCTGGAGGCCCAGGTGCGCCCTTCCCCACCTACCTGGAGGCCCAGGTGCCCCTTCCTTACCTACCTGGAGGCCCAGGTGCGCCCTTCCCCACCTACCTGGAGGCCCAGGTGCGCCCTTCCCCACCTACCTGGAGGCCCAGGTGCGCCCTTTCCCCACCTACCTGCGAGCGCTGATGTGCATCTCCTCTGCTCCCCTTCCTGCACTGTGCATTTACCAACTGCTCCTGTTCCTCGTCCTGCCTTGCACTCCCTGCTCCCCGCCTTTCCCTCACTGCAACATCTGTAGATTTATCATGTGCCAGAGGATCAGCAGCACTGCTGGGTGCATTGCACCCTCCCTTCCTCTGTTTCTCTTCTACCCAACCCAACCCTATCCAGGCGGCCATAGATGCAACGAATGTGGACGTGCCCAAGCAGACGCACATGAGCATCAGCAGCACCGCTGGGGCCTGGTTTGGCTACCCTCCTCTCCCTCCCCCCTTCACCTTCCCTTTCCTGCCTCCCTTCTCCCTCTCCCCAGGCGGCCATAGATGCAATGTATGTGGACGCGGCCAAGTGGACGCGCATGAGCATCAGGAGCATGGCCGGGTACTGATCCAGCAACCCTCCTCATTCCCGGCGTCCACCTCTGCCCCATCACCCTTTGCAGGCTGCCATAGATGCAACGTATGTGGACGTGCCCAAGTGGACGCGCATGAGCATCAGCAGCACGGCTGGGTGCGGACGGTTCACGAGCGACCGCACGATCAAGGAGTATGCGGAGGAGATCTGGGACGTGCAGCCCATCACCCGCCCCTATTGAATCGTTTCAGGCAGTCTTTCAAGAATGCTCGAAGTACCTAACAAGCAGAGACAAGGAGTGCCAAGGAAGCTGGAACGTACCGTAAAAAGAGGCCGCCCGGATTGAGCCAGTGTACGGTACCTTACCTAGTGCCACTGCCGCCCCACATCACACCACGCATCTAAATTCCAAGACACCGATACCAAGGCGTATAATTTCTGTTATTATGTGCAGGTGCATTTCTATATAATTTCACTGATGCTGGAACAGCTTGACAAGTGGTGATAGTACATTCACACAAGCAAGCAGCTCAACTCTACTAGTTAGCTTGGCCTATGCTATGCGCAGTGTGGATGAACTCACACAATAAAATAAACCTCGCCAATACAATTCTGTCGTGAAGAGCTGATGACAGCATCCCAGTGTGAGTGCTGCTGAGCTGATAGACAGAGAAGAGATTGATGAAATGTGGACGGGCGATGAGGAGGACCCAGGCCTCCAGGCATTAGCTTCGGCTGACGCACCAGCGACCAAGGCTCCTCTTTTCAAACCCTTTTCAAGCCCGTGTGCTCTCTCTGTGTGTGCGTGTGTGGTTACTATGCTCGGATCATCAGCCTCCACTCAAGACGTGGACGAGCACCTGAAGTTCCACCTGAGCTCGCCAGCAGGAACAGAGGGGCGCATGGGGTAGCGGAGGAGTGTGGGGGTGAGTGGGATCATAGAAAAAAAGGGAACGGCTCAAGCAAGAACATATGATGTCAGCAGAAACGTTGCAAGCAAAGGAGCGGTGTGTGTGTGCGCTTGATGGGGATGCCTTGAAGCGCGTCTCTTTGCCCCGTGTTAGCGGCAGGAGTGAGGGCTCAAAGAGACTATTGAGAAACAGTAAGCAGAGGATTTTCCTTTTGCAGAGGTAGCAGCTCGCATAGAGGGCGGCAGTAAGAGAGGTGGAAGGATAGAGGAGGAGAGGGGGAGAGAAGAGCGTGAGTAAGAGAGCTCACGTGGGAGTGCAGTGCGTTGGTGAGGGAGAGGGCGAGGCCGTTGGAGGGGTGGGGCAGGGCGGTGAAGAACCAGCTCTCTGCGAGATCCAAGTCGTCGTTCACCAGCAGCAGCTCGCCACCTTCTGTGGCTTGCAGGAACTTGCCGCCAGCGAACACCGACCGACACCCCAGCAGATCCTGTACGTCACGTATGGGATGGGGTCGCGTGAGGAGGGTTTGGCATGGTGGTGCCATCGTGGCATGGTGGCAGCATGGTGCCATGGTGGCATGGTGGTAGCATGGTGAAGAGCTCGCCCGCACGCCCACCCGCCCGCCCGCCCACACTCCCATCCCATCCACCCACCCACCCACCTTGTCACAAACGATAAAAAATTGCATCCTGGGGTGCTGCGTGGAAATCCCCTCCACCGGAGAGAGGACTCGTAAGGTGCCATGACAACACACCTTGCCTCACACTCAGGGTAGCATTCACCCACCCACCACCCATTTACCCAGTCACCCACTCACCCACCTTGTCACAAACAATCACAAACTGCACGCTGGGGTGCTGCGTGGATATACCCTCCACCGGTGCAAACCGCCACGACGCCCCCCCTTGGTGGCGCTTGGCGGCGAACAGCGCCTTGGGGAAGGCTGCCGCGAAGGCTGCTGGGAGCGAGAGCGAGGAGGAGGAGGCGGAGGAGGAGGTGGAGGAGAGCGGCTGTAGCGCCACCAGCATGCCGTCTTGCAGTGGGCAGTCCGGGAGATGCTGGTTTGGGCGCAGGGAGAGGAGGATGGAAGGGGAGAGAGAGGAAAGGGAGGCGTGAGGGGGAAGCGAAAGATGAAAGCTAAGGACGTGGGTGGGTACAGTGAAGCGAGTTGAGGGGAGAAAGCATGGGGGCGAGAGGACAGGAGCAAATCAACGGAAAGAAGGAAGAACGAACGGAGGGGAAGTGAAAGGAGGGAAAGTGTGAGAGGGGAGTGGTGGGAGGGAGCTGAGAGGAGGCGAGAGGGGATTCCCACCTTCTCCACAGAAGCTGTTAGCGCATCTGCCTGTGTGTCTCCCCTCCTCTCCCCCCCCTGCTTCTTCCCTCCAGAAGATCCACTCTTGCTCCCATCGCCCCCACCCCTCCTTCCCTCCTCTGCTCGCCCTCCCCAACCTGCCCGTCCTGCCTTCTTCCCCCCTACCCCACCACCACCATCACCACCATTTGCAGCAGCACCAGCACGAGCAGCAGAAGAAGAAGGGAAGAGTGCGTGTAGCGCTTGCCATTGGGATTCCTCCTCCTCCTCCTCTTCCTCCCCCTCCACCCCTCCGAACGAGTCATCCAATACCAGCTCCTCCGGCACCTTTCCAGAGGTTAGGAATGCCCGAACCACCGCCACAGCCTTGGACTGAAGCGCCTCCCAAACCTCTTGGCTGTAGTCGGCGCTCCGAGGCAAGATGAGGACGTTCGGGAACTCCCGGACCTGCGATGTGAGGAGCAGCGAAGGAAAAGATGGAAGGAGGGAAAGAGGCTCCGGTCTTTTCTTCCTATCTACAAGAGGGATGGCCCGATGGTGGTCTTCGAGGAAGCTATCTAGAGAGGAAAGAGGGACTGTCGGTCAGCTGGACTGACCATACCAGAAGAGGGACAAGGGCTTGGACTGCAACGACTTCTGAGGCGCCTCAAGATAACTACACGCACACCCACTTACCCATAATCTACCTCTCCAGAGCCCCACCCCCCCACTCACCCACCCACACCCACATCACACTACTCTACTCACCCACAACCTGATCTCACCCATGCCTCCAGCCACTCACCCACGCCTCCAGCCACTCACCCACGCCTCCAGCCACTCACCCACGCCTCCAGCCACTCACCCACGCCTCCAGCCACTCACCCACGCCTCCAGCCACTCACCCACGCCTCCAGCCACTCACCCACGCCTCCAGCCACTCACCCATGCCTCCAGCCACTCACCCACGCCTCCAGCCACTCACCCACGCCTCCAGCCACTCACCCACGCCTCCAGCCACTCACCCACGCCTCCAGCCACTCACCCACGCCTCCAGCCACTCACCCACGCCTCCAGCCACTCACCCACGCCTCCAGCCACTCACCCACGCCTCCAGCCACTCACCCATGCCTCCAGCCACTCACCCATGCCTCCAGCCACTCACCCATGCCTCCAGCAACTCACCCACGCCTCCAGCCACTCACCCACGCCTCCAGCCACTCACCCACGCCTCCAGCCACTCACCCATGCCTCCAGCCACTCACCCACGCCTCCAGCCACTCACCCACGCCTCCAGCCACTCACCCACGCCTCGAGCCACTGGTTGCCCTCAACACCGTCCAGTGCACAGCTGCCCAGGCGGCCGCTGTTGAGCGCCCTCTTGATGGCGCTGTCGCTCACCAGATGGCAGCTGCTCGCATTCACCAGCATGGCGCCTGGTGGAGGGGAGGGGGGGAGGAAGAAGAAGCGCCAAAAGTGGGAGGACAAGGGCCAAGGGGAGGAGGTGGGCGGGGGAGAAGGGGTGTTGGTGTTGGGCGCTGCTCACTCCTGAGGGCGCTGCTCGCATTCACCAGCATGGCGCCTGGCGGGAATAAGAAGGGCCAAGAGGGGGAAGAGAAGGGGCTTTTGAGCGCCCTCTTGATGGCACTGTCGCTCACCAGGTGGCAGCTGCTCACGTTGACTAGCATGGCACCTGGTGGGGAGGCAGGGATAAGATGAAAGGACCAAGAGGTGGAGAAGGGCCAAGAGGTGGAGAAGGGCCAAGAGGTGGAGAAGGGCCAAGAGGTGGAGAAGGGCCAAGAGGTGGAGAAGGGCCAAGAGGTGGAGAAGGACCAAGAGGTGGAGAAGGGCCAAGAGGTGGAGAAGGACCAAGAGGTGGAGAAGGGCCAAGAGGTGGAGAAGGGCCAAGAGGTGGAGAAGGACCAAGAGGTGGAGAAGGACCAAGAGGTGGAGAAGGGCCAAGAGGTGGAGAAGGGCCAAGAGGTGGAGAAGGGCCAAGAGGTGGAGAAGGGCCAAGAGGTGGAGAAGGGCCAAGAGGTGGAGAAGGACCAAGAGGTGGAGAAGGGCCAAGAGGTGGAGAAGGGCCAAGAGGTGGAGAAGGGCCAAGAGGTGGAGAAGGGCCAAGAGGTGGAGAAGGGCCAAGAGGTGGAGAAGGGCCAAGAGGTGGAGAAGGGCCAAGAGGTGGAGAAGGGCCAAGAGGTGGAGAAGGGCCAAGAGGTGGAGAAGGGCCAAGAGGTGGAGAAGGGCCAAGAGGTGGAGAAGGGCCAAGAGGTGGAGAAGGGCCAAGGTGGGGAGGATGAAGGCAGTTGCGCGCCCTCTTGTTGGCACCATCGCTCACCTGGTAGCAGTGGCTGGCGTTGATTAGCATGGCGCCTGGAAGGGTGAGGGGCGGGCTGGGTGAGTAGAAGTTTTTGAGTCGACTCCAAAACAGGCAGGCTGGGTGAGAAAAAGGGAAGGATAGGGAAGGGGGGAGGACTGGAGATAAGGGGGAGAGGGGAGGAGAAGAGGTACAAGAAATAGACACACCTCACCTCCCTCTCCCACCGTCCGCCCATGGACCTCCTAAAGGCCTCACAAACCCCCCCCTCCTCCCCCCACTGCCCGTGCGTGTGCCGACCTTTCTTGAAGTGCTTGGCAGTGTCGTCGTTGATCAGGTGGAGCGTCGAATCAGTGAGCGCCACGTGGAGCGACACCACGTCACTGGCGGCCAGCACGGCCTCCACTGTGCTTCGCTCCGTCCCCACCGCGCGCATCAGCGCCGCCGCCCGCGGGGAGCGCTGCAGCTCCTGTGCTTGTAAGGGGGAACGTGGGGGGACGGAAGAGGGGTTGGGGAAGGATGGGCGCACGTCGAAAAGTGGCGAAATTTTTGGTGCGCTTATGTTGCATAATTTCAAATATCTCGTGCTTACAACTAACTACCCCCTACTCCCCGCACCACCTAATGCTCCGCCCACACCACCTAATGCTCCGCCCACACCACCTAATGCTCCGCCCACACCACCTAATGCTCCGCCCGCACCACCTAATGCTCCGCCCACACCACCTAATGCTCCGCCCGCACCAGCGAAAGCGCGAGCGCCTCACCCCTTCGGGGTCGCAGAAGACGACGCGCATGCCGAACACGGCGGCTCTCCGCGCGACGGCGCGCGCAGCAGCGTTGGCGCCGACGAGCCCGAGCACCATCCCGCGCAGCCGCCGCATGCCCTGCCACGCGCCTTTGAACCCCGCGAACCAGCTCGCGCTCGTGCAGCCCTGGGTGGGGAAGGGAGCGGAGGCGGGGACGGGGCGTGGATGGGGGCAGAGGCGGGAGAAAGGTGAGGAAGATGTGCGGCGGAAAGTGGGGTATGGCGAATAAAAAGATGCGACTTATGTGAAGTAAGGAGAACGAAGGAGAGGGAGAATGGAGAGCAGAGGGGGCATTTGCGCGCGTTGGCGTGGTCTACCTGCGCTGCGAGAACGTGCGTGCGACGGAGCAGACCGAGCATCAGCGCCATCACGCTGTCCGCGACCTCGTCCGTGCGCGGCACGTCCACGTGGACCAATCGCAGGCCGAGCTCCTCCGCGAGCGACGACTCGACGGGGCGCGTGTCGGCGGACGACCCCAGGCACAGAATCAGCTGCGACGCGGAGAGCTTTCTCTGCGCGGCGCGCGGCAGGTAATGCAGCGAATGAACGAGCACCACGTCAGCACGCTCGAGCTTGTCGAGCATGCCCTCGCTGAGCCCGACATTCTCGAGGACGCAGAGGTCCGCGAGCGCCTCAGCTTGCGCGTGGCAGCCCTCCATGCAGTTCAAAGCCACCACGTACGGCAGGCTGTTTGGAGGAGATGTTAGGACCGCCATTGCGACGACGCGCTTAGCTAAAAGTCTTTGTTGAAAGTTTCAATTAGCGGCCTTGTTAGAAGACTTGATACGCGCAGTTGCGCAACGACGAACTCGACGCGCGAGAAAGGGGCGCAGCGATGGTGACCAGTGCGACTGCGCGAACTGCTAATGGACAAGAGGGAATGTGGTAATTAGTTATGCTTCAGCGGCCAGGGCAATCTAATCGGTGGGCAATCTTGAACAGAAAAGCTGGGCCCGAGGTTCTTTGAAAGCCGCATGGAACGCCGAAGGGACACGATTAATGGGCAAGGCTCCTCACTGGTCCCACGCAACTAATGTAGGACCTAATATCAACTGGCTTCGGGAACGCTGCGTGGTGCAAAGAAAACCAACTTCAGTCTTGAACAATTAGGCGATTAGTTTCTGGAAGGGCTATTTGATATGGGTCGTTGTCGTCGCATGGTCCCATCCCAAAGCGCCGATGCTGGGCGACTGAGTTTCTGGAGTTCGCAGAACGTCGCCAACGACCCGCAAGGAGGGGCAGCGAAACTGTTTGCGAAATCGACTTCTGCGGTCGTGAGTTTCGTTAACTCTGCGAAGCCCAGGTTGGGTACACGTCTCTGCGATCTGGTTGGTGGGCTCTCTGATGTGATGCTGCACGATGCGGAACTCAGATGTAACGCCATCTGTCTGCGACCCACGTTTTGGCTTTCGTGCTCAGATCGCAACGACTTGTAATGTAACAGCTGTCGTGGAAATTGTGCCCCTGAAACCTGTGAACAACAAAATCCATTCTTCCTCACTGATGGTGGATATTGGAAGGCGTCATTTCATCTGACAGGCGCCATTATTCAAGAAAAGTGCAAAGCGCGCGGGCAAAACGCGAATGAAGCATGTAGGGCTTTTTCTGGAAGTCGTTTAGGCCACATCGTCCGTTAGGCTTTGATCCCTCTGGGGCAGACCGTGGCATGGATAGCAGTGACAGCATCCACTCAGGCGGGGTGCAAGGATCACCTCCGTTACAATCACCTGCTGGAATGATGGAGGTGATCGCAATCCGCCCATATCACATGTGCGCCCCGGTGTATTCTGTGTCGTCTCGAAACGCCCCAGCCATCCATTCGAATTATTCTGTGTCTATCGTCTCGATAATTCTAGGGTTCAGCCACTATTCTCGACTCAAAAACTGACTAAAAAACGCCCCAGTCATCTATCCCTGCCATTCTGGAGTTTCTATGGTTATGATTCTATCCGGATGAAGCTCATTCACTGACATGCCGCCTGACCACGCGGCCGCCAGCAGGTGCTGAACGACGCGGAGCGAAGCGCCATGGGCGCAGCAGACGCTGTGAAGCAACTATTGGACGCTCTGAGAGGGCATCTCAAAGAGGTGTGTGCATGCCTTTTTGAGTTAACTCAGATCAGTTTGTCGGATATATCACCACACTTGTGCGGGCTCCTTCAACTAGCTTCTGTTTGTTGCAATGGTACGACGGCGTGTGGTGCAGGTGACGAGCAACACAGTGGCGCACGTGGAGATGGAGCGAGATACTGCCACGCGGCTGCAGGGCGCAGGTGCGTGCTTGGTTGGGTGGGTGGGTCAATGGATGCTTAGATGAACGCGTTGCATGAGGCATGGTTGCGGTTTGGTGCATTCACTCCAAGACTATTTTGATCCCACCTCTTCCCATCTCTGGCAGCAATGGAGGCAGCTAACAGAGGAATGAGGTTCATCAATGCATGCATGAGGTGCGCATGGGGTGAGCATGGGGTGAATGTGCATGAGGTGCGCATGGGGTGAGCATGGGGTGAATGTGCATGAGGTGAGCATGGGGTGAATGTGCATGGGGTGAATGTGCATGGGGTGAGCATGGGGTGAATGTGCATGAGGTGAGCATGGGGTGAATATGCATGGGGTGAGCAGTCATAGGGTGGGCATGCATGGGGTGAGCATGCATGGAGGGTTGCACCCACCCCAGTTGGACCTCGCCTTACATGTGTCAAGGAATGTTGACGAATGAGCTTCAGTGCTCATTGTGCGGCATGCAGGATGAATGAGGATTTGCAGCAACTGCCACACTT